GGTGGGAGGGGTGGATGTATTGTTCGGTTTTTGCGCTGGTGAGGCTGTGGGATACGATGGGGGATGGGGCGTTCATGGTGCATTTCTTTTGTGATAATGAGGAGGGGGTTTTTTCGTCGTGAATCATGATCTTGGTTCTTGCCTTTCCACTTTGATTATGCTAGTGTGGTGTGTATATATGTCTTGTGATGAGCTGTTCTTCAGGGATATGCGGTATGGTATTGGCTTACTATACTTATTATGTGCTTGTCAACTGCAAAATGAGTTCTCAAGCCAGTGTACCGAGGTTTATATGTGTTAATGTGACAATATATAGGAGCTGATGCTGAGCCGCGTTATCCGCGCGGGGTAATCCAGTCAGAGCTGGACCCTTCTCAATCAATAAATAGATAGTGGAGAAGCACTAACATTCCCCTATCTCTGATTAGGCTTAGGGTAAGCACTAACGGACTCACTGTTCAATCTCCACTGCTGATCTTCAGTCTAACGCTGTCATTCGTTCACTACTACTAAGCTACCTTAGGTTATGGACTTGTGGTTCCTGGACTAGTGGACCCTGGCATATTGGCCATGCTATTGGTTACCATTGTTTTGCGCTAATGTCTCACTTCATAAATACTGATTGTGGTTGGACCCAGGGTCTCAGCCTAACTACAGAGTTCAAGCTGAATCAATACTAATGGTTTAGTCTGCGGTCCAGCCCAGTTGTATGAGTCAGCACCTGATAGGTTAACTAACTACTACAATTGTCGAGAATTGAGATGTGGAACATACTTGCCCCCTAAAGCTGGGCACATCTGCTGTTTGCACCTGGCAGGCCAACTGTAGGCAACAAAAGAATGAACAACAGCCGCAACACACACCAAAGATCACCATCTTCCCATGTCCTCAAGGCCCACAATACTCTTCCGACTCCTACCATCTGCCACCTTCTGTGTCCGTAGGGGTAGCTCCGCAGTCAACGTGTCCCTCGCTGCCTGGGGGGAGGAGGAATAATAGTTTCGCATGCTTGAGAAAGGAAACTTGCCTGGACTGATATCCCGATGGGTACTTTCGTCGTTCGCAAATCTTGAATCTGGGCTCCGAGCGGTCTGTCTCTTTCTTTTGCTTCGGAATGGGCCAAATCTAGTCACACGATGCATAGAGTGCTTCTTGGGGATTGAATGAAGGAAATATGTGCTTCAGGAACAGTATAAAATAAATAGAGCGAAACCGTGCAGTGAGGTATGCTAAAGGCCCTCTTCACTTTGAACCTCACCGAAGTCTAAAACTTTCCTTTCACGGGCCCGCCCTTGAGCCCTATACTGAGATCTAAATAGGAGAAGGGCTGAGGGTAGTTAGTTCCAACTGAGAGTACTGCTATTATCTCACCCGTAGGGTCAAATGCAGTACAGAGCCTCTGGCAGCTCTCTTATAACCCTCTGTCCCTCAGCAGCGCAATCAAATGCTCACCGACTACCTCACCCATAAGCTTATACCCCTCGGCAGTGAAATGCAGCCCATCGTCCCAGACCTTCTCCCTGAATTCCTCTGTGGCGTTGTGATGCGGGAGTCTGCCATGCAGGTCAAACGCGTGACTATCGCAGGATTAGCCGCTTGCAGTATTACCAGGTTTATCAAACTTACAATCCCTCCGCTTTATGAGCGAGTATAGACGAATTCACTTCGTTCCTATTCCTGTCAAGCGTCGTACTGACAACCGAACATTCGGGAATCGTCAGGGCGAGAACATTCGCGCCGTTGGCTAGAGCTACCTCCCAGGGTGGAGAGTATGGAAACGCACTGCACACTGCCTCATGTAGAGGACATGACAAGATTGTACAGATGCTATTGGAACGTGGAGCCGACGTCAACGCCCAGGGTGGAGAGTGTGGCAATGCATTGCAGGCTGCCTCATCCAGAGGACATGAAAAGATTGTGCAGATGCTCCAAGCAGTAAATCTACCTGCGAAGCGGACACCTTGTGATTTTCCTTCTAAGAGGTTAAAGATTTCTTGATCCACAAACTATATCTCTTAAAGTGCGCTTTAGTGGTTAAATCTGCCGCACTCCAGGTCCAACAGTATACCGTGAAAATCCGCCAGTATCCAGCTTTGTAAAAGTCTTGGCTCGAGATATGCTATCCAGAATCTAATCGATCAAAGGCGATGGATAACGGGCCTTTTTTCGTGATGAGGTTGACCTTGTGATCGTCCACCCAGAAACAGGTGTTCTCTAGACTTGTTTTTCACCATCAAGATTGACGATAAACGGCGCATTGCTTGGGACGATGAAACCTTTGTGTGTAACTTGTCAATGATGTACTGTTTACTGCTTCAAGTTCCTCCGTGCTCATTACAACAGGCCTTATATCATATTGTTTAGCCGTTCCAATTCTCCCCTGCAGGGCGGAAGGGTATCCATTTCCCTCTCTGAGAAGCCATCTGCCAGGTCATGGTAATGTCCAGGCAGAACTTGCTTGACCTCAGCTAGTTTGTTTGACAATGGAAGATCAGATAGAAAAGATGAAGGCAATAAATTGTTGTTTGAGTCCTATCACGAGAAGAATAAAGGTAGAGAGGGAAGCGAGAGGGTTGAAGGACCGAGGGTGTTGATGGGGGAATATCACGAAGCCCCGTCAGCCTAGCCCTGTGTCCTTGCTTCCTAAATACAGAAAGCTACGTGCAAACTACCTAAACCATGAAAGGTTATCGGAGTTCAGTGCATGATGGTCCGCATTCTCCTCATTCGCTGATAGAGCTGAAGGACTTGTGATGATTTGGACGCACGTCGATCGACCTGAAGATTTTCAGTCGGGTGTTCCACGGTTTATGAGTCTGATAGAGCCACTTGCAGCAACATGCCAGGTCAACCCAAATCACCTAGTAGGAGTTCGAAAATATAGACGACGATTTCGGGAGGGAGGGGAAGATAACATATTTTCAAATGTGACAGGCTCAAGCATAGACCAAAGCAGCGTCCAGTACCCGTGAAAAGAATGAAATTTTGAGATCCACATTTGCCAGAAGCAGTCGGCCTGCTGTCTCAGGAATTACTAACGCAGCCTGGGCCAGATTGATCAATGCGTTATCATGGTTAAGGAGGGTCACAGTCACGATATTGCGTGCGAAACTCCGTCACGCTTACATGATAAACCTAGAGTGCTGGAAAGGACACGTCAGCAGAACAGGGGTTGAGCGGGGTCACTGGGTGAGCAGTATTGAGGTTCAGGCGATTCAGGTGAGATTCAGGTGAGCCGAGCGAGTGAAGGGGGTGAAGACAGGGCGGCGAGGGCGCTAAACCCAACGAATAAAAAAAAACTCAGAAAAACTGGGTGAGCTCCGACATACAACAGCCGGGATTCGCTGGTGGTCACCCACCCAACTACTAACCGGCCGGCGCGTGGCTTAAGTACGGCTGAGCGGACGGGAAGCCCTGTTTTCCACACCCTGTGGTCGTATGTGCCTGACTTCTCCAATCAGGGTATGTTATACTACTTCTGCTATTGCAGTGTCGTCGCTTACCATTCTAGGGAAATATTCTTGAATCCGCCTGGTGTAGTGATGAATATCTCTAAAGCTTGATCGTCGAGGTCGGCAAAGGTTAAGTGCATAAGTCAGCCAGTGGCTCATAGCGTCGCTCATGGCCGCTGCCCAAGCATGTTATGTGTAGGATATATCAAATAAACCAGTCGCTTATATTGGGAAATATATCAAGAAATACCAGTCTCATGTTGCATCTGCTACTGGATTCGCCGTCCTGCAGAAAATGATGCCTTACACTGTGTCCAAGCACGCCGTCACCGGCCTTACCAAGTCCGCGGCGATCGATCATTACCAGGATCACTGTCTGCCCGGGTATGACGGACACGCCTATGGATGGGGCCCGGAATACGTTGACGGAGAGGGGCAAGACTAGTAATTGGGCTGTACAGGGAAATGGCCTACAGAGGCTGGCGCTGCCGAAGGAAGTTGCTGATGTTTGTGTGTTTCTGAGTAGTTATGGCGCAAGTTACATGTTTTGGCGGCGTTGAGATATGAGGTTAACCTGTGTCAGTCGGCAGAGTTGCAATCGGCTCTCTAGACCTGGTTGTTATATATCTTCATATTGAGGTTCTGTGTATGGAATATGAAACATTTCAGAAACCAGAAACAACCTTTCCCGTCATTACGAGTCTCGCCATCGATCAAAATTCCATCACCCTAAAAACCTACTCTATAGGCCCACCTCTCTCCGGGAGTACGAAACTCTGATGTTGAAGACATGCCTGGCTACGCCCTTGGTTGAATGGGGATGCTGTGTTTCAATAGCTACAAAGCACTTGGTTCATACCAACTGTAAGAGATCGGAACAAGCCCCCTAATTGAAGTAGCTTGGCATGTCACTGACTTTTCATAAGCTGCTTGCTCGTCCTAGTCTCGCATATCTCCAATTTGAAGACTTTGCTGGTTACGAGCATTATCTTTCCCGTACCTCGATTGCCCTTCCAGCTTCTAGTGCATGCCAAACTCCATCAAGATGGCGATCGTGGAATATACACGACTGGAAGGGCGCCCGCGATTACCTTTTATAAAATTGCTATTGAAGCTATAAATCTTGGTGGGACTGGGCGTCACTGACTCGCAGTCCATTGGGTGCCTCGGTACTGTGCTGGACGCCTTTTGTTGCACTTTCTACAGCCAGGAATGGCCAGTTCTTTTGGCCTTGCAGCTAGTGTACTGCGCCACGGGCGCTGGGACTCATCAATACTAGGCCCAGGCTCTCGATATAATCGAAAGCTAAGGTGGCAAGAATCAAACGGTATCCACCCTCAATGATCAATGTAGAGACTAGGGACTAGGCGTACATTCTATCTAGCGACGGTTTCGAAACCTCTTGGGAGGTGAAACTGCAGTGGGCAAGGGCATCCTCGGATCCCACGACCATCCATTCTGGCAAGGAAACGGTCTCGCCCCAGGTCACATCCCCCAAAGCAGCAGTCTGAGTGTCGGCATCGTTCCCCGGATGGCAGGAAGCACTAATCGCTGCAGTACAGCTTCCGGCCAGCGGAAGAGAGGATTGGAAGCGGCGGTAGACCGCCATTCCGATGAGCGTACAGATCAATACGCCTCCCACTAGAAGCGACACGAAAATGGCAATGGGCGAATACCCCAATGCGCTGAGCACCTGATCCTTCATTGGCCGGGAGAACTTATCGCGCGGCACGATCTGCACGTAGAACACGCTCCGCGAGATCGTCCAGTGGAGAGCGGCATACACCGTGAGTAGCGGGACACTGTACTGGTAGGGAACGCTTAGCCAATATGTCGAGCGCTGTGATGAGTCCGGCCTCGGCCATGAAACGCGGAGAGGCTTGCGCGATGCGCCGTACGAGCTGTACTCCGCTGCGGCGAGCATGCTGGTTAGCACGTTGTCGTAGAAATAGTAGCTGATGGTAACTATGAACTGGGGCGCGTTGGCAACGACGACATAGGCGAGGATGGGCCACTCCAGGGCGTTGTTGATGACAACGCTGCCTGTTGCGGTGCCAAAGCCCAACTGCCACCAGTATTTCACGGACATGTCATCGACGCCGGCCACACTGCCGGCCTGCCCGAGCAGATAACCGCCAACGCCGATGCACATTCCGCTCCTGGGGGGCTGTAAGCAAGCGCTCTATCAAGTGGTTGTCTGGGTGATGTTCACACTTACAGTGCGAAAGTCACTGCCCACCTGTGACTACTTGCCGCCTGCCACCAATGCTGCCGACGAGCTAGACGTCCAGATCTCAAGTGTATTTCCCTTCCGTCGCCGCCGTGTACCAGCGCCACCTGTGACTCTGGCGGTCTGGCGCCCAGCGTTCGCCATGTCCTCTCCACGTCAGACTTGGCCATCCAGCAAGCACCCCTTGTCATGGGGTCCGGATGCGTCAGGAAAGAGGCCACCGCGTCCCCAACCGTGAGAAGAGGCTCAGAGCGGCGGCGGTCGAGCTTCGCAGCCAGAAACATCGCAGCAACTTTAATGGCGGCCGTTATGATAACGATAATGCTGATCGGCGGGTTGTAAAGGAGTTGGCATTGTCCCTTTCTCGGAATGACCAGACAGTCTCCCATATCGATACCCGACTCCCAATACCACCGATCGAAGAGGCATCTTTCATCAAGAATATGCGCAGTAATGTCGGCATCGATGTCGCTGCGAATATAGCTTTCCACGACCTCAAGGCTCTGGGGCTGTGTATCTGCAAGCCAGGAACCGAGCTGGTAACCGTCCTCACAAGCGTCGAAGTCCGATATCCGGTCGTAACAGTCGTATGTCGAAAAATTGCTAATATCGTACGTCACTTTATTATTTATATTGAAGGCCCACGTTGTCTGCGACATTCTGGACCCATACAGGATATTAGGGTCGATTCCTTCCGAGCGTAACAGGTTACTAGTGGTTACATCGCTGTTCGATTGGAAGATCGCCCTGTTTCCCCCTTGCGTTGTGTTCAGGTAGTTTGTGAGGACGACTATCGTGCGGATTGTCGATGGGGATTTCTCGTTACTGATGTCGATGCACTCTTGCCGCGTGTGTCGAGTGTACGTGCCGTTAGCGAGGAAGGACACGAAATCGTCCCAGAGATACCCAACGATTCCCCCAAAGCAGTTCTCCAGCCCCGACGTCGTGAGATCTGACACTGCACTGGGGTCTAGATCACTTGGGGCCAGGAGCACCGCAAACCCGTTCTTGCCAACAGAGGAAAACACAGCAGAGTTGTATCTGTCCGCACAAGTCAGTCACCCGTTGGGGGGGGGGTTACGGGGAGGGATTATACAATAGATGAAACGGCGTGGTCGTGGCAAGCAAAATAACCCAGAGACCGACGCGATATCGCCTTGCGACAGCTAAGTTTCGCAGACTGGGCACGCCGATGTCCAGCCACTTCCTCCGGCTGTGGTATCTGTCCACCTCCTCGCGGCTGGGGGCGACGAGCGCTTGCATGCAGAAGTTGCTGGCAGCTAAGATAGCTGTGCTCAAGACGTTGATGAGCAAGTGCAGTGCAGTATCCCACCGCTCAGTGAGCGTACAGCTGCCCTCATAGACGACCTGCGTCGTAGCGTACCCACCACCTGCCATTCCTCCTGCGACGCTGACCAGTATAATATTGATCAGCAGGACAAGTGCGGATATCCAGGCGCGTATGTAGACACTCTTGATCCATTGGGCCCGGGAGCCTTCTGAAACCACGCCGTCACCCTCTTCTTCATCGTGGTCGTCCTGCGTACTAGCTCTCTGCTCGCCAGTAAGGGGAGCTTCGTCGGCCGGCCTATAAGCGCCCGTCAGCTCTTCGCAATCCATCTACTAGAAGTCCACGTTTCCCGAACCTTGTTGATGCTGTTCGATTTATCTGCTGTAATTCGTTCTCGTCCGTTTGCTCATTTCGCACCCCACGATACCCCGACCGAAACGAAAGCATTATGAACGTATGGACTCCTCCGCATGTGGCAGTCGAGCATGTGGTGGATGGCACAACTGTACACCGTAGTCTACTACCTGTCAGAAAGTGCCAGCTTTATCGACAAGCCCCAACCCGAGGCCTTGAGCCTCATTCGGGGACCATCACGGCGACGATCTCTAAAAAGGGGGCCTGGCAAAGGGCATAGATCTGCCAATTGCAAGGCCAAAGGACCAATTGGTTGCTGTATTGGACCTGAAAAAGTGGGACTGGGGGTGCCCTGTCCTAGGCAGCGAGGCTTATATAAAAAGTGAGAATACCCTGACCTGTTAGCTAAAGCGCCTGCTTTTGCCCTGCACTGACCGACATTAAGATCGGCGCGAACTAGTATGTAACAATTGGATACTTGAGATAGAACAACTAGTCCAATAATCCTTAAAGAAATATAATAGAAACAAAAATGTTACATTATCCAGTCTTGGGAATAAACGCCAGAGTTATTCAGGACTCAGAGGACGCCATAAAATCCCTTTGGGTCACGGAGTTGCATATGATTTACGGCAATACCGTCCGTGTAGCTCCCACCGAACTGAGCTACTCAACCCCCGAGGCGTGGAAGGGTGTCTACGGCCACGCGGTTGCCGGCGCAAAATCAACAGAAAAGGATACTCGATTCTACGGACCCTCATTCAACAGCGCCCCAGATATTATACGTGCTCATGGGCCCGACCACTCCCGCTTCCGCCGCAACTTCTCCCATGCCTTTTCCGAAAAGGCCCTCCGTGAGCAGCAGCCACTGATCTGCCACTATGTGGACATGCTGATCGACAAGCTACGCACCCTTGCGCGAGAAGATCCGCACAAACCAATTGAAATTGTTCACCTATACAATCTCACCACCTTCGACATCATGGGCGATTTGACCTTCGGTGACTCCCTGGACCTACTAGCCGGAACCGGTGATGATAGCTGGGTCTCCGCGATATTCCTCAGTATGAAAACCAATGCCCTGCGCAGACTCGGACGCTACTACCCCTGGACTGCACTATTCGCTCAGAGGCTCATCCCTCAAGCTCTGAAAGACAAGGCCGTCGCGCATTACAAGGCGTGCGAGGAGCGCGTGGATGAGCTCATTGACCCAACGCCCACGGACCTGATATCTGGGGCATTGTGATGGGTCAGAAGGAGGAGCTCCGCCTGAGCCATGCGGAGATGTATGCAAACTCGCAGATTTTCATGGTTGCTGGGACGGAAACAACGGCCACTGCCTTGAGCGGGTTGACGTATCATCTCCTGATGAATCCGGAGAAAATGCACAAGGTCGTTCGTGAAGTCCGAGGCGCGTTTCAGAAGGATTCCGACATCGAACTTGGAGCGCTGGTGCGGATGAAGTACTTGAATGCGTGTATTGAGGAAGGACTTCGCATCTATCCTCCTGTTCCTGTTGGATTGCCACGAGTCGCTCCTGACGAGGGGCTTTTCGTCTGTGGGGAGCATATTCCCGGCAAGGTACGTCTCTTACTAGGCACTCAATACGTGTTGGGCTTTTTTCTTCTGACGGTGGGGATCGGATAGACTGCACTTTCGGTCAACCAGTGGGCAACTTATCACGACCCTGAGAATTTCAAGCGGCCATATGAATTCATCCCGGAGCGATGGATCAGTGATGAATTTGCCAGTGATAACAAGGCAGCTCTTCAACCATTTTCGTTTGGGCCAAGAAACTGCCTAGGAAAGAAGTAGGACCTGTCTATCCCTCTGGGCTGTAAGGCTGTTACTCATGTTCCAGGCTAATTAATGTTTGTTTGTTTAGTTTGGCGTACAGCGAACTGCGCATTATTCTTGCCAAAGTCTTGTATCACTTTGATCTCAGCCTTGTTCCCGAGTCTGTGGGCTGGGATAAGCAGAAGACCTTTTTGCTGTGGGAGAAGCGTAAGTTGATGGTTCATCTGAAAGAAAGAGCAGAGGCTGTGTAGGGAGGTTGCGTAGCTCTGGCGATGGATTACATGCATGTATTGCATTTCATTGAACTTTTCCTAGTATTACTTATGCCTGTGTTCCCCTATCAACGCCTAGACACAACCAAGACGTGGAAGTCAAATGTCAAGGCTTGACCATTTTGGTGAATGCTGTTCGTCAACTCGTATATCACTGAGGGTAAGAATAGAGTGCTACGTATGCGAGGACATCCTTCATGTCATCTACTTAGAGCATGCGCCACAAAGCGCTGTTATTCTCATATAAGAATTACAAGCGTAGCCTTGCGCAACTTGAGCAACGCTGCAATGCCCTGCCTGGAATCAGTTCCTTTGCATTCTCTGAACTGAGCTATATTCCCACCACGCTTGGAGGAATAAACCTACACTAACATATCCGAAAAGAGCCATTTCATCCCATGTTTGAGATGAGCCAAATGGATCTACGTAGTAGTAAGTTTCACCAGCTAGGGAATAGAACAGCTATTATCATTATTACAGCGTGTAAAATTATGGTAGTCTGCGACAGTGTGCAGGTCTGCGCACCATGCCCATGGTCAGCACAAGGCGGAGCTCTGGTTGATAATGCCGGGGAAAGAAGGGATACACGGTGCATATGAGGATCAGACTCGCTATATTACAAATGCCCTATTATTATACAACTTATCTATCTTACAGTATAGTACATGCTCGTGCTGCGGTTAATACTTTTCAAATCTGGCCCGTATCCTTGCTCCATACACATAGAACCCATATGGGATAAACACCATTCCTACCCCCAGAAACGCCAGCAGCCACGATGCCCACTGCAGGCCGAGCTTATGATACATCTGGGTGGTGAACAGCGGAAAGGCAGCGCCGCCTCCAGATCGCAGGAACACCTTAGCGGCGAGCGCCGAGGCCGCGAACTTATGGTACGAATCGATGATGTAGTTGTTAACCGAGTAGTAGCAGAGTACCATGCCAAAGCCGAACGCGATACCTGACGAGGCCGGGCCGACCCAGATGATATGTTTGTATGAGGTAGCGCCCAGGATGAACAAGGATATCGGGATGAAAGGGGCTCCGACAAGAGCAGCGATGAGTCGGTCTTCGGGAGTCGGGGCGCGAGACTGGCAGACACGGCGAAACTGCTTCTCCATGAGGGGCGTTATGAGTAGCGAGAAACCGGCACCGATCAAAATGGGGATAAACATCAGCCCGATCTGGCCGTCGTTGTACCCGTACAGCTCGCTGAAGATGACGGGGAAGGCGAAGAAGAAGCCGTAGAGCATGGCGTAGATAAGCACGATGTACATGCACATCAAGTCGAGCACGGGCTCGGTGAGGATCATCGTGATGGGACGGACGAGATTTGTGCGCACAATATCCTTAAAGGTCAGCTTGACCTTTTCCTGCTCGGTGATGATGTTGGGATCGCCTGTTTCCTTGCGGAGCTTCTTTGCGCGGCGTTTCAGGATGACGGGGGCGTAGGTTTCTGGCACCAGCCCGACGATGATCATGACGACACCGGCAAAGGCCATATTGGACCAGAAGAAGAGGTCCAGTCGGTGCGAACCGACGTTGATCCAGCCGCAGACGATGGGGCCCACGACAGGACCGCAGTAGGGCGCGGCAGCGAAGAAGGCAATGGCCATGCCGCGCTCCTCAAGATCCCAGATATCCGCAATGGTACCGCCAGCCAGCGACAGACCGGAGCTGGAGAAGATGCCGCTGAGAAAACGGCAGGCCAGCAGTCCACCGATGTTGGGAGAAAGTGCGCAGGGTATCTGGAAGATGGTGTACAGTCCCAGCGAGATGACATACACGGGACGACGGCCGATGATCTCGGACAGTGGACTCCAGAGCAACGGGCCAACCGCAAACCCACAGACCATGATTGAAACAGTCAGCGTAGCCACTTCGAGCGATACATGATACTTTTCCTCAATCAGGCCCAATCCACCGGTGACAAATGCCGACCCGTAGGCGACGCACACGACCAGCATCGAGACGACCATGGTGACGTACCAGCGGTATAACCGGGACCAGTTATGGGGATTCGCTGGGTCCTCAATCGTAAACGTGACAAAATCCACGGGTTCGCCTCCCTTTTCCACATCCGCCGGCGTGATCTGCCGGCCCCTGCTGGTCGTCGGACGGATCGATTCAAGAGTGCGTGATGGGACCAACCCGGTTTGAGTCTCGATGGTGTATTCCTCGGGGAAGACGGGGTCGGAAGGACGTCCGACTTCGGGGTAATTGATCCCCAGCTCAGGAGGAGCTGGGCTGAATCCAGCTTCATGAAGAGTCTCTCTGGTTTCTGTTCGGAACATTTGAAGGTTATTGTTGGCGGTGGTGGTGGTGGTGCTGAGTCGACCTTGAGGTCTTTCTGGAGGTGGGGTTGACATGGTGAGAGTCGGCCTGCAAGAGGCTGTGAATATCTACAGTTATAGTAGTAGCACAAATAGTAGCAATCCATATAATATTATATTAGGTTTAGAACTAATAGGGCCATCCAGGGTATATATACTCACAAACCTCAAGCTATTATTATTGCCGTTCTATCGTCATAACGTTGAGTTGCCGACCAAATCCCGAACGCCGAGTTTCAGCCATCCTATACAAAATCACTTTTGTGTTAAATTGCAGCTTCTGCGGGAATTCCTCTGAACTCCGTGCCTGACGTATTTGAGTGTACCGTTGCGGCTGCTGACAAAGGTGAGGATAAAGTTATCAGGGCATCATCATGAGGTCAAAGACATAGCGCTGCAATATTAGTATTTACTGCGCATCTACCAAAGATACTCTTTACTGTTTACCCATTACTATTTGAAGTATTTACATCTTTCCAAACACCTCTGGCATAGACACAGATTGACTGATAATTGTCTGTACAAAGTCAAAAATAGGATGAATGGTGTCACAGGGAGAAAACTCGGCACCGAGAGGTGACCGAACTATGATGAAGCCAAATCAAACATTTCTCAATAAATTTCCAAGTGATGATCACATTCTCGTGCCGAATCCGATCACTAGTACTCCAAATCATCGCATATTTATACCTTTCTAGGCATCAATTTCCATCATCTTCATATCCCTCTCACCCCCTTGCCGAACTCACTCCATCCATAGTCTGAGGAATGGATTACCACCGCCTTAAACGCAAAGGACTCCCAAACAATCACGAAGAGCATCAGGCCCGGCAGAATGGTCCTTAGACACAACGAGATGGACTAAAACTATTCAATATAAGTCATATTGGCTCCGTTGTAGTCAAAGGTGATAGAGATAGGAACTGGAGTGACTAGGTGATCAGCCCTCCGAGATTGCAATATTCAAATTGATCTACGAGATGACGATATGGATGACGAATTACTAGGGATGAAAATACCTCATTTTTGCCACATCTAGGAATGTTTAGATTGCATAGATAGTCACACATTTCAAAGAATCCGACCTTATTGAGTTTCATGATGGCACACGAATTACTGGGATTTTCGCAACTCATATTACCTACCTTCTAAGCTTTAATAACCTTAATCTAGGGGTAGGGTGAGTCCCTTGGGTAAGCATGAACAAGGGTGGCAAGCGTGCGGACTTTAGCACTATGCCTTTCCTCATTATAGCTCCATATTTGAATGTTGTCAAAGTGCAGGAGACTGAAATACTATTACCCTGAAAGAGTGACTGTCATGACGTTATTTTAGTACAGTGGTATAAGTTCTCCGTTATTAGGCACCTAATCACACTTAATACTATGCATCTAGAAGGAGATTGTACTATGATCCTGAATAAATGTTTCAAGCTTACCTTGGACGCTTACTCTAGTCTCACTGAAGAATGCATTTGAGGGAATCTGGAATGTGGAACCTGGAACGGTCAGCCGAGGTCATCTTTGGTCAGAAAGAATAGAATCCTACCTATTGCGGAATCTGGCATTCTCTAGGCGCCCTTTAACTTTGGCTTGATATGTCAGTGCAAAGGATCTACGTCGACAGAGTAGACAGCCTGTTAACTGTACATGTAGGTCCAGATACTTCAGGACTAGAACAGGAAGTAGCTATGGACTAGTGGTGGAGGAACTAGTAAGGACACTCATTACCACTGTATCTAGCACTCTTGGTTCTAGTTCTGCAAATCACTGTATGGGTTTGTATCACTGGAGACTCGCATGTGGGGGAGGCGGGGTACATAGTAGGCGACATATGAGGAGAAATGGCATTTGATTGGTACTCTTGTTGTTTGCGACTGGCATTATGGCGCATTTCCTCCATCAAGCTTTGAAGATGAAGACGAACCAATGGCCCCCTCATCTCAGCAGGGCAAGCATGGAGCTGCCCGTTGCTTTTGGCGCACTGAAGATGTTCAATGAAGACGGGCCGGCTGACAGGAGATACTCCTATTATCATTTCTATCGCCCAAACTGATCACCCTCTCCAAGAAGAAGGGAGCATGCCGCCAAGAGGCAGGAGAGTGAAGGCTAGGAAGGACATCATGCTTATCATGTCGCTTATCTAGTGCATCATATGACAAGTCAAGCCATAATCACCATCTCGCGGAAGAGCTGCTGCATGCATATAGCATAAGTAAGCAGTTCCTAAGAAACAAGAAGCATAATATTGTTATATTGGAAACCTAATACTGATTCAGCCTTAGCGCTTATGTTATAGTGACACAAATTCTGATGGTGAGACCTTATATTACTCACAAGCGACTGACATCAACTTCACCCTACAAAATTAATGTGGATATCAAATCAATCATGGGCTTGATTAATGTGCTGAGTGAGCCTATTTCTTAAGCTAATATTCAAATCCATGAAATCTATAACATAACCCTACATAGATCTGCGAACAGCAAAGCCAAACTCCATGGAGCTTCTGGTGATTAGCTGAGTCAACATGAGATGGCAATATCCACATTCAGGCCTCTTTAGAAGGGTGTGCCACTTTTTTCTAATTGACCTATGTCTTACCAGGTCTGTTAGATCTAGATTCCAGTCCAACTTAGGGTACCCTATGCTTTTAGAGGAGTCTTCATAACTTGGAATAGAACATTCTCTCTTTAACTTGAACAGTTTTTGGCAGATAGGAAAATGTTCTATGTTATCCGTTAAACTGATCCCAAGTCCGCAACCTGCTTCGTCATTAATTATTTTCAGCGATACCTTATAAGACAATTTCGGCATATACGAAGATCATTCCTGAGCTGTAGCCCCGTGTAGGCCATGTACAAGGATTACTGGATATGTCTGGGGACGCCGCAATCTACAGCTAGATGGGTATTAACCTGATTTAATGTTGCATGATTCATGCAGCATATGGTGCCAGAATGGTCAATTCTGTACCAAATCCTGAGAATTAAATAGGTAGTAGACATCCATTCTCGTCCGCTAACGATTTCTAGAATGAACAAAGAGTATTTGTGTCTTGCCACTGTGTATAAAAGACACTCCCCTCATCCACTCGAGAGATTCCATTCTCACTGACCTCTATTCTTTCAATCAACCAGCAAGAACAAAGACTGTATTTTATCATACAGTTGACAAAAAGACCTGAGCCACCATGACCGAGAGCGCCTCCCTCCATGACCTTAAAGCGCACGCAACCACGGCTGTTGCCGCGGGTGGCGCCGTCTATGCTGCGAACCAGCTCGTCAAAAGCTTCGAAGAAGATGACAAATCGATGACCCAACATCTCAAGGCTGGCGTTGGAGCTGCCGTTGCTATTGGCGCACTCGAAATGCTTAATAAAGAAGACGGAAGTCTTCTTACTTATCGCAAGCTGTTGCACAAGACATATGAGACTTCTTGTCCTAACTGGTCACATTCACGGGAAAGACATGAGAATAGCTTCCCTGAGCAAGAGGAAAGTAAAAGACACCTCATGAGGCGAGAAAGGGTATCACACTCATCGTCTTGGTCGTCTAGCGTGTTGTCCAACGAGTCGGGTCATAATTGTCATCTAGTGGAAGAGTTAGTAGGAGCATATAGCCTGGGAAAGCAACTTCTGGGTGATAAGAAACATAAAATTGTGTATTTGGTTGCAGACGCAATGGGAGCAGCTGCTCTGCTAAAGGAGATCAATGAGCATGATTTGAAAAGGGGTTGATCTGGCTTGGACCTTGAGTTCTCCTAGCATAATTCTTTTCTATGCCCTACTTGTTGATTGTCTGGCTTCCACTTTCCCTATGGCTGGGAAAATCTAGTGTTGCTGTTATTTAGGCTTGAAGAATGGCATATCTCTTTGCTACTAGGAATGCGTTTAGTAGCGGCGCTATTGGGTGAGAAACTAACTCACTTCACAAGGGGGCGGTCTCCTCGTCTTGGGGTGGTCTGTTGTGGCAGGTTCGGAGGTTAACACATCAACCCAGCTCAATGACTGAAAAACCTCATTTTCAGTATCCTAAATCTAGTGGTTAGCTCTGGCTCTTTGTAGATAGTCATTTAAATAGCACTTACTGATGAGCCAGAGGCTGAAAATCTGGAGCTGGAAGATGCAGGGATATCGAGGAATGACGTGAAGAGATTTGCTTCGAGATCATTCTCCTCTTTCCGTACCAATGTGGAGGTTGGGGAAGAATTGCTATAAAGGCAGTCTATTTCCGAGTCTTCAAGACTTTGTCTAGCGGCAGCGTAAGCAGGCAGCTGGATGAAGAAATCTTCACAGCTTTCAAGGGGAGGAAAGGTCCAGTCAATTATATTGGCGATATCTAAGCCGAAAGAATCAGGCAAATTTAGATCCATGTCGAACATTATCAGGATGATGCAATTGGAAATAGTAATGTCAGGTTCGTTAGTGTAAGACTGCAACTGGAGGCAGAGAGCAGCTCTATAAATGTATCATCCGGACTGCCATTATTGCCTTTCATGATGCACAGGGAGTATCCTCAAATTTCATGGAGCAGCCCTATGATGTCATGGAGCTTATAAAAAGCAAAGTAAAAGAAAAATGAAAACTTATGGCCATGTACGGAGTACTCCAACCAGCAAGAAGACCGCCAGATCTAGACCCAGGAGTCTGGACTACACTGCCAACAAACAACTTCCCCTCACACTAGCGCCAGTCGCTGCTTATCTTTTTGACGGCCGAGTCTCGGCCGGGGAAGGGTGGGGAAGTTCTATCCTAAGCTTTTGCTATGACGTTTTTCTTGTTGTTGTACATCTGGTAAAATGTCAATGGCAGTTGCCTGATTAGTGTGCTGTGTGTTTATATTTCTTAGGCCAATATTTAGATTCATGAACCTCATCCATAACAGGTTTCAGAAACACATTTCATCACCACACAGAATCCAAGGGGGTGTCTATCAAAAGCTATAGTTCAGCCTTGCTAGGTGGCTTCCATTGAAACGCAGAAGGAGAATCATCATTCAATAGAAACTTTCCTTAGTTTATAGTCTCCGGATCTTATTTTTTACTAGAGAAGTCAACGATTTAGGCTCATATAAGGAAATTTATAAAAGGTTCCAATTTGCGAGGCCTCCAATTATCGTGCTACTAGATGTAGAAGTCTTGTAGGCATGGAGCCTGAGGACATACACTCTTCAAAGGATTGAATAAGAAACATCAAGAAAGACCATGAACCATGACTGTCTGCCATCATTTCAATGTAAGATATGCCTGCTCCAAAGCACCTGTTTTTTCCCTTGATAGGGCCGGGCTCATTTTCATATTGATTAGAACTTTTCCGGCAATCACAATTGCGTGCTGAAACTTCCCAAAGATATGAACTAGAAAATCAATATTATGCGTATTCACGTAGCATGGCATCAGCGTTATTTCGTGTCAGATTGGATGTGAACAAGTCTCCTGTGGAGCAGCACACGTCAAGTGTCTAGTTCTAATAGATCTTCTAAGGCTCAGACAGAGACAATGCAAGCAAGATTTGCAGGTGATTCAGGTGATGGATGGGCATCGCTCAGTAGAATCACTTCTGGCTTTGGTGAGTGGAACTGTTTTGATTCTCGATGTTCATTTTTGTCTTTTGGCTCGGATTTCTACATTCATATCAGCCCGTCCCAAATGAGTATCAAGAAACTTCTCCATACTGTAACTGTATAGGATTCGCATTCCAACTCAAGTGGTGGGAGCCCTTAGTGTATCCGCCACGGAGTCTAGGACAATGCAATGCGCAAGAAGGACGCGGAGCTTAGGATCAGGAGATGAAGACTGTTCTGATAGCTTCTCTTGACACAGACCAAACAGCTCAAAAGCCCCTGGCTTTCTCATTTTTGCTGAAGAGATCTTGAAATGCTGCTTGTTCGAAAGACCTGACGAGTATTAGATGAAGATCTGATCCACTTGGAATTTTGTGATATATAGTTTAATCATGGTTTAGCACGGGGTCATATCTTGATATTTTCCGACTGCTGCTTTGACTTTCTCCCGTAATATTTCGTATGATGTCAGGCAATCAAATGTTAGGCAATTTATGATTATTTGGCCAGACCACCTTTGCAGCTGATAGCGTCAGCAGCACTCAAGCATAATCAAAGTATAAGTATCTCAATATGTAGGAGAAGAATGATAAGTGGGTAGTTCTTGAATAGATGGCATGACACTATTGCAGAAATGAACAGCCAGTGTCGGGGAAACAAGGGCTTAAACTTTCTTTCCAGCCAGCTCAGCGACCTAGCCGGAGAATGATGACAGTGGCTGTAGTATATCACTAACGAAGTGAGCAACTTATGATTAGGCGGGACACTGTAGATAGCTAGATAATTTAGAGTTAGAAGCATTGGCTTGCGTCGCAAAATTAGACCACTGATTTGCGTAGATCACTAGAATGCAAGCCAATAATTGAAGAATGATTTGATCAGGGGACTTTCTGAGCTGCTACCCTTGGTAATCCATATTACTCTGCAATGCTAATTACCTTAGGCTTAGGCCAGAACATTTACCACGTTTCGGCCGATGAAGGCTTCGATTCTAATCTCAAAATCTATCTCAGTTCCCACTCTTGATAAATTCATCAAACCAGTGGACTGCTTGCAGGAATGCCTGCTCCTTTGAAAACTTCTTCGCCTTGTCCGTCAAGTCTGCGCGAATGGCGAACCCGTGCTCGACTCCGCTATAGAGATTGATCTGGTATGGCTGGCCAAGATCACGAAGAATGCCTTCTAACTGATGTCGTTTTGATGTTGGAAAGATGTCATCACTCTCTGTGGTTTATTTCGCAGAGCCAGGCGCCAAGTTACTGTCCTCACTTATATCTGTACAACAGACAGAACTATCACTTACCAGCTGCAGCAATGCTCAGCGGCCCTGTAATGGCGCAGAGTTCTTCCAATTCAACAAAACCAGGATGCGCGATAAATCCAGCGTCAAATTTTCCCTCTTCAGGCCTCAGAAATCGGACGACGTATTTTGCCTAAACATTATAATTTGTAAACATTATGATTTGGAGATGCATCAAGCCCTGAGTGATCCTTCGCATACATACCCCAAAGCAATACCCAACCGCCCCAATCCTCTTGCAGCCGAGCTGTGTGCGCATGTACTGAATCACAGAGTCGACAACGGGATCCACCCTGTCAACCGGGTGTCCTTCCAGCCAGCTCATCAGATTAAAAGTCGCCGGCCTATTGAGCTTGACCGGGTCACCATGGAACAGATCAGGCATCGCTACGAGATACCCATTCGCCGCAAATTGGTCAGCAATGAGCTGCGAGTTGATGAATCGGTGGCCAATGACGTCCGTGAGCAGGATAACTCCGTGCTTGGTCGATCTGTCCTTAGGATATGAAAAATACATCTCAGCTGGAAAAGGTGAGCCTGATCAAATTCTATATGTAGAGAGCGCGTCCATTGAAACATACCACCATCAATCTCCTGATACTCCCCGTTTGCTTCTCCACTGTGTTTGACCCCCACAGTGCAGCACCTCGCAGGCACATTAGAAGCCATTTTGATGATAAACAAGTATTGTATCGAAGACTGTATACATGAGTAGATGATGAATGGAAGAGGAGCAAATTAGCCTTTATAAATACCTGTGTGTGCTGAACTAGGATTACGTATTGCTATACTGCCTAGGCATTGCGCTATCAAGTATCTGCCTAAATACGAAGGGGCCGCGCTCCCACTGGTCGAAGTGAAGAAGCGTTGGCTCGCGTCGCAAAATCAGATTAGTGGTTTGCTTTGATCAATAGAATGCAAGCCAATATTTGAAGTGTGATACAATCAGAGAGTGGCTTCCATCGGTTATTACGTCAAGGCAATGTTTATACCTGATATACTGTTCATTATACTTTGATAGACCAGTTTTGGATTAACCGGAACCTAATTGCACTAATACAATTAAATGAATTCTAATAAGGAGAAGGAGATGAGGATCTTGTGTTGAACCAGTTACTGCAGGTAAGAGTTAACAACAATTCCGTACTACTGCTACTCATCTTGGACATAGTGAGGCCTGATATTGGTCTTACACTATCATAATGAGAAGAGAGCACATTCGCAGTTTCCAATACAGGTTGCCTATTTAATACATTATGGACTGCTGAGAATGGCCTTGTTTCATAATTCTCTAATGCAGAGCAAAGACTACTAATCCTGTGGGTTAACAACAAATTTCTTTCCACTCTCACTTAACATGCTATCCAGCACTTCTTGCTCACTTCTCTGAAATTATCTATAAAGACTTTAAGATGCAGGTGTACTACTCTATAATATCAGATCCCTCACGTCTGTCAATTATAATTTGTTAGATTTAATGAAGTTAGGCATAAACTCCATGCGCTGTAACTTTAAGGATTTATTTTGGTTGTTCTTGGATATGAACCTTAAGTTACCATACTCTTAGATTTAGCCAGTAGCTTAAACCACCAGACTGCTGATTTTGGCTGGAGAATATTACTTTAAGACTAATTGAAGGATTCCTTCGCTAGTACCTTGACACTCATAATGTGAAGTATTAGTCTGCTTTCCTAGTCTTTGGATGATACTTGTGGATATATTAGCATGAGGAGATGGGCTATGAGTTTCCTTTAGTTATAAATGTGCTACTGCGAATTTAAGTATGGCTACATAACTTCCTGACTTATTACCACTCTTGACTGGGCCGGGTCCAATGCCATCAGAAGCAGTTCTTCTCACCAGCCAGCATCTAGTTAGAGTAAAAGGAAGATCCTCTTCCCTATCTTGAGCCATAGTTCGTGCTGCAAAAGCTAAAGTCCTGCAGTCACAACTACGACTTCCTCCTTAACCCTTTGGTTATACAAGAGTCTTAGACCAACTAGCTAGAACAAAGTTTACTTCTGTTTGCACAGGATTGCGGACACTGACACCCCTATAACCATGACCTAGACCAGTAGCAGCAGGTTCAAGACATGGGATTTTGTCTGCGTTGACGAGAAGCAAATGCCCGTGGCTCACTTCTCAGCCAATGTATGGGCGTTCAACAAAGTCAGCAAGATCGAGCTTCTCAGTCCCAAGGCTCAGTGATGTTGTGCGCGATGAGATTCTTGTTATTAGGTTGACACTTCTATTGTATGACGCTGCGCTCTACCAGCATTGTGCCTTTTTTTGGTACTGATGTACTCTCAGAAGATCACCCTTTTCCCCTATAATTAAGCTCGTCATTTTCTATAATAGGATCGCACTTGCCCCCCATAGTTAGTGTCCTGACCAACTTGCTGACCGATTACCATAGAGCTTGCTACTATGTAAGACATGGACGCCTTAAGCTTGGAGGCCTGACCGTCAGACATCCTCACTCTAAGCACTCAGCCTCTCAGGGCATAAGTGGCTTAGTGGAACATGAGACTCAACCTTATATGCAACGTACGTCATTTCACCTAATTTTGTGTCCAATCTTCTTCTAAAGCTTCAATCCAGCTCATTTGCTTTCCTGACTGGGAAAGCGCTGGATTTTTCATTTCTTAGCCCACTTGTAGTGTGTACTGCGGTGTTAGTAAGTATCTTATTTTTAGTTATTCAGGTACCCTACATTGGGGGCTTTTTCTTGTTAGACTGGTTGGCCAACATATTTTAAGGAAAGGAAAGATATAAAAGTATCCCAATGCCCCCATCCTCAACGATAATAACTATCAAGTTATTAGCAGACCATCCTCCACACAGTTTGACTTTTTCATAGCTACAATTTCACAAAAGCAAAGCACTAAAGTCTTTCCTATCTCGCCCGATATCAAAAATGAAGTTATTTCACGTTGTTGTCTTGACCCTGACCTCTGTCGCCCTGGCATTTCCCGGCCCTCGACTGAATTCAGGACGGCATAAGAGAGATGGTTGTGACTGTGTATGCCTTCTATCTCTTTACATATCCCAAAGATTCATGAATAGCGACTAACTAATATGTGTATTCAGAAGGCGAATAGCGAATGTGTAGAGAACTGCAGTGCTTTTGGAGGTACTCCTGGTAGTCAGTTCGCTCAAGGCATGTGCATCCTCGCCTGCGGAGATTCAACAGGCTGTGGAGGAGATTGGGGCTGCTGTGCAGATGGCACTTCTTGCGAAGGTGATGGTTGCTGTTCCATCCAAATTACCACCTGGTCTGGAAACAACTGCGAGGGCTCATCCGCCAACCCGTCGATTCCACTCGGCTCGGGTTACAAGTGCTTTGAGAAGCTGCCGGGAGCCTCATTCAGTGTCCCGGGTGGCAGGGGCAGTTGCAAGATAACGACTTGGTCTGGAGACAATTGTGAAGGGAGCTCTGCGGTTTTCGCTGGTGATACGCAGGGATGTACTGCGATTCCATTTGGGTCTGTGTCACTGGATTGCCCTTAGATGTTGCTTTTCCTTTGGTTCAGTCAAGATCTGATTCTTTTTCGGGAGGAATTGGGTTTGCTTTCTGCATACAAACTGGTGCTCTGATCTCTTCTGTTTGATTGAGGTGGAACTAGGCTTGGGCAGCGCATGCTCCTTAAGTACTGTTCAGTATTTACTGATTAACATGTGACGCTTAAGCATACAGTTGGCCTGGCCCTTTGGACCTGATACTCAAACGCTTATCCCGACAAAGGATTGGTAGATTTCTCTGTGTTTTGCTGGGTTCCTACATATTATTAGCAGGAAGAATAGAAAAACAATATAGAAACATTCCCTCTATAGTGCCATCCAGCTAATATCCCGCAACTTGACCAGCAGTCACAATCCGTATCCAGGCCAGCGCTAGACTAGCTGTCACTCTACCATTGATATGGTGCGATAGAGAATCAGCGTTCCAGTGGTTGACTCGGGTCCTCAGGTATTGGTCGTGCTTTAGCCGGAAGCCTTGTCGAACATGGCTGCTTCGTGATTGCCGTCTGTCGGCGACAGGAACACCTTGATTCAGTCATCCAGGAATACAGTACGGCCAAGGCTACATGGAACACAAAAGGAAAAGAGGAACAAAAACATACAACAGCCGGGATTCGCTGGTGGTCACCCACCCAACTACTAACCGGCCGGCGTGTGGCTTAAGTACGGCTGAGCGGACGGGAAGCCCTGTTCTCCACACCCTGTGGTCGTATGTGCCAGTTCATAAGTAAAAGTGGTATATATACAAAGAGATGTTGATTGCCTTCCTGGACCTTATAGAAAGCATCACAGGTAGAAATCAGACCCGTCTGAGTAGGCGACGGTGCTTTACCAGATGATGTGGTGTGCTGGTAGCTGTTATGGGTGTCGGTGCGGTTGAGGGCGCTGTTGTGTTATATCAGTGGGAGGAGAGGTCGACTTGGTTGGGGCATCTTTCAACCTTGATATCAGCAAGCTAGATGCAATTCCAAACTTTGTGAAGAGGTACGTCATCCAGTCAGCTTTTCCGATATTAGTCTGCGAGATCGATCTGATTAACCGTTGGTTGGACCAGTGTGACCTCGTCCCATCCTGATTTAGACCGCGTCTTCGTCAAGTCCGGGATTCAACGGCGGCCCGTTTGAAGTGAGCCAGAGAGCATTGATATAAATCCAATTCAGGATGAGATGACGGTAAGGGAACCATTGAACCCTAACGCCTAGAATTTTTTTCCCCTTGTCAGATTTAACTGACAATATCTCTAGGTCAATTATGTCTCCTACGTTGCAGGCGAAGGAGTTCCTACCCTTCCTCATGGCCAGAGGGGACAGCCCAACATCACTCATATTGTAAGTCATGGGCAAGTTTCTAGGGTATTTGTGTCTGTCGCCCCACAAAAGCAGATAATTAACCACACAAATCGATGCTTTCACCAATGATGGACTAGCTCACCCTCCACTCTCAGATGGCCTGCTACTAAGAGTATTAGCTGAGCGCTAGAGAGACTAGTTTTCTGCACTAATATTACGGAATGCTAGCGCCAACAGCTTCTGATTTGGCAAACACTGGTTGGTGGACCTGGTAGGATACATCCGGAGGCTCATCTCTTGTTACCCTAGCGCGCCTGCTCGAGTCATTTCTTCGCAGACTATTGACATTGGTAGTCCGCTACTGGACGAGAGACTTATTACCCTCTCTTCTCTTTTATTAAAAGGGGCTATCTTCCTTCATCCGCAACCTTGCCTGTTGGTTTTTCTCTTTCCCCTATCCACTCTGAAATTCCACAAAAAGACACCATCAAAATGCGCGCCTCATTCCTCCTTCCCGCAGCCCTTTATGCCCTGGCTGCCAATGCCGACGACAAATCCACAACAGTCGGCTACTTCAGCCCCGACTGGTCCGCCACCCTGTTACAGTACGGCGGCTGGACCAGCACCGGCGCCAGCATCGCAGGAATCAACGCCGCCGCGACAACCTACAACGTGGGCTGTCTGAAAGACGCCCCAAAGACGGACTGCAACATCAAGAACTCGTGGACGATCATTCAGGGCCCGGAGACCGTCAGCCTGACGGGCGTGTACACCGCCTCGACATCGGGCAAAGAAACCAGCTACGATATCACCGTCACACAGTCGTACGAGTGCAAGATTCAGTCCCGCACCGAGTCCGCCAGTTGCACCATGAGCGTTGGGATGACTGGGTCTGCGGGGGGTGCTACGATCGCGTCGTCGACTTCGAGTAAGGCGACGTATTCGCCGGCGACGAGCTCGTACTATGAGTTGGTTGTTACGGCGGGCTTGGAGTCGTTGACAGCCCCTGAGGCGACCAAGACGCCTGGTGCTGCTGCTGCTGGGCCTGCGGGGGCGTTGATCACGGCTGCTCCTGTTGTTGCTGCTGCGGTTGCTGCTTTGCTTTAATGTGATACCTGGTTTGTAATGGCTAAGTTGTACACATTCAAGATTGCTGGGGTATTTTTGTCTTTTTGTTCCTGCGACCATGTGCCGCCTTCTCATATACCCTTATGAGTATTATTTCTCTACAATCTCAGGAATAGTGCATGTTATGGTAGTCTGCTACGTCTCGCTAATTATGTTCGTTCAATTTCATCAGCTTACAAAAATCGACCATATTCCAATCCAGAATAATTGGCTAAGGGTAAAGAAATCAATCTCTAACATACATACTTGACAAAAAGCACAATGGTATATAAAGGCCTAAAACGCACAGAAAACAAGAGCAACAGCAACACTACTCAACCAAAGACAGCACAAACAACGACATAACAGCCATAGCAAGAACAACTAACCATAAGAAAATCCCCAACACCATCGCCACACGCTTATAATACCGCAAATAGCCCGCCTCATTGCCATGCGGGAACGGATTCGGCCTCTGCCTCCCCAGAAACTCACACAGAGGCCCCCACCCATCCTGACACTTGAAGACCAGCAACCTCCGCCTCGGCACAATGCGCTTCACCCACGCACTGTGCGCATGGTACAGCTCCTCTGACGGCTCGGCCTCCAGCCCGAACCGCTCGGACGCAAGCCGCATCCACCCACGGTAGAGATCGTTGGCCGCCACCACGCCGGGAACCCAGTACCCGATCCAGCGGAAGCAGTCGGACCGCAGATCGATCCCGAACCCGCGCCAGGAGCGCAGCCAGACGGCTGCGGAGGTGCGTTCTGTCAGGATGACTTTTGCGTCGGGGTACATTTCCAGGAGGTCCGGCAGGCATGCGCTCCCGGGGACCTCGAGGGTGACCTCATGGCCTTGGAGGAGTTTGGCGAGCTTGCGCCGGCGGAGGGCGGTGTCTTTTGTGTGGACGATGTCTGCGCTTTGGCGGAGGTTGTCGAATTGGCAGAGGGGCTCGGCGAGGTGGAAGCATGGGCCGTAGCCGAGTTCCTCGAGGGCGCGCTTCATGCTGATGGTGCCTGTGCGTGGGAGTCCGGCCTGGGTGCGTTAGTGGGTTTGCTTTTGTGGCTGGTTAGACTTGGACATACCACGATGACTTTGATGGTGCCTCCATGGTGTACGCCGGAAGTGACTTGTAGTCTTGCGTCTGCTTTGGGATCGGGACTGGTGATCGCGATGCCAGACCGAAGGACGAGGCCTAGGGTGTGGATGCTGAGCTTGTAGTAGAGCCAGGAGTTGGACTTGTGCATGTCCATTTGCAGTTTTGTGGTTTCCATTGTGAGATCTGCTTGTATGTAGTGTAGTGAAGTAGTGAAGTAGTGAAGTGATCGACTCTGACATGCATTCAGTCCGTATTATAGACTTTCGATCTATAGGGAGTCGAAGAGAAGTGAAGTGATATCGCCCCCATCGCGATGAACCCACAACAGAACACAGCCACCAATAGTCCAAAATTGCACACAAATAGCTTACTTGCTTAACTGAAATTGATCTTGAGAATTTTCATGAAGTAGATTAAAATCTAACATCAGATACGGAGTAGATTTGGGGCCATTGCCAAATTCAATAAGCATCGCCAAGTAGTCTTGACGATCTTGACTCCTCCAAGCCAAGGTCAGCCCAACACGAGGCGTTGTGGCTTGTCAATCTGGAATCTCATTTGGTAACCTTAATCCAGATAATTTTAGCCCCATTTTACATTGCGCCCCCTAGCAGATCCCTATCTGGACTCCACACGAGGCTCTGCATGTTGCAGCATTCGGCCCCAATGGTGAAACATCCCCACGTGGCCCTTCAGCTTGATGGCAGTAAACATGCAACACCAGGGAGTTTACTTCTTACTTCAGAAGTAATTCGTGTGTCTCACGTGGTGGAGATTATCATGACTAGGACCTTGTAAGAGGAAGTTGCAGTTAAGCCTCCTGGGGCCAAAAGCACAGGAAATCTGTGAACAAGGCTGCTTCATCGTCTGAGCGCTCTCCTTCGCCTCTGAACAGAATGTCAAGCATTGAAGGATTCTAAGAAGGATCAGATGCAATTTGCCTCGTATCTCTGTTGCGCGTGAATGTTCGAGACTAATAATAGACAAGATCATTTTAGACCTTCATCATATTTGGGTCTTGCAGGATGTGAGGCAAAATTAGATGCTTCATACTTTCCTGGATGTTCTTTTCAATGTATAGTATGCCTTGGGCTGAGCCTTCCAGCAGTAGGTCGTTTGGGCTATCTCTGTAGTCATCCTCAAGCACAGAAAGCCTTTCTGTTGCGGGTCGAATTAGTAGGATTGCACCTGAAGAAAGGAGCGTATACAACTTATCCACGCTCTGTACTCAGATAGCTCTCACATACAGTAGATATAATCTACTTACCTCAATGGCTTGCATTGCTGCATTAAGGGTTATTTATGTCTGCACGTTATGTAAATATATATTGTAGCAACAACGAGACCAACAAGCTGGCCGAAAGATTACCAAGAGAAAGAATACAGCAGTGAATATACACTTAGCTGTCTGTCAGTAGCTCTGTAGATATATAGAGGCATTTTTCTGGAGGCTAGTGCCTTTAATCATATGCGTAGAGGTTCATCAGTCAACAGAAGTTACCAAACCATGAACCTGCTCTAAGTATTGACTTAATTACACTTGGAGATGGACAACAGATCAAGCTATAATTAGGCGCAGTTTCAAGGAAAAATGAGATTGAATAAGCGATGTTAAAGCAAATTAAACACAAAACATTTTGCGATAGAACAATAAACTTTGACCCAGCTACCCCATCCCCTCCTAAACAACATCAACAACATCCCTCAAAACTCCTCATCCCTGAGAGAATCAGCCTTCCCCGCCGTCAAAACCACCACCTTCCTCGCAGTCAGAGCAACAGCCGTTGCAGAGAGCGTCGCGATATACTCCATGACAATGACCATGAGGAAATGCAGCCAAATACCCGTGTCGTCCTCCGACAACGGGTTTAACACGGACCCCTCCCCCGAAAACAACGATCCAGCCGAGAACGCCAACCGGACACTCATGAACGGCACACAGAGCAAAGCACAAACGACAGCTGCGCGTTCAGTGCGGTAGAACTTCACCCGGACCTTGAGCATGGTGATTACCGAGAGGACAACGACGCTGGCGAAGATGGCGATGAAGAGGATTATGCCCGCGCGCATCAAGCGGAGGTCTTGCGATTGACTATCCCGGCTTGTGTAGAGGTCTCTGCCGCCGTATGCGGTCATTACCGTGGCTGCTATGGTGATCAGTTGCAGTGGAATGAAGGCCCAGAGAGGTAGGCCTTTGTATACGGGAGCGTTGCTGGTGATTGCTGTTAGAAGATGTGCCGAGTGGAGGAGGTGACTTACGCTCGGATCAGAAGCCCTATCAAGAGACACAGGACTGGTGCGAGTCCGATTGTGTCGAGGAGTGTAGCCGTTGTTAGGAGATTGGATTTTGCTGGATCCATGGCTGCTAGGCCTAGTGCTGCGGCGGCGATTCGCAAGCCGGAGAGAATGATGAGCGGAATCACAATGGGACGCCATGTGTACGGGTGCTGGTTGCCATGCAGAAGAATGATGAAAAGAATAGCAGGGACGATGGGAGCATAGAATGCCAGTTCAATGAGGTAAATTGCATCTCGTAGGGCAAACATGGTGGGCTTGGAAATGTTCAAGATGGCCGCGACAATCGAGGTTGAGCAGATTTCTGGCTGAGTTTCCAAATCTACAGTCTTATGGACAATAGACAGTAAAGTACTACAACTAGTGTCGCTTGGATCGTCGCCAAAGAAATGCCACGATTAAGACTTTCTCCTGTTCTTGAGGCTTGAGATAAATCCTACGGCCCCATGGCCCCCATCTGACACTACGTCGCAGAGGCAAGGCAAGATTGGAATCATCTCAAGACATACCAAAGATTCCAGAGCAATGATCATGCAAAAATGCTCTCGCTGATCTATACCATATATGGAGACACGTGGATTGGTGATAAGGATTGGGGGCCGTCACTGCACAGCCCTAATCTTATAGTTAAGGTTCATGAAGAACCCCACCTCAGAAAAGAAGCACTGCCATGCATACCAAGCAATAATCTGCTGGGCTCAGTGTTTCAGCCTTGCATGGGTTATTTTGAGATGATCTGCACGCTCCGTTAGTATACAGGAACTTGGCCCCAGTAAGCCAGAAATAGATTCAACATCACGACACAGCTGTAATAGAATCAGCCTCGCCACCTTTGGAACGAATATATAAGAGGTCAACAGATTGACTTCAGCAGAACAAATCAAATCAGAATCATACTCAACCAGCATGCTTGAAGCTGAATACCTGGCCTATCTCGTCGTCTCTTCACCACTTCAACTCTGCATCTACTCTACCAGCGACGACTCCTGGTCCTGGACACCCGAATACAACCATGCTCGCTCCACTTCTCGTCCTAGTCGCTCTCGCGAGCTACTTCCTTGTGAGACTGCGCCAGCAACGTCGCATGTTCAAAGATCTCCCTGGGCCGCCGCATCACGCTATCTGGGGTCACTTTTTAGTCATGCGCGAAATCGCAAGCACTCTACCCCCCGACGCAACTCCGCAGCTGTTTGCGCATCTGATGCGTCAGCGATACGGTCTCGGCGACTTCTTCTACCTTGATCTGTGGCCGCTCGCACCGCCGCAGCTTGTCATCGCCCATCCGGAACTGGCGACGCAGATCGTCCAGAAGATGAATCTTCCCAAGGAGTCGGCCGTCATGCAGAAGTGGACGGGTCCTATCCTTGGCGAGAAGTCTATGGTCTCTGCGAATGGACATGACTGGTTCATTGCACGCAAGTCTTTCACGCCGGGCTTCCAGCCGCGGAAGTTGCTGCAGCATGTTCCGAATATCGTGGATGAGGCGCTGGCTTTTGCTGATGTTCTAAGAGAACATGCACGGAGGAATGACATCTTCAGAATGGAAGATCTAGGCGCGCGGATGATATTCAATATTTCGGCTTGGGTGATCCTGTAAGCCATGTCCTTTGCTGCCAATCAAGCATCAAGCTAACTGAGTATACAGGGGAATCAAGTGCAACGCGCAGCGAGACGATGATGAATTCCTCGAGCTCTTCAGGAAACAGGCCGCCTTGGCACCTCAGGACTTCTGGTCCCGGTATCTCTACGATGTCAGTCCCCGTCGGCACTATCAAAAGTGGAGGAACGGGCGTGCTTTGGACCGCTACGTTGGCCGTCTGGTAGACCAAAGAGTGTTCAGTGGACCGACTGCCGTTCCAAGCGAAAAGGCCAGATACTACGCCATCGACGATGCCATTGCTACCAGCCGCACCTTGAACAAGTCTATACCTCCTACAACCTCCATGGATAAAGACACGCGGGAAATGCTCATCGCTTCAGTCAAGACGCTCATCTTCGCTGGCCATGACACCTCAGCCAGTACTCTCTGTGTAAGTCCTTTGGAGCCTCCATTCAACCACCACTAACAGTAGGCAGTATACATACGCTGCCCTTAGCAAACACCCCCAAGTCCTCCGCACCCTCCGGCAAGAACACACAACCCTCTTCGGCACTGACGCCTCCACCGCCGCAAAGCTACTCCGCAACGATCCGAACCTCGTCAACAACCTCCCCTACACCCTCGCCGTCATCAAAGAAGCCCTCCGCCTCTGGCCCCCAACCGGCGTCAGCCTCCGCCGCGGCCAACCAGATCAAACCCTCCTCGCGGACGGCAAAGAATGGCCCACGCACCCCTTCGCCGTCCTCGTCAACAACTGCGCCACCATGCGCCGGGAAGATCTCTTCAAGGATGCGGAGAGGTTCTATCCGGAGCGGCACCTTGTTACTGACCCCGCGGATCCGTACTTTGTCCCGCGCGACGCGTGGAGACCGTTTGAAAAGGGGCCGCGGATGTGCCTTGGTCAGACTTTGGCTTTGATGCAGTTGAAAATTGCGTTGGTGATGACGGTGAGGACGTTTGATTTTGAGATTGTATATGAGGAGGGGACGTTCATGTATCAGACTCTGGATGTCACGGCTAAGCCCTCGCAGGGGTTGCCGACGAGGGTGAGGTTGATTGAGTAGTATATGCTTTGGGTTTGACATCTCGCGGGATTTGTATATAGCGAAGCTTGTGTTTCTGCGCATGTTTTGATTATTTAGCAATGTTGATATTTTACTGCATTTTTCAGTTGCCGAGTCCTGCTGTGATTGTCTTTACTCGATCTTGCAAAGCATCGCCAGGGACCCTGCGCCATCTACATGAGTAGCCGGGATATTCGGGCTCCCTAAGTTATCAGAAGAAGTGTGATCTTCGTATTGCAGAGCTCGACATCGTTTTCGACATCCTCCTTCTTTCATTTTCATTCTACTCTTGGGCTGCTACAGAAAGTGTTCGGTGTCCATTCAGGGCATGGAAAAAATGCTAGGGCTCAACGCTATTTATATTCGGAGGGAGCTGCACCAACGGGAAGAGACAGTAGATTCAATGTACGCGATGCCTCGTAGAGATGTAATCCACCACTGAGCCGGTCACCTTGTTTCGGCCCTAGTTAAAAACATGAGATAACTCGCCACTGTTCATTTAAATTGGAGCGATTTCATATGATTTGATCACCTGTCTAATAGTGCACCTAGTTCTGGGATAGCATATCACAAAGCAATTAGATTACTGTAATAACATAAACGTAGACCCGTGCTCCGTATGATAATTGATATTCCAACCAGAGATCTTCTGGAAGCTCTGTAAATCCGACTACCCCTTTTTTCAGATCGGCAGTTTATCAGGGCTGTTTCCTTCATCTGAGCGACGAGTATGATACCTGGAGGCTTCTAGGGACCTCTTAGATCGCTCTCGCCGATTCAAAAGCCTGGAAGCAAGCTCCAAGAGAAACGGCTGCGGAACACTTGCTGGTCCTGCCCACTTATGGAGCCATGTACTGTATCCATAATTTGCGTACATATCCATGAGTAGTTCGCGAATTGGAGCCGACTCATTTGTGTTGTCGAATGCATACTTTATCACTTCGCCGAAAGGATACCAACATCCCCCATCTCGTGCTTTTGAGCAGCTTTTCTCCACAATAGCGTCAATGGCTGTGTCTTGAAACTTGTCGTCTAGGATTTTATCACCCAGGACATATGCCTTAACTAAGTCAAGGTATTCAGAGTTCCCTGGGAGACCTGGTTCATCGCAAAACACAGGAAGTGTGCCGTAGTAGAGCCAGTGCACATATAGCGCAAATATTGCCGGTTCATCATCTGGTAGGTGGATAGTGCGTTGTAGAGACTCCTTCCATTCACCCGCCATGGCCTTGTCGAAGAATGAAGAGGAGGCACGGACTAACACTTCATGGACGCTAAAGGCTTCTTGCTCATCTCCCACCACTATATCAACTGTTCTTCCCCGAAGTCTTTGGAAAGGATTAGCGTGTAGCAAAAGTCAACACACTACAGGCACAGTACTTACTTACTACCCACACCCTTAAAGATTCGGATCCTCTTTGAACACATCACTTTCGTAAAAGGTGCCCGCCGGTCTCGAACGAGTTGCTTGGGAGAGTGGCGCTACGATATGCGTTAACGTAATGGTAGCCGCTGGCGGGTAAGAGATGGTTGGATTCCGTATCAAGGAAGCCTGTGGAGTACTGAAAAGGTAGGTATTGAATGGGGTCGATGAGAGTAAATGATCTAACGAACAAGACACGATGGAATTGATACATAGAGTTGATTATCATAGATCTCATGGGTCCATCCTTTCTAAGCTCTGGGGAGCTAACTTAGGATACGAAGTGAATCAGCATGCGGTGATAATCATGATGTCACATCCGCTCTATCCCCTAACTTCTAACCATACTATGCAATGCCTATCTGCCAGCTCGCTACAAGATATGTTTTTAGGTTGGCATAACATTGGGTGGGGGAGAAAAGGCTGCTAAGGTGGCTAGTTGCTATAACTGATGTCATGTATGGCATGTATACAGAGTAGACTGGTCCTAATGTTTACAGCTCTGCTTACTTTACACCACCATCGCCTTGAACAAGACCATCACACCTTCAATGACCTCCTAGGCGAAAGGTCGAGACTGTGGCCATTGACGAGAAGGCTCCGGAGAAGCTTCTTACAGATGTTCGTGAGAGGCTATCGAGATTGAGCGCCTCGCGAAGCTGCACTATGAGAAGCTTGAGGCTTCTGTTGATAAACCGCCGCTCAATACTGTCATAGAAAAGTGTAAGGGTTGCTTGTTGGAGGATATCGACAAGATCGTGGAGGAGTTTAAGGTCTGGGGAATGTCCGCCAATGCTGCCGGTATCGCTGCTGCATCCGTCATTGCCACCACAATGATCCCTATTCTCGTCAAGTCCCTAAATGCCAGAATCTCCGGACATTTTCCATGCACTGGAATGCTGAAGAATGAATGGCTTCCCTATTTCTTAACATGTAACTGTCGATAGTGGGCCTAGGCGTATAGTTCGTATCACAATGATGAACATATGAAGGCCTGACGAATTAGATCTAGTGTAATCACCGGCTACGTATGCGAATGAAGTAGTCCAATCAAACTAAATAGGGATTCAACTGACTCGTTGCATATGCCAGGACCAGGCACAGTTCCTCCTTCTACAGGTCCACAGGAACCTGATCCGAATTTTCCGCCAACGGGACAATTCACTGACGCAGGTTCACTTACTTGAAACCCAGCATGTTTGCAGATCTTTATTGTATACGGATAGACGGATTATATCAATTGGCGGATGCGAAACACGCCGAGGTTTGACGCTGTCTCCACTGGAGCATCAACCTGCGACAGGAGCCCCTAGTCCAGACGGCTAGTGTTTTATGCTTATTCCCACGGCGGATGGACTCTCCGAATAGATTAACTGGCGCTTGCAACAATTATCTGGAGCATTCAAGACTGGCGCCGGAATATTTACTTGAGTCATGTAGTAGTTCGAGCCCAAATGGATTACGAACCATTGTCTCCACTGGATCAGTGTGAGACATCGACAGCATTCAGGACGATGGACATAGTTGATCAGGCTTAAAAGAGACCAGTTCCCTCCATGGATTCGACGTTTCTTCATCCTTCAACCAATTCATTCCTTCTCATTGACTGAGTCTGCGCTGGTCGCTTTCATTCTTTCCATCGGTCCATTCATTTACTCCTCATTGTCCTTCCATTCGTTCTACAATGCCTCAAACCAAGTCTCTCTCTCTCCTGACAGCTCTGCTGTCCGCCACCCGTGTCGCTGCCCACGGCCATGTCACCAACGTCGTCGTCAACGGGGTCTACTATGCTGGCTTTGACATTGGCAGCTATCCCTACATGTCGGACCCTCCCAAGGTCGCCGCTTGGACCACCCCCAACACCGGCAACGGCTTCATCGCCCCCAGCGAGTACAACTCCGCCGACATCATCTGCCACGAGAACGCCACCAACGCGCAGGCTTATATCGAAATTGCTGCTGGTGATCGCATTCAGCTTCAATGGACATCTTGGCCGGATTCTCATCATGGCCCTGTGATTGATATGCTTGCTTCATGTGGAGAGTCGTGTGAAACTGTTGACAAAACTTCGCTCAAATTCTTCAAAATCGACGGAGTAGGGCTGGTGGACGACTCGGAGGTCCCCGGTACCTGGGGTGACGACCAGCTGATCGCCAACAACAACAGCTGGATGGTTGAGATCCCCAAATCCATTGCGCCCGGCAACTACGTTCTTCGCCACGAGCTGATTGCCCTGCACAGCGCCGGCGACAAGGATGGCGCGCAGAACTACCCCCAGTGCTTCAACCTCAAAGTTACCGGATCCGGTACCGACTCGCCGGCTGGCACCCTGGGCACGGAGCTCTACACTGAAACTGACCCCGGCATCCTGGTGAACATCTACACCTCGATCTCCTCGTACACCGTCCCCGGTCCTACCATGTACTCCGGTGCCGTCTCCATCACCCAGACCACCTCGGCCATCACCTCGACCGGCACCGCCACCGTCGGCTCAGGCGCTGGCAGCACCGGGGCGGCCGTCTCCACTGCCTCTGCTGCCTCGTCTGCTTCGGCCACTACCTACTCGACCATCGCCGTGCAGGTTCCCACCACCCAGGCCCAGTACAGCACCCCGGTCCCCTCCAGCGCGCCGACAACCTTCATGACGGCCCCTGCTCCTAGCAACCCCGTCCCTGACACCACGTCTACTACGGCGGCTACCCAGGCGTCTTCTGCTTCTGGCGCGACTCAGTCTATCTACGGCCAGTGCGGTGGACTGAACTGGAGTGGTGCGACTGGCTGTGCTTCAGGCTCGACCTGCAAGGATTGGAACCCTTACTACTCCCAGTGTGTGCCCAACTAGACATGTATAGTAGCTGGATAGTGAGAAAGTAGTTGTGAAGATAGTCCGTATTTTGATACCAATCATACATTCAGACCATTCGCAAAGTCAAACATAAAAGATCTGGGCCTGTATGAGTATTTTATCGGCAAGCACCAATCTCCGCGAGTGAAAGTAGCTTTGATGTGTTCTGATGGAAAGTAGCCACAAGCTCCCCCAAGAGGGACGTGACCATTTTCTGAGATCCTGTGGGCCAAGTCTTTCCTCTTGATTTCTCCAGCCACAAGTCCAATTCTTGCCCTAACCTGGATCCAGAAGTTCTGGACTTTTCTGGTCTCTCTTGAGGCACCTTAATTCCTCTGCGGCGCCTCTCAAAAGATTGGTCAAAGCTTGGTATGAAGAGATAGCAAGCAACGTCGTTAGAATAATCAACATTTTACCAGTGAGCGCCAACAACCTCAGGAATAGTGCCATAACTAATCCTTCCTGTGTATGAAAACAGCATCCATCTTACAATGGGCTTCGAAGGCAATCATCCAGGGATCTGGGTTACCAAGAGAGGTACTGAGTTGAACCATTCTAGGAGAAAAACTCAGGTGCTCACTTTTCTAGCAAAGATCAACCAGACATTACTGGAACGGGTCAGCCACTTGTAATATTCCCCCACTGTTGAGTATCTTCATCATTGGTACCTAGACGTGCCAAATACGAATTCGCTCGGATTCTAAGTGGATGGTGAATACGAGGTGGCTGCTGCTTCGCAAAGACAAGCCTCGGAACCATGCTCGGCCTCTGAAGTCCGAACCCCTGATTCATTAAAGACCCTGGGAAGCTTCCAATTCGAATTTCGGTCCCCTGCTGAAGCTGGATTTTCCCTGTTCAACATCACAAATATCCGTATACCCATACCTCCACGCCCTCCGACAAAATGCGTCCCACCACCAGCCTTTGGACAGCTGTCCTTCTCGCATCTTCAGCCCTCGCCCAAAGCCAAAGCCAATGCGTCACCAACTGCGAGACATCTCATCTCGAAAGCTCAGCATGCCAGGGCGATGAGACTGGCCAGGCACTCGCAGACTGCACCTGCGCGTCTTTCCAGGGCCCGAAAGATCCTATGATTGTCTGCATTAAAGCGTGTCCTGCGGCCGATGTCGCCGCATTCGCTGCCGGCATTCCAACTGAATGTCGGGGTAAGCTGTTTCCCGAAATCAGTGCCGTGTCCAGCAGCGGCACAGCCAGCCAAACCCAGACGGAGATCTCGTCCTCCGCTGCCACTACCAGTTCATCTGCGATGGGCTCCAAAACCACTGTTACTACAGCCACCGGTCCTACTACTGCGGCTGCCGCGTCGTCCACGCACACTGGGCTTGCGGCCATGAACCAGCCAGCGGGAATGGTCATGGCCATTGGTGTGCTGGCGGCATTTGCGATTTGATTTGATACATTAGGGAAGGGAATGGCATTGGTATTGGTGGTGCTGAGTTGGTGTGCCTACATCATTGATATTATCAATATGTGGGGTTCATGCTTGTCAGAGGACATCTATGGTCGATATCTGTTGATCGCTCACTCCACTGTAATAATGGCATGTTAAATAGGGGTACTTTTGATGTGCGGTTTACGTTGTTTACATTGTTTCTACCAAGTTTCTCTTCCATAGAGTTACACACATTACCATGGACATAATGAGAATATACTGTTAGTCATCCTACTGGGAATTAAAAGACAGCTGATAGCATTAGTGCTTTCTGCTTAACTATTTACCTTATTAACACGCATGGCGGCCTTTTTAGTTATATGAAAATATATCATCTTGTGTCTGACTGCCTTGCGATCTAATGAGCTTGCTAGTACCCTCTGTGTTTAAATTTTTGAGCATAATTGATACTAGAGAAGGAAAAAAGGAATACACAAAAGACATCCCCAAATACCTCTGCTGACTACCCATTATCATTGAGGACGCCTAATGTATGATCAGCAATCGTTACCACACTATTCACCCTAAAGTCTTAACTACATACTTAGTTTGAACTTTAGACAGCAGTTGATAGCTCTCCTTTAAAGATATAGTCTCCGAGCCCCTATTACAACCAGTGAATGGTTCTTTTACCCAAACAAGACGACTGAGATTCATAGTGGGCTTGTCCTGAAAGTCCTGGTAGTCATCGTCCTTGCTAGGATGTTCAAGTCCATGTCTTCTTTCTGTTTCCTTCTCATCATCCAAGTAATACAGATCGTGAAGGGTTGCGAGCTTCGTGATCATTTCCAGGGGAACATACCCTGTCCGAGGGCTTGCAAGAGCACCAAAACAAAAAGATAATGCCTTGGGTGTCTGTTGCCTTTTTGGCTTCACTGGGCTGTTCCATACTTGAATGGCACTTTGCATTAAGAATTAAAGCTGGCTTGAGTACTGTCACATTTCCAACAGCAATACCTTGGAAGTTTGATCAAAATTCTCTTTAAACATAGCGGGAGGGGCGAGATCTCGATCTCCACATGTTTGGTCCCCTCCTTGAATGTCGGGTGGTTTGTTCTAGATTCAACCACAAAGTTGCGAGAGGGCCCGTAGTAACTGTATGGGCCATTATTGCCGGGATCGCCGAACTTGGCAATCTGCAAGGCTAGCTCATATCCCCTAAACGTGAGCCTTGGACACCGTGTTCATCCCCAACCTCGACATTTCCATACGTATACGGATCCCGGGCTCGAAGGGTGTAACCCAGAGTCCGTTGCTGCCAGGTATGGTTTTCGTGACAGGCCTGAACAGCGCTCAGGAAGCCCGGCCATGGCTGGAGATCACCATTTAGCCAAGCGCTTTAGGTCTTTGTCCCAATTAATCGTAGAATCGTATATCATTGCTATGAATGACGATTGGGACATGACAGTGCTCGAACATCCCTTCCCTGCGACCTCATCCAGAAATTCGACTAGCTCTTTCATGGCCGTGTGGCGGTTCGAGACGCTCCGCTCTAGTGCCACCCAGAGTGCGTTTCCTTGGGTTGTCAGCGCTGCTTTTTCTGCGTCAGACATTCTTGCATTAAAGGCCGCTTTTGTCCCAGAACTAGGCGTGGCGATTGATTGTCGGTTGGCTGTCTGCTTCTGAGGAGTCCTCGGTCCCATCTCTCGCGCAGCAGAGTTTGGCCTCAAAGGACGACAAAGTCACTGCGAGATGGCGAAGTTGAGATAAAGAGAAATCGGAAGCAAAACAAAGAAACGGTGAGAGCAACACAGAGGGTGCGAGGACCCACGCAGGCTATTATTTTACCTTTTGCTTGAGCTGTGAGGTCAGAGTTGTTCAGCGGCCTTCCCATAGCGTCAGTGTGAGGTGCGTTAAAGAGTGTTTTCCGGGAGCCACGAGGGGGGGTGTCCTTGTTGTTCCCGTTGTCCAGTTGAGCTTGATCATTCTATTCATGGACCGCATCCTTGGATTCTGTGGGTTCTTAATGTTGAGTTGCTTGCATGCCTGCTCATGGTCGTCTCTTTGGTAGGCGATGTTATCGAAGACCTTCTGGTGCTGCCGAAACTGCTCCAGTGTCTCTTCTGTGGACACAATGAGACCTGATTGGAAATAGTCTGCTTTGATGTGACCCGCCATCTTACTCTTGTATTCGAACACATTCATGTATTGTGACCATCAAAGGTCGACGCCGGCCCAGTTTGTTCTTTGTCCTGTACATTGTCCTTGTACTATGTATAGTGTATGTCTGGCTGTTGATGATCATCTGCTCAGTGATTATGTTGTGGGTCAGTGACGATGATGAAGTGATAATCAGGGTTTTGAGATGAGGAAGGTAGGTATCTTAGGTAGCGCGAGCTCCTAGGTTAAGGGCCCATTTGTGAGTGCCTGGTATAATATCAATGCTCCATTGTCAGTGTCTGCATTAATTATGGGTGCGTTTTCGTGTTGTGTGATTGAGGGCACTTTAACTATGACAGCGGACTGACTTATGCCCCTTAGCTCGACAAAGCGCACAATGCCCCCCCCCTCCTTTGATAGAGGACGTTCCACCTTCTTTGATTGGCCAACTCCCAGGGTCTTTCCCAATCCTTTGACGGGTGTCGCGAAGCTGATGATGAAAGTACCCATGCTCCTTCCTGTCTGGGTTTGTACTTTCTCTCGGATCTCATAGGCGGGAATGCTGCTGTCTCCACTGGGCTTAAACTTCGCGTTAATGGCGGCCTGGACATCAACTTCCTTGGCGGTTGGGCCGGCGCCTGGGACAACCGACAAAGGTATGGTCCACTATTTCCGGGATCTCCGAATTTGGCAACCTGAAGTGGATACGCGTTTCCTTTGAACTCAAATTTGCACTTGGACATCTTCTTAAAGTCCTTATCCCTGCGGGCTGTAGTATCGTAGATTACCGTGTACGTGCAGATTCGGCAGTGTCCCAATAATAAAACTTGACATGTCTGCCGACGGTGATGATCCCGTACTGAGCATGAGGCCAGGAGTGCTGAGCCACCATGGCCATGAAAGATGACGCTGACGTTACGATCCTAACGCAGCCTTTTCCTGCCACTCTGTCGAGGTAGTCCATTAAGGCTTTCATGGTGGAGTGTCTGTTCGGGATGTTCTTGTCTAGAGCCACCCACAAGGCCGTTCCTTGCGATGTCAATGCCTGTTTCTCAGTCTTTGACATCCTGGCATTAAAAGAGGCCTTCATGGCGGAACCTGGCGTTACGAGGGTGTCCGGGCCTGCCTTACTCTTCTTGGGGGTCCTAGGGGGGAGCTCTGCATCCTGGCCATTCGGCCGAGTCCTCTGCTTCCATGGCTCGCATGTATCTCTGCAGCTGGCCCTTGGCCTCCTCCCAGGTTGCTTCATCATTCTCCTTTGAAGTCCGCTTGCACTGCGTGACAAGGAATGGGTCCTCACCCACCCGGCTGTGGCGGGTCGAATATAAAGCCCCCTTTGACCTTGTCCTCCGTCCGGTGGACGAAACCATTATTCTGGTTGAAATAATGGTTGACGAATAAGTTCCAGACGCCAGTCACAGCGTCATCATGGTTTTCGACAGCGTCCTGGTAACCTCCCGCACACCATTTGTGTTCAAGGCTCCATATCCATGTAGGCTGCATAGGATGGCATTCATAAATATGAGATCGAAATGCCATTAGTGTATCTGAGCCTAGGACACTGGAAAGTGTGACAGATAGAAGTGAAGGCAGCCTCCAAGATGACGAGAATGGTGCAAATTCTCATTGAAGCCGATGTTGTGCTCTCCAAGAACTTGGTCCCTGTATGGACTGATGATCATGACGTCTTTGGGCTCGATTTTCTCTCCTTGAGCCGTCTCGACCTGGTACAGCTGAGGCAAGAGCTGTTGCAGAACGTCCACCTGTGCCTTATTGTACGAGGACAGGCTGTTCTGGTGGCGATCAGCATACCCGATCGTACACATGAACAGACGGCGAGGCAAGTACTGGTATATCCCTAGGAGTTGGGATGGGACAGTAGACCAGCAAGGCAATGTGGACGATGGTGTATCCATCGTCCAATGCCTACTTGACATAGCGAGAAGAGAACACCACCGAGATACTGTTCTAGCACAGAACATCTGAGATGGTTATAGGGTGGCATGCTCACCCAGTCGAATGAACCATCAGGTCGGATCGAGGGGAAGAAGATTTGATTTGGATAATTCCATAGTATGGCCTTGCTGTGTCGCCGACGGGCTGTCTGTATATAACTGACGATGTTTGTTGAAATCTGACCAAAACCCATAGCCATCATTACAATAAGCTTAACTGGGTAGACATAGCTCAGTGATCCGGCCTCAAGGGATAAGAATGAGATCGCTCTGTCGTTATTTCATTGTCTATAGTCGTGCTCTTTGAGCATGGTAGACTGCATAACCAGGGAAGGCTATATGTACTTATGGCCCTTTGTGAAGCGCAGAGTGATTCGTCCATGGAGATTATTAAATGTATCCCCAACCGCAATGGAGACATCGCTCCACTTCAAATAATTCTCTTTGTTGAACTTGTCCCAGACCAGGTCGCCTATTTAGAGTCAGACGTCAATGTATCTTTTTATGATGATGTGACTTGAAGAATAGAGGAGATTAGACAAACCAGGTCAAAAGCCCAGCGCACTCTGCATGATCATCACGCAGAGTTTCATTGAATGAACATCCCAGGAGGTGGTCCCATGGTGGATTGCATCATCAGTCCCGGCTAATGCTATTGTGTGGATAATGTAATGTCCAGCCCAGGCTCGGGGCAACGAATGCCATTTGATGAGTAACTGTTTCACGAACGAGTGTCTGAAGGCATGAGTCGATCTTTCTAGCCATCTGTTTATCAATCTTGGATGATTGATACCTGAACTCCATTGCTGTAAAGATATGACAGATATCGTGCCGCAGACCTGACGCTGACCACGTCGGCATGTGTATGGTTCGGCTTCATCTTGGGGAGAATTGTCTCGATGAAGCGAATAAAGTCCTCCGCCGTTGGCGGGCTTGATAGGATGTCCGGATTGCTAAGTCAGAAATGTTTATTAGCGGCGATGGTAAACCAGGATCTTTGCCATCTATAGTTAGTAACTCACTGAGGATTCGTAATTGTTCTGTATGCATTGAATCGGTTCTCCCATATGTTGATTAACCTCTGAGTGCGGATAGATGCAGATGTTACTCCTAGGGTGAGATATCACCGTTTGCTGCTTATTCCGTCTTTCTTAACAGTTTCTCTCATAGTAGTAATTGAGTCAAACCCATAACGATGCTTTTGAGGTATGGTTACCTCACGAACCTCGTCTGACGAGTTTTTCTAAGGACGTACTTGCCAATACTCGCAGTAAGTACACCAATAAAGATCCAAAAGATCTATCAGGAGGAGTTGCTAAAGCAGAGTCAGAAGCAGCTTTGACGAGTGGATCGAAACAGCAAGGTTGAAGTTTGGAAAGATGATTGATCCATAGAAGTGAGCTGATTAGCTTCTTTTCTCGAGATAGCCGGTGACGGGAAGAATGGGAAAGAGAAGACAGGGCAGGAGACAGGAGAAATGGGAGAAGAGGTAGGACATGTTCATTCACTACCTAGTATCACTGGGTAGTATTCACTATTAATCAGCATATCTTCTCAGCAGTGAATCATAAGGTATATTCACAGTCTTTATATGCATATAGTTCAGCCACAGGATTAGTCTGAAAGGGAGCAAGAAATGTCATTCACAGTAGACTGTCGCGATAATTAAAATCAGATGAAGATGATATCAATCTGAATAGATCTAGCTCCAGAGAAGGCACCTGTTTTGTGGATTTTCAGGAGAAATACAGTTCTGACACATCCAGCCACCATAGGAATCTACAACATGAGTGTCCAGCTTTCTAGAGTGGAAGGCTGACTTTGATTTTAATAATATGCTTAGGAACTTAAATGCTCATTCAGTGAATGTGATCATAGTACAAAGTTCTTTTCAATCAAACAAACGGACATATTGACAGACTGCAGATAGCAGCTCTCTTCCTGGCTGCGTTACAACTTTGATTTCTGTTTCCCTACTTTTATGCTCTCATCCCGAGGTGGTCAAGGCAAACAAACCAACAAATCACCCAGCTTATCCAGCACAACCGCCTGCACATCGGCATCCGCATCGGTCTTATCGCTCCAACCCACAGAGATACTCACATAGCATCCGTCCGTATCCACGACCGTCGTCTCAGTCGGCAGCCGCGAGCTCCCACACGTCTCGACATCATCCCCCGAAACCAACGGCACCGCCGTGAAGATCCGCGACAGCACAAACTTGAAGTCGTCCGCACTAGCACACTCATCGCTCACCTCGGGGAAGTTGACGTTCAGCCAGACCTGGTCGGGCAGGTATGGCGTCCCCGAGGCGACGATCTGATTGGTGACTTTCGTGGCCAGCTGCGCATACACCTGGCTGTACGCCGGCACGGCAGCATTCCACGCCGTCTGCGAGCCGGAACTCCCCGAGAACGCGATCGCGGGGATCCCAGCCTCGGAGGCGTAGTGTGCTGCGCCGACTGTGCCGGAGAAGTACACGGACAGGCCGAGGTTCGCGCCGACGTTGGGGCCGGAGACGGCTAGGGCTGGGGCGGCGCCGTTGAAGAACGGAGGCGCCGTGGTGTTGATGCCGTATTTCATTGACGTGACGGGGTAGGAATTGACGTAGTTGAGCCGGGGGTCAGAGGCATTGTAGCCTGTGGCGGGACTGCCAGAGGGACAGCTGTTGAACTCGCAAGGTTCCGTCAGGGTGGTGGGTGTTTTGTCAGAGGAGCCTGGGCTGGTCAGCACGGATTAAGCCGTTGATGGAGGGAGATCGGGGACTACCTGTTCCACTCTGGTTCTCGGCTGGTGCAGAGACCACGACGGAATGCCCAGCTGCGGTTAGGGCTTTGTAGAACTGGCGGATATTAATCTCGGCCCATCCATCATCGTTGGATGAGACGATGTTGATCGCCTGGGCTGTCAGGGGCAGGAGAACGAGAGGGAGAAGATGCATGGTGATGTTTCGATGGTTATCCAGTCTCAATGCTAGGGGTCTGGCGCTGTATTTAAGCGAGCATCTTGTCGCAGTCAGTTCCCAGTGTAACACTGGGAAAACAGCGGAGTGAGGAGAGGTACCATAATCAATATGAGCGATGTTGATCTCGGCGATATTCTGCCGTGCACGTGCAGCATCGGATGGATGGAGAAGAAAATCGAATAGATTAAGACACGGCCGCTATATTGTTAGTCTCGGACATCTCTGCCAATGCAAGTAGATTAAAGTTATGCAGAAGCAAAGAATACATGCAATAATAGTGGACATTTCATATTCTCTGAAGATCAAGTCGGAAACGATCTCTTCAAGTGTCTTGGCTCTCTGTGGCTTACTGGTGGGAAATATCAAGTATCCACTGACAAGCAGTGGTCAATATATCTCTTCTTAATGTCGTTAATATCTATTATGCAATGATTGGGAATTATTGCACAGCGTGCAGGCTAAAGGAGCTATGAAACACCCAAGCTCTTGAATAGCTCTATGATCGGTCCTCGCTTGCTTTGGATTCCTTTTGGGTGGAGAACAGTGTTATTGACTCCTTATTCTGCAATTGATGTACATCCTCTAAAAGCCTGGCATTTATTAATTGGTTCGCCATAGTACTATGAGAGCCAGGTCGGTATGAATTCGTCCCATCATATGATGATGAAGATGAAGCGCCCATCCTTTCTAGTTCTTCGTCTATAGAGAACAATTGCCAGCCAGGCTTGGTCTATGGGATCCTTTGCACCACTCAAGGCCTCAAGGTTAGTTTGATCTTAGTTAGCTGACGAACCCCGTTGGGCACGCAGGCATTAATTCGTGTCTCTGGTCTTCAAGGAGTTTTCAAGGCCTCTTACATATGCTTCATACTTTTCAGCCGAACGGAATACTGATAATAGAGTACCGAGAAGTCTCGGATAGATAATCACTCAGACTCAAGGGGGCGTCCACATACACGTGCGATATGATATGGAAGCAGCTGTTACCAAGATTATCCCAGACTAATACTACAGAAACCGGAGGATTATGAAGGTCACATTTTGAATCTCGAACGCTTTACCGGAAATCAAGACATTCCCAACTGTAGACTAAATCATTTGAGAAGACTGAAGCTCCACCTAGCCTTCATGCTCCACATGGATCAGATTTATCAGGATGATCGGAATTAAGCAAAGGACTTGATTATGATCTTAGCACTTCTATATCCTGCATCCTATATACTTCGAGGAAGGCGTCTCAGCCAGGAGCAATCTGCTGTCGCGAGACTAGCCCTGATTTATGAGAACTGATGTCATGTCTACAAGTCTATTGGTCATCTACACGGCTGCATCCTCAAGTTCAAGTACCGAGTATCTACTGTCAGTGGTCATCAAGAGCCTACTGAGATGTCAAAAATTAGGAAATCAGACCTCTACTAGGTGTGCCATGTGCCATGTGCCTGGTACCTACCTTTGGTACTCTTGATTTAGTGATTTGTCCCATTGGTGAATGCTATCAGTACCTCCATCCTGATTGGCAGATGCCAATCTCCAGCCACTCACAACACTTTGCCAGCCCCACTCCCCCAGCCAGATCAATCGCCATGACGCAATTGGCTGGCCGTAAACTTTGACAGCGCCCAGAAAATGCATTGATAAGCTCTGCCATTTAAAGGTAAGACTCCGCATCTCCATCTTTTCTCCTCTCCTCTCCTCTCCCCTCCACCTCCACCTCCACATCCACATCAAGGCATGGCTTTATGCCTACGTTCAACACCACCTCCCCAGAGCTAGGCCTCGACCGCCACATCTCGTCCCCCATCTCGTCCCCCATCGTCGAGCAATATGTCTACCCTACCTTCATCGCCGTCGCCTGGTGCAACGCCATCGACCTGATCGTGCTGTGCTTCAACACCTTCAAGCGCTACTCCGGCCCCTACTTCTGGTCTCTCCTCGTGGCCTCCTTCTGCATCATCCCCTTCGGCCTCGGGTACATCCTCAAGATCTACGACATCACCTTCACGAACTACTTCCTCGAGATCGCCATCCTCGATCTCGGATGGTCGGGCATGGTCACGGGCCAGTCGCTCGTCCTCTGGTCGCGGCTGAACCTGGTGCTCGATAACCCGCGCGCGCTGAAAGCGCTGCTCTGCCTGATCGTCGTGGACGGCGCGGTACTGCACTCGTCCAGCACGGCGCTCGAGTTCGCGGTGAACGCGCTGCCGGGGTCTGACGGCGTGGCCACCGCGTTCGGGGTCATGGAGCGCGTGCAGCTGGTGGGGTTCTGTCTGCAGGAGCTGCTGCTTTCCGGGCTGTATATCTACAAGGCTGTGCCGCTGCTCAAGATGGATTCGGACCCGCGCTCGCACAGCGTGCTGGTGCAGCTGATTGTCATCAATGTGGTTATCATGGCGTTGGATGTCTCCGTCGTGGTCGTCCAGTATCTCGGTTTCTTTACCTTCCAGGTTACCTTCAAGGCGTTGGTGTATAGCATCAAGCTGAAGCTGGAGTATGTTATTCTGGGCCGGTTGGTTGATGTCGCGCGGATACGGACGCCGGGTGCGGCTCGGATGAGGTTATAGTGTATATGATTCGCTTCTTGTCTATACTTATCTACATATATATATTGTCTATATTTTCTCTATCATGTCTATACCAAGGTTTTCTATCAACTGGCTACTCCGACTTCGCACTCTTGGTCTTCTTGCTCCTCAGCTTCATCATCAGAAACACCATCGCATAGCTCGAGATGCAAAACAGCGCCGTAATCCCCGTCTGCATCGTCAGTATTCCTCATCTTGCCAGAAGGGACGGGGAAAACCTACATCTCTCCACGAGTAATACCGCTCGTTCAGATTGAACGTCCGCGCATAGTCCGCCCCAGTCGAATACTGGCAGAACTCGCACACCGTCGCGTTCCCATCAACCAAGTATCCCGGCTGCTCGGCCAGAAACGCCGCCATGTACTCGCCACACGTCTGCCCCGGCGGCGCGCTGAACCGCACCAGCTCCGACGGCTCGCAGCGGACCTCCACGTCCCAGAGGACCTCGCCGAGCAGCCCGCCCACCAGGTACGTGAACGGGTCGAGATAGTACAGCCAGTACCGCCAGAACGGCTGCATCTGGGCGTAGGGCACCACGACGCCGCAGAAGCTGACCAGGCCGGCGCCGATCAGCACGGGGTTCATCACCGCCGCGAAGTACTCGTTGGGCGCGTACGCCGCGATCCCCTGCCCGATCGAAGTATACAGGAACTCGTAGAAGATCATCTGCAGGTACATGTGTCCGGCGATGCTGGCGGTGGCGGGGAAGCCCGCGGTGAAGTACCAGCAGACGAAGTAGAGGGTGGCGCAGATGATCAGGTAGGGGATCTCGGAGACGGTCTGGGCGCCGATGAAGGCGAGCCAGTGGTAGATTTTGGACTACTCAGTTAGAGCCTGCTGACAGTAAAGGACTAGGGAAGGTACCTTCTTTTCTCTCGCCTCGAAAATATCCCGGTTGTGCAGGAAGAACGGCTGCATCTGGTTGATGCACCCCGGCGCCACAAAGATGAAGTTGAAAATGGCAAACAGCCGCAGCTGCAGCGCAAAGGTGCCGTCGCCGATCTTCCAGAAGGTGAACCCGCTGAACAGCGCCGCAAACACGTGCAGGATGATCTTGTTCCAGACGTAATCCGGCGACCGCCACAGCTGCACCATCAGCCGCTTCGTCACCATCGTGAACTGGAACCATTTCGACGTCGCGTAGTCGGCCGTGTCCTCGACGTAGTCCGCGTCGGCTTTGCCGCGGTTGTTGAGCTCTTCCAGCTGTGCGAGGGCGCGCTGTTTCTCCTCGGACTCGTTCCACACCTGCACCCAATCGATGGGCTTGTCTGTGTTGCCCTGGATCACCTCCACGATGTGCTCGGCGGGGTTTTCGTCTGGAGGGCACGGGGCGCCATTCCTGGCGAAGTAGTCCAGGACGAGCTGCGAGTCTTTGCCCGTTTCGCCGAAATAGGCCATCTTCCCGCCGCGAGCGAGCAGCAGGAGCGCGTCGAAGGCCTCGAAGAGAACCGCGGAGGGCTGGTGGATCGTGCACAGCACCGCCTGTCCGCCGTCGACCAGTTTCCTCAGGAACCGGACGATATTGTACGCTGACTGCCCATCCAGACCGCTGGTGGGTTCATCCAGGAAGAGGAGCGTCGGTTTGGCGACCAGTTCCACCCCGAGGGTGACTCTCTTCCGCTGTTCGATGCTCAGCCCGGCGCCGGGGACTGTCGGTCAGCATGCTTCTGCAGAATGGGCGAGTGTACCTACCTCCGATCAATGCGTCGCTGATATCGCGCAGTTCCAAGATATCAATGATGTGATCGACATAGGCCAGTTTCTCGTCCCGCGGAACATGAGCCGGCTGGCGCAGCAGCGCGGAGAAAACCAGGGCCTCCCGGACCGTGGCCGTGGCCTCGTGGACGTCCATCTGCTCGCAGTATCCCGTCGTGCGTTGGAAGCTGATTCCTTGCGGCCGGCCGTCAATCAGAATCGACCCGTAGATCTCGCCGCTGTCCTTGCGTTGGGCCAGTACATCAAGAAGCCTGGGATGTTAGCTGCGTTGCGCAGACAGAGCGCGGGCCTTACGTCGTCTTTCCTGCACCGGAACACCCCATCAGCGCAACCAGGTTCCCCGGCTTCACGAACCCAAACACCTTATCCAAGAGCTGCTTCTTCTCGCCGTGGTAGGGGACATGGTAGTCGAGGTCATGCCAGGTGAAGGTGGACTGCTTGACGCTCGAAGACAGCGCGGCCTCCTGCACCGTTGCCCGCGTCTCCTGCGTCTTGGTCCTCTTGCTTCCTCGCTTGTACAGCAACACAGACGATCCGCCCTGGCTATTCAGCAGCTCAAGCCCCAACGCCGTCAAGAAGATAAAGAACGCCCAGAACCCAACAATGACCCCAAAGCTCCGCCAGATGTGGTGCCACGAGTAACGGTACTGTTCGCGGATATACTCCGCCCCCATGATCATGTCGCCCTCGCTGCCGGGGATCGAGCAGCCCCGGTACGGGGATTCCGAGCCGGGATACCCAGAGCCGTAGGGGATGTAGTCTGGCTGCACGCACTGGAGGGATTTACCGACGAACTCGTTGGCCATGAGGGCTTCAAAGGCGTACGCGCCGGGATTGAGGTAGAAGATCCAGCGGAACCAGACGTGCATTTTCTCGAACGGGATGAGGTAGCCTACTTCGTTAGTGGACTAGCGTTTCATGAAGGAAGTGTGCTTACCTCCGTAGACGAAGAAAATGGTTGACAACAAGCCGGTGATCTTGGATGCATTGCCGAATTGCTTGCAGAGCGCGCCCACCGCGCGGAACATCTGCATGAAACAGAGCGTGTTCACAATGACGATGATCCAATAGGTGAAAAACCGACCAGCATCCATCTGCAGCGCCGCCATGAAGTACAAAATAATACAGAAACAGGTGACCTGCACGATGACTATGGGAATGTCGGTGATGGCATTGGCGACGCAGAACGCAGTCGGCCGGTAGAAGCCGAACCGCTTCTGCCGCGAGAGAATGGGCCGGCCCATGAACGAGGCCGTCGTCTCGGACATGGACTCCAGAAGAAAGTAGAGCACCGGGAAGAACAGCGCACCCGGCCGGAGAAAAATGGACGAGCTGTCATCTTTGAGGTTGTAGAACAGACTGCCACACACCAAGGCCTGCAGGATAGCCGATACCACCTTGATGATAAGAGACAGTCTGTCCCCTGCCATGATCTGGAACTGACGGATGGTGCACGCCCGTATCTGCTCCCACAGGCTCGTGGTATAGACACTTGGGGTCCGAGGTAAATGCCGCTTGCGTTTCTCGTTTGCTACGGCAGCCGTCAGCTCCTCCACCTCGTAGGCGAGTTTCTCCGGTGGCTCGATCGCTTCCATTGCCTTTTGAAAGATGTCGCTCTGGTAGTAGCGGCTCTCGAATTCTTCTGCGGTGCTGGGAACTTTATCCTCCATCCCGGGCTGTACAATGCGCTCGGTGAGCACAGTCACAGAGGTGAGGAAATCAGCGATATTGGCTCCTTTCGGACAGACAAAACCCATGTCCTCAAAGTAGCTCCTTGCCAGCTGGCGCGGTCCGTAGTAGATCACCCGTCCGTCGGCGAGAACCAGAATCTTGTCGAACTCGTTGTAGATGCCGTTGCCGGCTTGGTACATGGTGGCCACCATCGTCTTGTGGTTATTGTCCGCCTCACGGCGCAGCAACCGGGCGAATTCAACAGCTGTCTTGGAATCGAGACCGCGGGTGGGATTATCCCAGAATTGAATCGGACTCTGATCCGTCAGCTGCATCTCCATCCAGACTAAGAGACCATACCTGTCCAGCCATCACCTCGGCGAGCGAAACACGCTTCCGTTCACCACCAGAGACACCACGGATGAACTCGTTTCCTACCAGCGTCTTCGTCGTATGCGGGATCCCCAGCGAAGTGAGAATAGTGTCCCGCTGTTCTTCCACAAACTCTTTCGACCCTTGTCCCTCAGGCCGTTCTCGGGGCACCTTATTCCGCAGCGCAAACTTCATCGTGCGGTTGACTGTCAGCGTGGGGAAATGCACGTCGTCCTCGTTGTTGAACATGATCTGCTGGCGGAAGTGTCTCGCAGCGACGTGATCCATACTCCCGTATCGAGTTTCGCCGACAACTTCGTCAAAGGATGCGCGGTCGTTGGAGAGGACACGCAGCAGCGAGGTACATCCTGACCCGGGTCGACCAAGGACCAGCAGCTGACAAGTTAGTGCATCATCACAGGACTGGACTGGGCACTAACTTACCATTTCACCTGGTTTGACCTGCCCACTGACATCTTTCAAGATAGTCTATTCGGTTAGTATTGGCGGTGGAATGACATTGCCCGACTTACCCTTTTTGGCCGACTCCCTTTCAAGAAACCGAGGTACTGCCGCGGATCAGCCACGGAGAGGAGCGTATCTCCCAAGGCGGCATCCGGCGCCGTGACATGGACGCTGACATTCCGAAACGTGAGGGTTAGTCGCTTTCGCAGACCTCTATCGCCGTGTTCGAGGTCAATCGTGCCGGACGAGGGGGTATCCATTCTGCCAACGATCTGATCACGCCTCTCAAGCAACTCGACCATGGATATAACTCATCCAGAGTTAATTCGTTCCAACCCTAACTATTTATACAATCATCAAGCTTCATGAGTATCAGATTTCGTCCGTAAATCCATATATCCGGCGGCATATATCCGCAAATCCGAGTCCCATTCCTACAGTTCTCCACCAATCATAGCGATTCTCGGCATCCCGAGCATCGGATATATTTATCATCTCATGGCCCTCAATCATCTAAAGCGCACTTCTAGATTCAAAAGCTGTAGCTTGATCGGGCCCGGCCCACTTTGTTGATTTGATCTTCCCCTGAATTACGTGGCCAATGGCCGGCAACGGCTTTATCTGATTGTCGACGGATTTGCGAATGTCTCGTCGTACACGTAGCTGTTGGGTTAGCCCTGGGTGGAATCTGATTAGGGTATTTTTGACTTTTGTTTGTGTTAGCACCTGATATATGAATTTAATAGGAGAAATATAGTCTCAGGTCAGATATTGAATAATAATACCACTAGGCCAAAAAGGCGTCCGGACTATGTACTCGTCAGTCTAGGGTTTCATATCCATAATCATAGTGGTATCTTATTCCAACATCAGACTAGATTAGGTGAAAGAGAAATCTGCACAGTTACAACCAGCAGCTTTACTTATATGTACGCCCAGGATTCCCGGCTAATAGGTGGAGCACTTTGTATAACTGCTTTATTGGAGGTGTCGTATCAGGGGCAGCAAACAGTTGTACATTAATCCAGGTGACTCTGAATCCATGTCTCCGGCCCCGATCAGTCTTTCTACCTGGCCATAACATCCCAACTTCCCAAACATGATTAACTGCGCAAGTTTTTGGTATGAGAGGCACAACTCTCAACTATGATCTCGGGCGAGTACACTTGATGTCTGGACTGCGTTCACCAGAAAATTTGTACTGTGATCAGCCCTGCGGGTACCATCAGGATAACATACTAGCCTGTGTACATGATAGCATATCCGGATACCACGCTCGCGAGTAGGATTGCTGTCGACCTGGCCGTTCCGAGGCCATACTGCACGCTGACTTCGATCCTGCTCTCCTGACCGCACCGAGGTTCCTAAGATGATGCGGTGGTTAGGAGTCCATCCGAACTCGTTGACATCCTGTGGTTAAATGAGGAATCTGGCGCCACTCCACCGGAGAGCAAACAATGCTAGATGTCCATGATTAACAGGCTGGACTCTATGAACATTAGCATCACTATGATCAGACTTTCGGAAGGAGGAATGGGTATCGTAGTCGAATTAGGCGAATCCATTCGAATCACATCCATCACTCCGTATCCCATCTAGTATCATAAAATCTCCCCACTAGTCAGGATTGCTTCACAGGACTGCTTCACAGGATTTGTCAGACAGCAATGTTCCTGCTGATTTATAATAGTCCACATCCTCGAGCGAGATTGAGTCACAGAGCTCCAGTATACCAAGTCGCCAAGCAGGAATACGAGCCGCCAATTCATGGCATGGCACCCTGTTTATATTCATGATAGATGATTAGAAATACAGGAATTGGTCAGCAAGCAGTACCTCTTCGAATCCGAGGAAGCATATATATCATTCCAAACTATCCGATAAGAGTCCAACTTCATTCTTCAAAAGCCTCAGCTGTCCAACTGCCTCACTGCACAATGTCCCACGCAGACAAAACAGCCCTCATCATCGGCGGCAGCCACGGCATCGGCCTCTCAACCGCACAGCTCCTCCTCGACCAAGGAGCCAAAGTCCTCGTCACGGGCCGCAGCCCAGACCCCATCCGATCCGCGCAAGCACAGCTCGGCCCCGCCGCCAAAGTCATCGCCTGCGACATCACCTCCCCACCCGCCATCGGCACCCTCTTCCAAACAGCCGAGTCCCTCTTCGGGACCGGCCGCACAATCGATCTCCTCTTCCTCAACGCCGGATACGCCGCCCTCGAGCCCTTCCAGGACGTCTCGGAGGCCTCCTTCCGGCGGACCTTCGACACAAACGTCTTCGGCACGTTCTTCGTGGCGCAGAAACTCGCGCCGGTGATGAAACCCGGGGGTGCGATCGTGTTTACCACCTCTGTTGCGAATCAGATGGGCATCCCGGGGATGGGCGTGTACTCTGCCTCCAAGGCGGCCGTGCACTCGTTCGTGCAGACGCTGGCGGCGGAGCTGGTGGGTTTGCGGGTGCGGGTGAACGCCGTCTCGCCTGGTTTCGTGCGGACGCCGACGATGGGTGTGGTGGGTGCGTCGAAGGAGGAGTTGGTGGAGTTTGAGGGGCTGGGGGTGCAGAGTACGCCGATGGGGAGGATTGCCGAGCCGGCAGAGGTGGCCAAGGCAGTGGTGTTTTTGGGATTCGAGGCGACGTTCACGACGGGGGAGCAGGTGGTTGTTGACGGGGGGTTGGCTACGTTGCGAGTGCATTGATAACAGCTAGAAGCATGACTATTGTTGAATGAAATAAAGTCTGTTGCATCATCGACGAGTTATAGTTTAGAACCAAGATGCAAGCAACCTGTCCTTTTGTGCAACTCATCCCCTATTGCCTCAGCCAGCGCCAGCACCTTCTCCTCTTCCAGTCTCTGTCCGACGATCTGAGCCCCAACTGGTGCACCATGATACGCCTCGGCGTTGTCTGATTTGATCAGCTACCATTTTTATACAAAGTGAAGTACTCACAGTCGTCATGGACGAGGCGATCGAGATCATTTAGCGGTTCATACAGCTCATCCGGGTACTGATCTACCGCTTTATCGACAGTGCCAACGGGAACCGCACAGGAGGTGTAGTCAAGAACATTGACAACAGTCGTATAACCTTTTATCATCAGTTTCTGCCAGAATTTTGCAAGCGATACATACCAAAGTATCGCACTTTCCCTGGCTCTGGGGCGGATCCCGGTGAGACCGGCATGATTAGTGCATCAACCGCCCGTCCTGTTCCAGTGATCACTGCAGTGCTATGCCAGTATTCAAGGTAGGCCGTTCGATACTTTTGGACTTCGAGATTGATTCCATTTATCTCTGTTGCATTGGCTTGTCGACCTGCCTTTAGCCCAAAGACTGTACTAGAGGTACGGGGAGGTCCACAAAGATCGAGGTCCACCCGATTCGAAGGTTCACCAGAAGAACCAAGAGCGTCATGGAATGCTTTGCCACCATCGGTGGAGACCGTTTTTCTCTACTCCTGTTAGAATGGCCTTTTAATGAGAAAAGTGACCGACCCATAGGTTAAACGCCACAGCATGGCTCGGTGCGTTCCAAGGAATGACCTAACAATCAGTACCGCTGATATAATATACGCAAACACATACCGTATGTCCAAGAGCCTTTATGATCCCAATTACAGTCTCCATGGCGCGACACACAGGCGGCTGCGGATTGACATGGCCATCACTCATCATCACCCCGAAGCACATCGGCTCAGACAGTCCCTTCGCCCTCTGTAGGGCCTCGCTGTGAAGATCCGCCCGCCACGGCATAGGAACAACCGCAGGATCCCGCACCCAGGGCTGAGCATCAAGCACGCTCCTGGTGGCAAAAGTCAATACTTCAGGCGAGGGCGCCATGAACCCGACAACGAACGGAATCATAAACTGCCCGTCCACGACTGATGCAACCCCTCTGAGAGGGATCCGTCCAGTCGACGGCCGCAAACCGTACAGCCCATTCCATACTGCCGGTACGCGCACCGAGCCCCCAATATCCGTCCCGATGCCAAGCGGGCTTCCTTTCAGCGCTAGAAGACCCCCTTCGCCGCCTGAGCTGCCGCCGACGGTGAGAAACCGATTCCTGGGGTTGGGAACATACCCTATGATACTGTTGAATGTCTCGCCGGTGAAGGAGCCGGTAGGGACGGCTGATTTGACATACAATACTGCTCCGAGAGACCGCAATATCTTGACGATTTCACTTTCGTCGTCACTGGCATATGTATGATCCAGCCAGCCCAAAAAGCCCATGCTGGTTGCGACGTCTTTGACGTGCACAACGTCTTTCAGACTGACTGGGAGGCCATGGAGAGGACCAATTGGTCTACCGTGTCGGGCGAGATACCTATCGCATTGTTCCGCATCTTGGAGTGCCGCTTCAAAGAAGATCTCATGCAGACAGGATATCTTTTCCGTCAGCTTTGCTTCACTCTTGTTCATCAGGCACGTACCATTTGGTGGGCTAATGCGGCGCGATGACAGAACGCTCGGGTCACCTCTCTGGAACTCCATTCGCCGGTGGAGAGCTTCTGAAGCAACGCGAGAGCGCCCGTCTCAGTGATTGTCACTTCTCTCGGTGAGAGATATCGTTGGATAACTCCATCTGTCAGGTCAACTGCCTCCAGTGGTGCTGGGGGAGACGGAAGGAGCCATTCTGGTGGTATCAAGGCTTGGATTGCCTCTCGCTTGCGGAGACCAGCGTGCTTCCAATTGTCTGCCATGGTTTCTGTTCTTGGAAAAAATGTATGTGACAAAATCAGCGCAGCATCTCTCCTTTATACCACGGCCAGCTCTCCATGCACTAACAGGGTATACAGAACTAGCCAATCAGAGAGCCCTAATATCGCAATAATTGACATTTGCGGTTAGACCGACTCGTGACTGACTCGGTGCATTGATTGCTCCTCCACTGCTCTCTCATATCCCAAGAGATACCACAGCTGAAATCATATCAACAATGGCCCGGCATCCGGGAATGAGCAGGGGATGCTCCGTCTGCCGCCAGCGAAAGATCAAGGCACGTCATCCCATCATCGGCGACAAAGCTAACAAGCCCAGTGTGATGAACGACAGCCCCAGTGCTCACCCTGCCTGCGAAGTAGACGGCAATGCCCCGGGCCTGTGAAGAGGGTGTTCCTCGCCTCTGAGCCTCAGAATCCTAGAAAGCAACGGAGGATAGAGAATGACTCATCAGAGACGACAAGTGCCCTCTCACTCATGGAGATCAACGACAACAGCATCACCGAACTCCAGCTCACCGCCAGCTTCATCTCCTTCTTCAACAAGAACAGCGCGACCAAGATCCGGCATCACTCCTGGTTGACTTTCCACGTTCTACAGGCGAGTTCCCCCGGCCGGCGAGCATGCATCCGCGCAGCTTCACTCGCCCTCTACGCAAAACACACTGGCGACACTCGTGCGATTCTTGAGTCCCATGAATGTTACGGGCGTAGCCTCCAGTATCAGCAAGAGAGGCTTGCTTCCTGCTCGACCAGCACGGCGGAAGATATTGCCATGACGGTCATCCTGGCCTACTACGAGGCTATACTCCCCTCGTCGCCGTCAGCGAGCGCATTCGCCCAGCATATCACGGCCGCGACGGCCATGCTTTGCGCTGTGGGGGCGGAGAAATGCCAGCAGGGATGGCTTCACCAGATGCTCCTGACGCTGCGCTTGCACATGGTACGTTCTTTGCTTGTGTAGTTGACATCGCTGACGTCGTAGGTATACGTCTCTTTCAATACGTGGACGGCGTCCGTTTTTGCCTCGGAGGAATGGATGCGGATTCCCTTTCGACGGCGAGAGAAATCACCGCTGGACCGTATCGTTGATCTTCTCCTTCAATATCCTTCAACTCCGACAAGGGGCCTGGTGACGGTGTATGGGCACACCTCGACAGCCCTGAAAGCAATATGGAGAGACATGAACCAATCTACTACCGACACAGACACCTTTCGCGACTACATACCGCCAAAAACGGGCTATCCCGACTCCCAGTCAGCCATCACCATAGCCTTGTATAGCTTTGCTTGGGTGTTCACCTTGTCCGCCAAGCACGCGCAGCACATAAATCATCTGATTACAGCCCACTGCGAAGCTATCCTCGCGGTAGCAGTGTACATCGACTCAATCCAGGACGGCTGCAGTCTCATCCGGATGGCGATGCCTTTGCTCTGGGTCTCGAGACATTCGCCCGAAGAAAATCAGCAAGAGAAGGCTTGCGGTTATCTCCAGAAGTGGAACATGGCCCTACCTATGGATAACCTCTGTCTAACATAAGCAGAGAATATCATAGATACAAAGATACTGTATACATCTCCGGCCGATCAAGGATGTCTCAACTCTGACCTCATCCTCATGCAATCAACATTCCAGGTATCTGCAAGAATCCAGATCAACCACCACCTGACGATCAGCATCTCCTACGCACAACCCACATGCCATGCGCTGTCCTACATGCCAACCAGCCCCAACCACATTCCAGAAAAATACCTCACCCACTCCACAAATACAAGGTCTCAATAGCAGACACTTAAATACGTATGCCTTCTGCCTTTCACCCGCCAGACAAACCAATCGCAACCCCGCCAAAATGAAATCAACCCTCTTCCTCCTCGCGCTGGCCGGCGCCGCCCTAGGCGCAAAAACCTGCACGCCTAGTTTCGATTACTGCGCTAATAAGCTCATTGCTGACAAGGGTATTTCTTCCAGTCTACTCCTGTGAAATGATGATACTAATGAATGCAGGCTTCACCGAGGCAGATCTCGAAGCTGTTCTCAAGGGGACGGATCTTGAGACCGCGGACCTGAAGAATGTGCTCTTCCACTGCAAGAATCCTGGAGATGTGGGACATGCGAAGCTGTGTCCCAATGGGTGTACAGACCCAGCGACGGAAGGGAGTCATGGGTGTTAGCCACCTCGAGTGTTATTGATATGCTGGGGAAGTATGTTAAAGAAGTTCCTGTGTTGGTGTATTGGTGATTTAATGTGACAAGGTGGTTATATTGAAGCTCGTGGTATATAACTTGTACAATTCGCTTTGCTGTCTCCGCAAAGCTTATGTCATGCAATATTCATAATTCGTTTCAAATCACGCAGTGAAAGAGGTTTCACCAGATAATCATCGATCCCCGCGGCAAATGCCCGTTGCTGCATCGAGGCTGACGCGACCCCTGTCACGGCCATGATGGCAGTCCGGGGAAGGGAATTCTCCTCCTCGTACTCTCGAATCTTGCTTGTGGAGCTGATCCCGTCCATTACCGGCATTGAAATGTCTATTACGCGTGTTAGCTGCGTCGTAAATATCAAAAAGACGACCCACCCATCAGGATATAGTTGAACTGGCGCTCAGACTGCCGGTACTTCTCAAGCGCCACGAGTCCATTATTCGCTGTCTCATAGCTGCACCCGATGCGACGCATAAAGGTAGCCAGTATCTTGAGATTGATGTCATTATCGTCCACAATCAGCACATGTAGGTCGATCATTTTCGAGGGCTCAGGTGTCGAGGCACGGAACTCGTCCACGCTTTCCCTCACCACCGGGGGCGACTCTGTCTGTTTTGCCAGGGCAAAGGCTTCCGACAAGCTGCGTTCACGAGATGGGATACCATCGGCACCATCGATTTGTCCCGATCCGTCTGGCAAGTTGGAAATTGAGTGCAGCGCGCCCATGATTTTTCGAGGCGTGAGTCTGTCCTGTTAGTCTCGCCCTTGCTCGAAATTCGGTGCCACTTACGGTTGAGGCACGTAGAGCACGTCCACCTCTTTCATAACAGGATCGATAGGTATATTGATACCATGCTGTCCTAGTATGACCAGTGCCCTGAGTTCTGTAGTTATTGGTTCTTGTCCTGCCATCTCAGCCAAACTGCTTTCCTCCACAATACCGATATCGCCGCTCGCTTGAGATAATGTGTCGGCAAATGAGACTGTCCAGCCAGGCTGGTTGAGGATTGCATTACTCAGTGCACTGCGAACTGCCAGCCTCCTCTTCGCTTCAACACTCAGTCTTCGGCTTGACCTCTTCAGATTGGAGAATACGTTCATTCCTACTAGGCTAACCCGAGAGATCGACTCGCTCTCTGGTTGCACTTGCCCAGAAGTACCATCCACTAGCGTATCGATGAATTCAACCGGAATGTACACATCCACTTGAGTTCCGATGCCGACGGTACTCTTCACGTCAACCTGGCCACCGACATTTGTCACAAGCCGGTCGACGATACTGAGTCCTAGGCCAACTCCTTCCGTCAGGATGTTTCCTTGGGTAAATGGCTGAAATAGTTTGTGCTCCAGGTACTCCGGAGAGATGCCACATCCGGTATCTGTTATGGTCAAATGAGCAAACACCCTCTTCGTGCCGCAGGTTCTTTCTGCCTTCCTGGATAGGGTGACCTCAATGAAACCAGACTTGGTAAACTTGAATGCGTTGCCGAGCAGGTTCATGACGATTCTTCTCCACCCCCCGGGAATGGACTGCACTTTCCAGTCTCCCGCCTCAACCCGGACAATCACTGATAAGTCGCTCGATTCCTTCGCGTTCTCGGTGCCCTGGTCAGATCTAATTCCCACTGCTGGCCCGCTGGGCAGGTACCGGCCGGCGACTTGAGAGGCGTTGATCAGGGACCGGTGACCTGCATATAGAGTGTCCACCACATCCTCTACCAGAGTGTCCAAATCGAATTCGCAGGTTAGATCGGCGAGGGAGGTTTCATAATTTCCGTCATTCTTCGCGTCTGCACTAGTGAGATTATTGATTTTTGTAAAATCCAGCCTGCATGTATGTTAGTGAGTTCCATGCGGCGGTGCTGCCAACCTACAGATAATTCAACGTATCCAGCAGTGTCAAACCACAGGTTTCAATCATCGTGAGCATATCCTGCTGAGCCGGTTGAAGATCCGTGGTGTGCAACAGCTCTACACTGGCAAGCATGCCATGTAGCGGTGATCTTAGCTCATGGCTGACGGATGACAGTAAATCTGATTTGGACTTTTCCGTCGCCTGCCAGTCCATTTGAGCTGCTTCTGACACAATGGAGTCACCGTATGCTTTGACATAGAACAAATCGGTTTGTTCAAAATGTCGTTGGCTGTCGCATGTCCACAAGAACGCACCTGCCAACCAGCGGGATGTATTCCAATTCCACATTGGGAGAAAAAGGAGAGATTTCGCCTCTGGAAGCTCTTGTACCAGGCGAAGAATGATCCCGTGATGACGCGATCCCTTTGCATCCGTGCCGTGGCCGCATTTCTGACTGGTACAGTCAATGAGGTTGCGGGTATTGAAAATGGTGCCTTTTGGGTATGCGGCAAACAAGTCATGCAGCAAGCCTTCCGAGATTGAATACTGCGAGGAAGTACAGCGATTTTCAGATTCCGACAATGCACAAGCCAAAGGCTCGCATACCCTCTCTCGCCAAGGCCCGACTGATGATAGGCCCGGAGAGTTGATGCCAGAATCGCCGTCTTTGGAGAGCATTTCCAGGTCACTCACGCTAGCAGAGCGGGAGCTAGAAACGTTAGGTTCAAAGATAATCAGAGTCGGGTGAGACGAACCTTCGCGCATTACTTCGAGTGGCGTCTAAAAAAAGCACGCCGCCTAGATCCATGCATTTCCGAAGCAAAGCGCTAGCACGGGAGAACAAAAGGGACATGGAAGGGGATACAGTGCTTCCCTCGATGACAGTCACCGAATTTCTTCTGTCATGGATTTTTGAGAAGAATTGATTTGGCGGGGTTTCTGTCCCTGACCCGTAGTGACCAGTACCAGGAGGGTCAAAGTGTGTGTATTGTGGTGAGCCCACGCCCCGACTCTCAGAGATGGAAAGGTCATCGATACCAGGAAGGTATGATGGCCGTCTCTTGGGATAACAGTCCTCTTCAGGCTCAGGGACAACCTGACCGCTGACAAAAGTGGTCAACCCATTGATAAGCCGCTCTGCCTGAAAGTGGTGCTGTTCAACCGAGCTATCCTTGATACTACAAGCGACCAGACCTGCAATCTCGTGCATGCTTGCGACCTCGCTTTCTCCAAAATTCGGATGTGGCGTTTTGTCTACGATGCAAACCGCACCGATCGTATCTTTGTTCGAATCAGGGATCGGGACCGCTGCGAAGAACTGGATCAGGTGGTTGTCATATTGATTGTCCTGCGTGAGGTCATGGATAACGTAGCACGTGCTCTTAATAACGCTGGAAGTATCAATGGCATCGGCTTCAACCAGGCGTAGGGTTAACACTTTTACTTGCCGGGCAACCTCATCGTCGCCGTCAAGCTCTCCGTCTCCATCTAAAAGGAGAGAAGGTGATGCTTCCGCAATGATGTTTGCTTGTTCCCGATCGAAAAGGATCACAAACGAGTGGCTACAGCCGAGTCGATAAGTCGCCAATTGTGCGTAAGCTGTCAAGGAAGCCGCTGTACTTGACTTGTTTCGCCTGTGGATTGTACCTGGCCCACTAGTGCACTCGCGGGGCTCGTTGATTCCATCCTGAGAATGACAAGAACGAAACCTATTCAGTCAGCAAAGACTCATTCACTGCAGAGCGAAACATACTCCTGCTCTAGGACCGTTCCTTGGCCAGTGCTCAGCAGAGATGATACCGCACAGCCCGAAAGTGGCATGATCGTATTAGCAACACATCCTAGACTTTGTTCAAACGAACTTGCGCAGAGACCAGACTCCGACGAAGCAAAAGGCACAGCGAGCCGTTAAATAAAAAAAGACAGAGTTTGCCTATCGGGAAATTCGGGGAGACGCCCAACAAGGCAAACAAAATTTGAAATCCCATTCATATTATGGGGAAAAGGGTCTCCATAGTCTAGACCATGAACAAGAAAATACTCAGCAGATAGGCCAGACAAGCCAGTATATCGGGTGATTCGCCGTGCACCATCTGTTGTGGCTCGCGGGTGGCTCGGGTCGATCACTGACTTCAGGATTCGTCCATGGTTCATTCTCTCGCCCAATGTCACCCTGCTGCGAAGTAATTCCGGCCGAAGCTCACAGCCAAGACCGAAATCCATCTGCAGTATGGCCCCGCCATTCGGCCTTATAATCCTTTCGATGGAAGGATCAACCGTGAATATGGTTAGCCGTCTAATCGTGTTGTTTCTTCCCTTCCTGGAGAAGAAGGGCGAAGGAAACGAGGAAAGATTGTCACAATTCGATACATTCAACAGTTTGGTTCGACCAGAGAAAGGTGATTCATGATCAATGCAGACTCATACTCCGTACTCCGTAGAATGTTTGGTTCCATCATCCTCCCCGTAACCAGACTTGGATAGGTCCGGAGATACTGTTTTTGCGAGGGGGTGCCGCATGCGGAAGGTGGGCAGCCAGTCACTGCGTCAACCGAGAATTATTCCAATATGTTTTCGATATGAGGAGAATATTGGATTGAAGATATTGCTCGAGATATGTCAAATTCCATGTGATCTCACGGTAGTGATTTGTTTGTAATTTTGCATGATAGTTCCACATATATATTGTCCCATGAAGAACATATCAGGCGAATGTAACATTGTCAAAAATTAGTCATAATCTCAGTCTAAATGTGGTTAAAAGCGAAAATGGATTCTCGAACCACAGGATGATAGAGTTTTATCAAGTGTAGCCTGAGGAACTCGCACAAAATGTAATAGTACACACTAGTAGATTCGTAATCAAAGTCTTCATAGTAACTCAAAAGTGTATGACTTCACCTCGGGATCTGGAACCTCAGCTGATGGATAGGTTGTCCGTCGACTATTCCCTATTAGGCAGACCTTGCGGCATGAGTAGATAAAGACGTTGATCGACAGCTCAACTATCTTGAAGGAAAACGAACTCTTATCAAGAGTAATCACCTAATCACTCGAAGTGGATATTGGGGAAATCCCGGCAACAGTAAGGTCTTTTGAGCGAAACCCATTTCATTTCCTCTCAAGGTTTGACTGGCTTATGATGATATATCACCACGTTGAGAGTAGGAGGCGGATCCCCTTATCTGCCTGTCTTAGCCACGGAGGGCAAGATATTTGCCCTCTCAGAATGGAACTTGTGTAGCAATAGTTTGCAGACGCGTTCAGAGCCTTTGAAAAGCAAGCATTACCCGGATAAAGCGAAGAGAACCCCAGCAAACGATTGCCGTGTATCTGAGGGTATCGGTAGTCTGAGATGGACCGCAAAATTGCAAAGCTATATAGTGGCGCAGCAAAACCAAAGCCACGGATCGGCAGATATGAAGACTGTGAATCGGCTTGATCCTGCCTAAATCACAGTGTCTGTGAAGGGTTCATAGTTGGTTGGATGGAGAAAAATGCTTCAAGATCCATTGTGGAGAAATCGAAATCCCATCCCATATCCGACAGATTGAAATCTGGAAGATCCTCGCTGCTTCCAACACTAGCAGAAGCCTCCGGGATATCGCTTTGAAGCGGGTTGACTTGAATGTTTGGCATTGTAGGAAGGTACCCTCCCAGAAAAGTGTCTCCAGGGAAAGCTTCACGCATAGGATTTGTCTGATTTGAGGCTATACCACTAGAATAGGGTTGGGCTGATCCAGTGCCCATGGGGTTTGGTGCATATGCCTGGCCCTGGGCATGTTCAGGTGGCACCCACTCATATGACGGGTGCAGTTTCTTGAGGACAGTTTGCACAGCTGAAATAGAGCTTGTTATGGGATCGCCCGGCCGCATGGCTCCAAGACATTGGAGGCCCACGTGAACCCATGGAAGGTGTGTAGCAGCGACTTTCTCATTATACATGAAGTCATAAATGAGTGCAAAGCAGGCGCTGGTCAGGAAAAAGCCATGATAGCGAAGTTCCTGACGACTTTAGCCCCGATACCTGAAAATCCAGTGTTTCCATACGGTGAGAACATACCCGAACAAGCTCATTGACGATAGCAGCTTCACCTAGATGATGAAGAGTTCTGCACGCAGCGTGGATCGCGTGGTCGCACGCCTCGTTTAGCCACGCCGGCATTTCCGTCGGACGTTTAGTTGTGTTGGGTCCAACCTCAGAAGACGACTTTTTCATATCGCGCTGCCATCGCCCGCGAAAGATCAAGAACGGCCGAAATGTCAAAAGGATGGTGTGATAGTATACTAACTTTCTTAGCTTGTCAGTCCATGACCTCTGCCAACAAATGACTTACGGGTTATGAGAATAGCCTGCCGAACTCCGACATCCCCCGGCTGGGCGCATTTGTCAAGCCCAAATCCGAGTGCAAGCTTCATCTTCTCGTCATAACAGCGAAGGTCATCTGAGATTGACCTGGCCAGCTTCCACATCTGCAACAACGAGTCGTGTGGTCGGCCGTAGATCTCGTTTGCTGAACGAGTCATAACTTTTGTCAGGTGAATAAGAACGAGAATGAATGGATCCTTGGGAGGTGCGATGCCAACGTCCCTTGATGAGAGCGAGCTTGGGCGACCAAGATGAAAGCAAATCCAGCTAGCGAGCCGTCAGCAGAGTCATTTACGAGATGCAGATTCGTGGACCAAGGGGCGAACGTTTCGTAGAAAAACAAGGACCAAAATGTCAATCGTCTTTGCTCCACCATTTCCCTACCCTCTCCTCCTTCAGTCGGTGATTCCTTGTGCAAGCCGGTTGAGATGGCCTTCCTCGCAGCTGTGCCCAGATAGAGGAAGGAAGAATTTGGCCGACCTTGCTCGGTTTGAAAATGGGCGTGCTAGCCAAGCGTCAGGCATAAACTTACACCACCGAGGGCAGAATATACTTATCATCATCAAAGACAGCTGTACAGTCTCGAGATTCACCACGTCGTCCCAGGAGGCACAAGATGCCTTGACCCGCTCAAACAGAATATCCCCCCAGCGATAATGCTGTGTGCCCAGGGAGCCCTTGGCCAAAGCCATCAATAAGATGGAGTTGACACAAGTATCAGAGCCGGCACCAGAGGAAGGGCAATACAAGTGCTCTAGCTGGCGCTCATAAATCTCCTTAGGCCAGAATGGTACCAGATGGTACAGCGATGACAAAAATCGTTGTAGAAATATCCTGGCGAGTTCGTAGGGCAAGAACATCACTGGTGCTGCTGTGTTACCAATCCCCTTACTGGTATCATGCGTCTCGGCTGGCGTTCCAAAGAAGATGCTCCGAAAACTGAACATATCAAGCCCAGCCCCGGCCTCTTCGACTTCACTCTGCGGCTCCTCAGGATGGGTGGTTTGACTCGAGACCAAGCCCCGGTAGATCTCATGCATGAGAGTAAAATGGGACGTCGGTCCATAGTATAGTTGCACCTTGCATGATGGAGATGCCATGTGCGTTGCCGAAACGCTGTTGTGGAAAGTATAGCTGGCGGATTTGTTCCGGCGGCCTAACGGCTGGGGCGGCAGTGAGGATGGCTGCTGTGCACCGAGCTCAGAGCGCATAGATTCAGGGGAAGTCAAGGCTTCGCCTACATGACCGTGCTGCTTTTTCTTGCGCTGACGGATTACATCCCGGTAGACACATGGAGTGTTTCGCAGCCGACAGGTCTTGCAGGGGTTGACTCCATTACACTTGATTTTTCGCTTTCTGCATTCTTGACAAGCCTTGGGTATTCGCCAACCGGGTGGCTCTCCTGATTGAATGTTTTCCGCCATCCAAAAATGAAACTGAGATAGCTGGTCCCTAAGGGGCAAGTTGTTCTCATTGCATTTGTCCTCACGAGTTCATCGGAGAAAATTTCGGATTTACGTCACGTGATCATCCCGTAATTCCGGTGCTTGCCCGCCATGCTGTTTCGCAACTACAGCGAGGTTGAGATGCGTGTTGTGCGATGTCTCTGCCCCAGCTTGATATCACCTGGAACGTTATGAGAGAGTTAGTCATGGTTGAGGGATAAGCGAAGTCTCATCTGTTTCTTCTACTGACTGTCTCTTGTACGTGGTTCCCCTGGTGGCCTGGTCAGACGGCCTGACTATTGTTCCAGCTAGGACTGTTAGCCTGGGACTTTTGCAGTTCAGTTATGCAAATTGCAACTCTAATCTTAGCCCACCCACTAAGGCCTATATTTTAATTATTCAGTTAGTTAGAAGTTATTCTGAGAGAGGCCATGACCATTAGATAAGGATAGCTGCTGGTTGGAAGATTCTACGTACTGTGCAGTGCACTAAGGAGAGGCTTGTAGGGTCTGTAACTTGCTGTAAAATCCGAAGAGTGAGGAGGAAAACGCTCCGTACGGAATACTTTGTAGAGACTTGACAAGTCTCTTGGGTTGAGGGGCTGCTTTATCGCCTTTCTGAATTCTTTCGTCCTGACCAGCATATGCCCAGCTGCCAAGATATACCTCGCCCCCTGGCACGGCTGAGAGGATGGGATTATTCAAAGCGAGGATGCTAAGAGCTTGGTGCCAATTTGGACTCCTCTCTCAGTATCTCACCCTGAGTTACCCACCTCAATGTGGGCGACCGCAAATTAGCCGATCCATTCAACTCTGTCGGCAAAATGGCCCTTTCCCCAGGTCCCACACAATCCACACTTCATGTTTCCTATCGTTCCACAGTCATTGGTCATTTCATCAATAATAAGTCGATAACTCAATTCTGGGATTGTGGAGAGAAAAAGTCAGAGCGCGGGGAGGAAAATGAATGCTTGCCAAGTCATGAGGACGGCGCAGTTTCGATGCGGCCAGCTAAGCCTCATGGTGTTTCGACCAGCGCCACCTGTTTTGTTATGAGCATCCCGCGATTCTCACATTATGCCCTCAGTCTGCTTGTGGTTGCAGGAGGATGCAAGTGATCCTGTATCATTTGAGTTCTATGATGGTCTTTTGTGTCCCTCGTCCTCTGTTAATGCCCTCTTGAAGAGGAGTTTGTCCAGGTAAGTTTACAGTCCTCGCCACGGAACAGAACTGGCTTGTACTAACTCAGAGCTTCAAAGCCGCAGTTCTGGCCCCTTCGCAAACACTTGCACGGTTGAACCTATCATCTCCTAAGCCGATACTATATTTTCGACCTTGGCACACGCCAAGGCCGCGTTTTGAATTTTTGCAGGGAGAGGGATAGTCTTGCAGTCAGATCCGGATTGGACACCAGCTGAGGGCCAAGAAGCATCGTCGAAACGTTAATATGAACTGAACCATTGGATTGGTCGCTGATTGTCTTGGACAGAGGGTGCTACGCCACTGATTCGCCAATATGCTCCAACGAGCTCTCTACCACCAACCATGGTCTGCGTGTCAGACTGCCTGTGCGTGGTTCGCAAAACGTGGTGGTGCCAAGTGACTAGGTTGACATTTTGAATCACAAAGTAAGTAGACGCATGGCCATGACTTGGCGGGCTGGCAGGTTCGCTCTGGACTTTTTTCTTTTTTTCCTTTCGTTGAATGCCTCGGAATTTTGGGTTCTGTCGGCCTGTCTCACACTGGTATCTGCCGTGTGACTACCGCGAAGCTATGCCATCATGTTAACCTGCGTGACAGTGACTCGTCCATTTCAAAACTGTCATACTCTGTACCAGCTTTGATTATGAGCACTACCCCACATTACAGATCCAGGCGACCCCAGATTCGAGATTCTGTCCCCACGCTCTTCCGACAGTCGCTTCCGTCCTGACTTGTCGGCAGATCCGAGTCGAGACTCCTATCCGACGTGAGATCAAGCTATAAATCACTGCTGCTGCATAATTCCTGGGTAGCTCATTATCGCGACGATCAACATACTCATCACCTTTGACAGGTTCCAACTCCTTTTATCTCGTTGCTTCCCAATCCGGGATCGATAATCTCTCGCAAGTTATGGCGGAGGAAAAGGGCATGTCCCAACACAAAGAGACCCTAGCCCATGAGACAGCTCATGAGGCCGCCAGCCGTGGTCAGGTTGCAACCGACCTGTACGGTCGAGCCTTGGTCGAATTCGACCGTGCGGCGGAATCTCGCCTTCGACTGAAGATCGATCTCTACATCGTCCCTACTGTCTCACTTCTTTATCTGTTTTGCTTCATTGACAGAGCAAATATCGGTATGTTATTCCTCCACCTCTTTATCGTACTCGCACTCTTCATGGTGGGACTCCGAATCTGACCGAGGATCCTGTCGCAGGTAACGCAAAGCTGGCCGGGCTTGAGAAAGACCTTGGCCTCAAAGGTTACGACTACAATTCCCTCTTATCCATCTTCTACATCAGCTACATTCTGTTTGAGATTCCTTGCAATATTGCCTGCAAGTGGATTGGCCCGGGCTGGTTCCTACCCGCCATGACGCTGGGCTTCGGCATCTGCTCTCTTGGCACGGCATTTGTCCACAATATCCACGCCGCGTCAGGAGTCAGATTCTTGCTTGGCATCTTTGAAGCAGGCATGATGCCCGGTATCGCTTACTATCTGTCTCGGTGGTACCGTCGTAGTGAGCTTGCCTTCCGTCTGTCACTTTATATTGTCATGGCACCGCTGGCCGGCGCGTTTGGTGGTCTGCTGGCTTCGGGCATTCTGACTCTGGATCATTTCGGCGGCCTGCACTCGTGGCGCATGATATTCGCCATCGAGGGTATCATCACCATCGGTCTCGCATTGATCTCGTTCTTTACTCTTACCGACCGGCCTGAGACTGCTCGCTGGCTGACGCAGGAGGAGAAGGACCTGGCGATCGCTCGAGTCAAGTCGGAGCGTGTTGCAACCACGGAAGTGCTGGACAAGATGGATAAAGCTAAGATGCTCCGGGGAATCTTCAGCCCCGTGACCCTGGCCACTTCTTTCATCTTCCTCCTCAATAACATCACGGTCCAAGGCCTAGCCTTCTTCGCTCCCACGATCGTCAAGACCATCTACCCACACAACACCGTGGTGTCCCAGCAGCTGCACACTGTTCCCCCATATGTCGTCGGAGCATTCTTCACTGTGTTGTTCCCTTTCCTCAGCTGGCGCTTTGACCGGCGCATGATCTTCTTCGTGATTGGGCCCCCTCTGATGATGGTGGGATACATCATGTTCCTGGCCAGCACTGACCCCATGGCCCGCTACGGCGCGACCTTTTTGATTGCTAGTGGAGCGTTCGCCTTTGGTGCCCTGTGCAATGCGAATTCGTCGAACAACGTGGTATCCGATACTGCACGGTCATCGGCCATCGGAACCACGGTGATGATGGGTAATATTGGTGGCTTGATCTCTACCTGGTCGTTTTTGCCCTTTGATGCTCCTAATTATCACATTGGCAACGGCCTCAACCTGGCCACCTCGTCCATGACGATGATTCTAGGTGCATTGCTCTGGGGGTGGATGCGGTGGGATAACAAGAGGCGCGAGAAGGTAGACGTTGATCAGGCTCTGGCTGGCCTGTCCCAGTTGCAGATCCAGGACCTCGACTGGCGCAACCCTGCTTTCCGCTGGCGTGATTAGATCAGGATGTCTGTGCTTTATATCTTGCCTCGTCGCCTTCCTTTCAACGGGTGTCTCAACTGGATAATGACTTTTACCTGTTGTATTATGAGAGACAGCAATGCGTCATACAAGAATTATGAATTTGACTATTAATATCCAATTCATTTTATCGCCTACTCAATCATCGTACGTACTCCCAAATTTCCCGAGTTGCCATCCAGTACATGTGAACGATGTGATAAACCAATTAAAGCGAGGGGTTTGTCATTCCCCCTCCTTTTCTGTCCCCGCACGGAGACTTCTCCACCTTTACAACCCCCAGACCGCAGCTTGTCAGCAGGCACCATGCAGTCATAATGTCACGATGCTATGTCGTTTCTTCGGAGAAACCGACAGGCCAAGCAGACTAAACACACACTAAACCATGACTTCTGGCCATCGTCGGTGGAATCGCTGCTTCATGTTCAATACCCCGTTATTGACGATCTTTGTCGCTTCGGGCAAGGACCGGATACAGAGCCTGAGGTCTACAATGCCTCAGTCTCGTGCCATTCTGTTATGAGTATGCACCGACTATCTATAGCGAGGTAAGTACTGGGGGAACAGCATGGTTTGAGTGCTGACGACAACACTTTTAGGTTGCGGCTGATACTGGCAATAGCTACACTTGTACTTCATGCAACCGGCGAATGAAATATGTCTATTGGAACTTCCGAAAAACGGAACTTTAAATGTGGAGTTGCACTCCATGTCTAGACTGCATCTTGAGTTAAATCGCCTATCTATCCTAAGGCTATGAGGCATTTCCCCAGAGCTCGGCTGTCGGTCAAGTTCCTTGCACTATGGTGACAGGGATGTGTCGGAACTTGACCGAATCCTCTTTATGCGGGGATGGGGCCAGAAAGACGTCGCCATGGTCTTGCTGTTCCTTTAATGGTTTCTCTAAGTCTCTGAGAAGAGGATGATGAATATGATGGTGTGCGTGTTAATGAGTGTATCTCCTCAAAACGCACTCTCAGCGTCAAAGACAGAGGATAGACTACATGCTGAGCCGTATGGCACAAGGTCTTCGACAAAGTCAAGAGCTCTTAAGCTCTCGACTCCAGACTCTTGACGAAACCTTGGTTGGGGCAGCAGATAAGTACATCGCACGCTCTCTTGGCCGCCCCCATTGGGGCCAATCGGCCACCCTCCGTTTCTGACCAGTGAATACAACCTCGACTGATAGCAGCTCCAAGCTTCAAGGACAAAACTTACGCATCTCCGGGATATCTTCGTGTCGGCTATACCATCAAACTTTGTTTTTGGCCTTGTCATCCTAATCTCGGAGATTTCGACCCCACGCTTCTACCCCACGTTTTCTTAGCGATGTTCATCCACGTGGTATAAAGCTGGGGGTGATCGTCTGTCACCCCTGTTTGTCCATCACGCTCGTCTTCCTCTTTCTTCTACCCACTTAGTATCCAGAACACAGAGGACGGGACGATGGCAGGCGGTGCAAAGAAACCCGTCAACATCTTCCGGCTGAAAAACCTCGCCGAACCGAAAGAGGTCTTCAACTGGAGGTTATGGTTTGCGGTTCTCTCATTTGGCCTCATGGGCGCTGCCCGGGGTGTGGATGAGGGTTTGATCTCGGGGGCTTTCAACTCGAAGGATTTCCAACGGACGATCCACTTCAGCGAGTACAGTGCGGTCGAACAGACGAACATCAAAGCGAACGTGTCAGCGATGGTGCAGATCGGCTCCGTCGGCGGTGCCCTGTTGTAAGTACCAGTTCTTGTATCAGCGATGGGACTTTCTAACCTGAGCAGTGCGTTCCTGGTTTGTGACCGCATCGGTCGCATCTGGGCAACTCGGCAGCTGTGCGTTCTGTGGATTCTTGGTATTGCCATCTTCATGGGTGCAAACGGAAACCTTGGAGCCATCTACGCCGGTCGATTCATTGCAGGATTGGGTGTCGGCCAGACTGTTGTAGTTGGCCCGGTCTATCTCGCTGAGATTGTGAGTACAGTACGTTTCCGATGGTCTTGATGCAAGCTGACTGGTTAGGCCCCGGCTTCCATCCGAGGTCTCTGCACCTGTGTGTTCACGGGCTTCGTGTATCTTGGTATCGTCCTGGCCTATTTCACCAACTACGGCTGCCAGGTTAACCTAGGAGACAACACGCACAAGCGCTGGGTGAGTGAGCCGGCAACTGCCTGAGAACTGCAGCTGACAGATCTATAGGAAGTGCCAACCAGTCTCCACATCATCTTCGCCGGCCTGATCTTCCTCCTCTCCTTCCTGCAGACCGAGTCCCCCCGCTTCCTGGTCAAAAAAGGCAAATACGAACAAGCGCTGCGCAATCTAGCGCGCGTGCGACACCTCCCCGAAGACCACGAGTACGTCGTGCAGGAGATCACGGCCATCGAGCAGTCACACCAGGCGGAACTGGAGGCGACTATGGGCGCTGGCTGGCTCGGAGTCGTCAAGGAGACGTTTCTCCTGCCGACGAACCTGTACCGGGTCTACTTGACCGTTATGGCGCAGATCCTCTCGCAATGGTCCGGCGCCGGCTCCATCACCCTCTACGCCCCGGATCTCTTCAAGCTGCTCGGCATCACCGGCTCGAACGAGTCTCTCCTCGTGACCGGTATCTTCGGTATCATCAAGCTCGTCGCCGCCATCATGTGCGCGCTGTTCCTGGTCGACGTGATCGGCCGCAAACGCGCCCTGCTCATCGGTATCACCCTGCAGGCGATCGCCATGATCTACATCGCGGCCTTCCTGACCGACGTCCCGGAGATGGGCATCGTCCACAACTTTGTCCTCCCGGAGTCGAAGAAGGGGGTCAGCCGCGGCGCCATCGCCATGATTTACCTCTCCGGATTCGGCTGGGCGCTGGGCTGGAACTCCATGCAGTACCTGCTTACGGCGGAGCTATTCCCACTGCGCATCCGTGCCCTTGCGACCTCCATCTCGATGACGCTGCACTTTGCCAACCAGTACGGCAACTCGCGCGCCGTCCCGAACATGTTGCTGTCCACTGCGAACGGCGGCATCACGCCCAAGGGGACGTTCTGGTGTTTTGCGGCGGTGACGATCCTCGGTGGGCTGTGGGTGTTTTTCAGTGTGCCTGAGACGGCGGGACGGTCGCTCGAGAGCATGGATCGGCTGTTCGAGCTGCCGTGGTACAAGATCGGTTTGTACGGGAACCGGGACGCGGAGCAGCGGGATCTGGTGGCGTCTGAGAAGATGCAGATGGCCGAGGAGATGCATGGGACTACGGTGCACGAGGAGACGGTGGACAAGTCCACGAGGGTGTAGCCATTGACGTATCTGAACGCAATTTTTTTTATTTTATTTTTATTTCTAAATGTTAATTCAAGAATTTGAAGCCGATGAATCTGTATGTACCGGGATAATCACAATCCTCGCCTTTCGCGACGCATCCTCCCTCACAGCCTGCTCATCTCTCCTCGACGAGCCAAATCTCCGGCCAGCAATCACCTCCATCTCCTGCATCTCGTCCAGGTCCTCCCACGGAAGATCAACCCTGACCACAATCCCCCTCGGCCGAAAGAACGTCTCATTCCACCTCTCCACCTTCCTCGACAGTCTCGACCCCCCCTCAGACCCGCAGTCCGTATCGGCTGGCCGCTCCGAAGCAGCCATAATCAGATTCATCTCCTCCCGATTCCGCCTCGCCTTGCGCGCCACCAGGACAGCAGGAATCGCGCCAAGCACGCCGGCCATCATCCCGCCCAGCGCGAGAACGCCTACGCCCTTGGCGACTGTCGTGGCCCACTGTCGGGGTGAGAGTTTCGCCTCCTCGTTGAGGTCGTGGGTGAACTGGCTCCAGTGGTGAGAGGAGATGTCGTAGTTGGCCAGGAAGGGAGGGTACGCGAAGCCGGAGGTGAAGTAGTCGTGTTTTGAGGGGATTTGGATTCCCTGCTTCTGAATCAGGGTGGAAGTTGTGTGTTCTGATGTGGTGGAGGACGGGTATGGGATTGGATCTTTGGCGTCTGGTTCTGGTTCTGGCAATGTGGGAGATGTATCCGAGGGGGTATATGGGGGAGGAGGATCCGATGGGGATGGGTTGTTGGTTTCTCTGAGGAAATTCATGTTCAACCTGGTAGTGGTAGAGATGATTCGTGTTTGATTCTGAGAACAGACATCTCCGTTTACGGCTTGGGCACTTTATATTGCCATGACCAGGAGACTGGATGAATGACTCCAGGCATCAATAGCATCGTCATCGTCGCTGGGATGAGTATGCGAGTATGACTCGACCTATACACGAGAATGGAACTCTAAGCCTCGTCGAGAACGATGACTGGCCTGCAATTTTCGCTCAGGACGATCAGGCTGACGGTGATAGGCTGCTATATGCCTCAGGCTCCAATGTCTTCCGTAAATACGAGGTGTCTTCCACAGGCTGAACGGACTTGCGAATACGCCAATTTGCTCGCAAGAGTCGCACTTTTGCAGGTTTTTTCGCTTGAATCTAGAACACGACATAATCCCTGCTGGTCTGTCTAAGCCACCGTAAAGTGAAGACGGCGAGGCTTAACCACGATAAGATCAACGAGTCGAGCCAATAAGTGATGGCTCAGAATGAGTCACCATACAAGAACTGAATATCCAATGATCCTAATCTTCACTTTGATGGCAATAAGCACTTAGGATGAACGAAGTAACTATAGATAATCCAGTTAGTCAATGATCAATCAGTGTCTGCTATCCTCACGGAATGTGTCACCCCTGTCTTGGCACGACTTCTCCAACTCTCAAAGCGGGGAACCAAACAACACTCCTCATCCTCCTCACCCCCTGAACCCGACAACACCTCTTCACCATGACCACTCGGTATCGCGTTGAATGTATGTCCTCTTGAAAACAGATTGATGGGCCGTTAACCAATTTGATAGATGCTCTCAAGGTATGCTGTCAGCCATCAGGGTTGTTCGTGGCTGACACTCTCCGATAGTCGCATCGGCGAGACCAGCTGGTAAGTTCTTCCTCTGTTTCAAGGTGCAATCTAACATGTGCAGATTGAATGGATCAAAGTGAGTGCACCACTTCATAGTCACCGCAGGAAGCTCATCCGGTAGGGTCTCCTGGCGGTCCCCTTTGTGCTGCACTCGCAGCCCACCGCTGTCTACCAAGAACACAGCGAGAATCTCGTGGCCGTAGCGGCCGACACCCATCAACGCTACGCGGAGATCTTCCGGGATGTTGAGAAGCTCATCGACGACCACAGTAAGCCTCTGTCCCCTGTTCTTGGTCCCACCTAACCCAGGCAGTCAATCATGAACGCGACGACGCCCCTGGCAAGTCCAAACTAAAACTACTCGTCCCCACCGCCGGTTCCTTCTTCAGCCGGCTCCCGCTCGAAGACGCCTTCAAATACCAGGACACAAAACGCATGATCAGCCGCCGCCGCTTCGTCGCCCCCTCCTTCAACGACATCCGCCTCATCCTCAACACCGCGCAGCTCCTCGGCCTCGTCCGCGGGCCCGGCCTCGACCTCGTCACCTTCGACGGAGACGTCACCCTCTACGATGACGGCGCCTGCCTCACCCCCGACAACCCCGCCATCCCGCGCATCATCCGCCTCCTGCACCAGGGCGTGCGCATCGGCATCGTCACGGCCGCTGGCTACACCGAGGGCGCAAAGTACTACGAACGCCTAAAGGGCCTGCTCGACGCCGTCCACGACTCCCCCTCCCTCACCCCGGCCCAGAAAGACGGCCTGGTCGTCATGGGCGGCGAGAGCAACTTCCTCTTCCGCTTCGACTCCGCCTCCCCGCACCGCCTCACCTACGTGCCCCGCCCCGAGTGGCTCCTCGACGAAATGAAGACCTGGAAGCAGGAGGATATCGCCGAGCTGCTCGATATCGCCGAGTCCTCGCTGCGCGCTTGCGCTGCGAATCTGAACCTGCCTGTCGCCGTGCTCCGCAAGGACCGCGCCGTCGGCGTCTACCCCTACGACCGGACCAAGATCCACCGCGAGCAGCTGGAGGAGACCGTCCTCGTGGTGCAGAATACAGTCGAGCGGTCGGTCGTCGGTGCGAGGTTGCCCTTTTGCGCGTTTAACGGTTCGTCCCCGCCCTCTCCCCATCTCCTTTTTCCACGCGTCAAGTAGCTAATGTAGCTGGGTGACAGGCGGGAATGATGTCTTCGTCGATATCGGTGACAAGTCCTGGGGTGTCCGCGCTTGTCAGCGGTATTTCGGGGGGATCGAGCGGTCGCACACGCTACATGTTGGCGATCAGTTTCTCTCTGCTGGTGCGAATGATTTCAAGGTGAGTCTCCGCCCCCTGCCTTTCGGAAGTGAAAGTGAAAGTGACTGTGTAGGCTCGGTTGGCGTCTACGACTGCCTGGATTGCTAGTCCTGCGGAAACGGTGCAGTTACTCGATGAGCTGGAGGAGTTGCAGAAGGCGGAGAAGAATCGATCTTGATATTTCTCAATTATTGGTCATATTTCGGTTCCCTGGATTATTGCGTTACGATGTATGAGCAGGCATGTGATATACCATCATTCATTGACTATGAAATCCTAGATTCAATATTTGCCCAGACCATGTAGCCATTGTATATCTCAACAACTCCAGATGCAAAATCATAATCTACCGCAACTGTCCAAGGTCAAGGGCATCGGCTATTCTTCGGAATGTCATTCAAGGGTCGCGATCAGCTTCCCGTCTCATCAATCGTATCCCCGGTATTGCACGGTCGCTCTAAGGTGAAGTTGGCGCCGAAGGGTCAATGGCTGTGAAAGATCAGTATTGTGATGCAAATACGATGGTGGTCTGAAGTTGCTTACTCTCATAGCATGTCCACATCGGCTTTCCCGCAGAAGCACGACCAGACAGGATGTTGACATAGTTCTGAAGCTCCAGCCAGAACTCCGTCTTGGGACGCCGGCGTGCCCAATCCGTCTCGGTCGCCTCCAGACCGTCCTCGCCGCCCATGGCGGAGAACAACACCTGCGAGCCCTTGATACCGATGACTGTCGCAGACATCTGGTCCGCCGCAATCTCGTCACGCGACTTGCCCGCGTAGCCTTCGAGATGCAGCATACACTTGATCGCCATCCGGAGGGCGCGGATACGGTCCATCGGCGATGGCTTGCCTCCTTGCTGGAAGTGGCCAGGAACCGCGGAACGGGACTCGAAGCGACCCTTGGCCTCCTCCTTGAAGATGTCGGCGATGACTTGTGTGGTGTAAGTGCTGGAGGCACATTCGTTGCGCAAAATGAGCTTTCCGGCACGGTTCGCTCCCTTGTCCCGGGCGAAGTTCTCGCGCAGGAAATCGATGTCGTTGGAGAGCATCTTGATGTCGATTCCCTCCTCGGGGATGTACACGGCTGTGGCGCCGACGGCAAGACCAGCGGTGGTGGCGATGTAGCCCGACTTACCGCCCTGTGTCTCAATCACGAAGACACGACGACGAGAAGACGAGGCCGACTGGCGGATGGCGTCGCAGAAATCAATCAAAGTGTTGAGGCAGGTATCGCTTCCCAGCGAGTACTCGGTTCCAGGCACATTGTTCGAAATCGTGGCGGGCAAAACAACCATGGGGATCTTGAAAGCAGGATACTTCTCGCGGGCCTGGCGGAGCTGGCTGACTGCTGTGAAGGCCTCGAAACCACCCACCACGAACAGTGCGTCAAACTTGTATTTCTCGAAGCACATTGCGGTGGTCTCGAGATCCTCTGATGGCAGGCTACGGTTTGTTCCGATATCCGATCCACCCTCATTGACCCAGGCATCGGCCTCCAGCCACTTGACTTCACGAACAGAGCCGACTGGCTTATCATCGTGGTGACGGCAAAGGCCGGGGAAACCGTTGTGAATAGCCAGGGGGGTGTGTCCACGAGTGAGGCAGTAACCGACGACGGCGCGGGTGGCTTGGTTCATACCTCCGGCCGGGGCACCGACGTGGATGATGGCAATCCGCATTCTCTAGTTTGAGTTAGCCAACTCGGCTGACACGGCTGATTGAGAGATAGTAACGCACCTTGTTTTCGGGGAGGATCATCTTGGGATGATCTGGTGTGGCAGTGTTGAGATAGGCAAAGTGGTATTCTTTGAACTCGGCATCCCGCATTTTCATCGCTGCCTCAAAGTCCTTGTCATGGATGAGCTTCGATACATACTTGGTTTCTTGCACTGCGTCCATCAGCGAAGTCCGCATGATCTTGTTCTCGCGAATGGTAATGACTGGCGATGGGGAGTCCGGCTTCACATCCAGAACAGCCCGGACGGCTTCGACACCCTGCAAGGTGGACAGCCACCGGTCATACGCGCATGCTGCTCCTCCTCTCTGAGTGTGTCCCAGCACAGTAACTCTAGTATCCAGCCCGAGCCGCTGAGTGAGAATATCTTTGATCGTGGAGCTAGAAATCTTGTTGAGACTGCGGTCCTGAGCACCTTCGGCCACGATAACAATAGTACGACGCTTGCCACGTTCTGTGCGGTTCTATGGCGGAAGATTCTGTCAACTCCAATGCTGGTAACAAGATATTGCGCGACCCACCTTGGTAATGATAGAGCACATGGCATCCTCCCACCCATCGCGAGGAGGCATCTCCGGAATGAACAACCAGTCAGCACCCGTGCTGATGGCGGACATCAAAGCCAACCAACCGCAGTGTCGCCCCATAACCTCAATAACGAAACCTCGCTGGTGGGAAAAGGCGGTATCGAAAACGTCATCGACGGCATCGCAAATTCGTGTGAGAGAGGAATAGCAGCCGATCGTGGCGTCAGTGCCGGACATGTCGTTGTCAATAGAACCAACCAAACCAACAATGTTCAACACCTTGTACGGCTTGATCTGTTCTTCAGTCAACTTGCCGGTCTTGACCAGCTCCTCCAGCAAACCAGGCCATTCCGAACGGAAGACGTCGGCACCGGTCAAACTTCCATCACCACCGCAGACAACGAGAGCATCGATACCGCGGAGCACCATGTTCTTAGCGGCCTTGAGACGTCCAGCGCGTTCGCGGAAAGCCATGCTCCGAGCAGATCCAATCAGCGTACCACCCTTGGAGAGCCAGCCACGGACATCTTCCCAGTGCAGCTGACGAATCATATTACCACCATGAACCAACCCCTCATAACCTTCGAACACGGCGTATGCTTCGCAGTCGGAGTAGATGGCCATACGGACGACGGCCCGCACGGCTCCGTTCATACCGGGGGCATCACCACCCGAGGTGAGGACACCGATGCGGCGTCTCTTGGGCGGCTCGACGGGCGCTTGTGTTGAGCTCATCCTGTTGACGACACTAGACTGATCCACAAAGGAGTGTTGTAGGGATCAATCGCTAGACCGGAAAGTGAAGCTCCAGGGGAGACAGCTGTCGTTGCGACTGAACCAGCAGATAAGTTGTTGTGACGGTGGGGTGAAAGATTTCCGGTGAGTAAAAGCGGGAGTGGGAAAGGGTACGTCACAGATTCGACCCGGTCAATGGATTCACTAGTTAATTGAGAATGAGCTCTGAGATGAGAGAACTGGCTGACAATCTGATGAAGAAAGACAATGGTAGAACTTTATGGATGATCAACAGCCGATAACCCCTCTTTCAAGAAATCCCTGCAGGTTCTGAGCTCCCAGCGGAAGGTTTTCCATGCGTCATTACAAGACCAGCATCCATCGTCGACGTCACGGCCCCCCTTTCGTCTGACCTTGAGAAGTCACGTGGCCGTACTCAGGGCAGGGCTAGTTTCTCACGTGACTTGTCAGTGACGCCACGGCGACCAATGCAATTGATCCCCTGAGAAACCGGATGGATATCTAGAAGTTGATTCGATGCACATCATCCAGGCACGGCTGTTTGCAATGCAGTCAGTGTTGATCTTGATACTGTCTAATTGAGATTGATAACGCGTTGGACGTCAGACACTAGGTACTGTCTATGTACTATTCTATCGTGAACTCCTTGGGCCACCTAGATGTATCATTGATGAGCTTGACACCTCCCTCAGTGCATTCGTCTCGCCGCCAAGATCCACCAGATCGTACGCCTACACAGGTATATAGAGTTAATTTTGGTGAGAAGCATATCATAGAGTTGATGGCAACATCATCAGTCCTATAAAGACGGCTAGTTCACTCATGAAAAGTACCAATCGCCTTTCCGATATACGTCTCTTGAGGTCAATGTGGAATATATATCGCCAACGAAGTAGAGGGTAGAGCCACCCAGGAGTATACACAAGGCATTTAATAGGATTCTTTTGCTTGTCTAATTAAGTTTCCAAAAGAAGTATGTAAGTTTCACCGATTATTATCTGCTACTGGTGTATAAATCATGATGGATGATTAAAGCATGTTGAGTTGTTGAAGATGTTTGAGCTCCAGTTGTCACGTGCCTCGGCGTCACTCTCTCCATCTTTCATTCCCAGCCTCAAAGAATCCCTCGACGCTGCCCACAATTCATCGACGTAGGGCGCGTCTGACCGTCACCATGGCTGATCAATTTACCCTTCCCTTGCGCCCACTGCTCGAAAAGCGCGACCGTCCAGATCCGTTGCCAGTCGAGATCGCCCAGATTAATGCTCAGTGGGGATCGTTCCGCGATGTAAGTGAGGAGAGTCTCCGCGCAAAGATCGAGGAGGAGAAGAGCAAGGAATACACAATTGATGAGGATGAGGGCGAGGGAGCAGGGGCCGAGCTGGACACAACAGAGCGGTTGGATCAATTATACAAACGACGAGCGGAGATAACTCAGTTTGCGATGTAAGGCGACCATCAGGGTGATATGGCCGATCGGTCAGTACTGAGGTCTTATAGGCAGGCACACATGGAAGCGATGTTTGCTCTCGATTTCATTTCATTGCTACTCTCCAAGCACACCCCACGACAGGCCGAAACCTCCATGTCCGCTTATCTGAAGCAAGTTGCACCACTCGGTTCCCTTAATGCAGAAATCGTCAACCCTCCACCAAAGTCCGAAGCAGCTGTTAGAGACACAAAGTCAGTATCGCGTGGATGGAGGCTGCAGAGCTTCAACGCTGCTGCTGATAAATTGTTGAAGTCCGCTTCAAGACTGGAAAATGAAGTCGCTTCCGAGACGAGATATTGGCATGAAGTGTTGGCTGTCAAGGACAAGGGCTGGAAACTGTGCAGGCTGCCCCGTGAGGGACAAGCCTTGGGTGTGCAATATGGCTTTCTTGAAGGTGAGCTAGCAAATCAAGTAATACTGAAACGAGTGCTGACTTCTTGCTCTACAGCGACCCCGATTTTCCGCGACCGAGGCCTCGCAGCTCTACGGCGATCTGAAGATGGCGCGCTCATACTGGACAAAGGATTGGTGCCGACGAAGGCAAAGACAGTGCGTGTACGTGTGAAGGACCATGGCATCATCACTGGCTGTTCCAAGCGGTACCGGTCGGCCGCCCAGGACCCAGAATCAATCGAAGGCCGTATCCTGCAGGCGCGAGATACACTGTATGAGGAGGAGCTTTTCCACGAACTGTTCCGAGAGGCGAGGATAATGGGTAGCCAAGGTGTGACGACACGCCAGAACTTGGTTCAATTTGCTGTGTCCGAGGAGCAAGACATTCTGCTTGACCTTGTGGATCCCGACCAAGAGGCACATGTAGATGGCAACGAGACGAAATCCGAAGAACACAACGTGCTCGCCGATGCACTTGCCCACTCAATTCGCATTCTACTATGCTATGCTCATCGCCAAAACCTACGTCGAAGAACACAACCGCCTCCTCCGTTGTCCCAAAAGCGACGCCACATCCCCGAATACCAGCTGCTGCGGCCGATCATGGCATGCTTGCAGCACAGCTTCCATGTGCGGTGGCTAGAGTCCTTTGTGAAGGATGTCTATGGAGTACTTCAATCAGCAGGCCTCAGTTGTAACTTCACTGCGATACCCTACTCATCGGTGAACTTTTTGAACATTGATCGCTCGGTCCCGAAGGTGGAGGGTCTGATCAGACAGTTCCTTCTGCCACTCGAGTCCACATTCCTGGCGGATCTTCTCACGCCACATAGCTCTTTCAAAGTGAAGACTCGCACCAATTCGTCGGTACCACCTTTTGGGACCCATTTTGAGATCTCACTCAACCTGCCTCACTACCCAGACGTCCAGCCGCCGAACCGCATTGGGCTGCACGACCAGGCGGCATCGATCATTACGCATTTCATAATGCTAGATATAGTCGCGGCGATTCAATCTCAAACCTCACCAGCTTCAAGCATTGCAAAGACCGAAGCTAAGTCTGTTCCTTGGGAGGCGACGTATCCTCACCACGGGGAGTTGCTGGCCACTTCAACCGATGGAAAGCAAAAGAAGATGAAGGTCGTCCTATCGCGGGATGAGCTGGTTGTTCAAACCTACGATGTGCAGGGCGCCGAACATTACCGCCGTGCCGCACCAGCCACGACGCAGACATGGAAAGCAGGCCCTACAACGGCCCCAAGCCTCATGGAGTACGTTGCGGCTGTTTCGAAATGGTAGATAGGAAACAGCCTGTAGGGGCCACTTCTAGCCGATCCTGTCATAAATTTTATGAGATGAACCCATGATACCCGATAGACTAATTCAATATACCTCATTCAAATAGCTCTTTACTGCTCCATGTAACGTCAACTTCTCCAGCCTCCGAGGATGAATGGCATAAGCCTCCGGCAACCAGTCACTCACGTCCTCCCCCAGCATTATCCTCGCCAGAGCCTCTCCAGATAGCAAGCAGTTAGCCATGCCGTATCCGTTGAAGGCCGCAGCCAGATACTCGCCATCGCCGTCTCTCCCCGTCAGCAGAGCCGGCAACTGTCCTACCACAGGCAGCCCGTCTGCAGAGAATCCCATAACTCCACTCCAGGCGCTCACCAGCCTCCAAGCCTCAGCCTCAGTCCCCCCAAGGCACGAGGGGAGTTTCCGTTGCAGATTCTCGACAGACCCTGCTTCAACTCGAGTATCATCCGCCGACAGACAATCCTCTAGTCTCTTATCCTCCCCACCAAAGAAGAAATACCCCGACCTAGTATTCTGCATGAGATAATACAGCCCAGCCTGATAGCTGCCTGTCTTCGCATCGTACAATGCTGGATAATGGAATCCCCACGAGAGATCTTTACCCCGGTTGGGGAAATTACCTGGATCCTGCACCGTCATCGTCCCTTTGAATGGGTATATCCGTCCGCGCAGGTTGGGCAGGAGATGGCTCGCGTAGCCGTTGGTGCAGTATGCTATCTTTGTCGCGCGGACGGACCCTCGCGGCGTGCGAATGGTATATGGGTGTGTCTTGCTGGTTTGGTCGTAGTTGACTTCCGTCACCGGGGTATTCGTTTCAATGGAGAGTCTAGAAGGATGTTTTCCGAAGAGACGTGCGAACGTGCTGGTGACAACACGGTAGGGCCATACCGTTCCCGCCGGGAGGAGCGCGCCTCCTGCGCCATCGACGTTATATTCCTCCTGCGACCGTCAACACCAGCATCGTACCTCGAGAACATATCGTCTCATACCTTCAATCCCCCGGCATCAAGCACGGTATACAAACCCCGCAGAGACGGATGATCCCTCTCCATCAACTTCACACTCCTCTCAAACTGCTCAAACGCGCCATCCGTCAAAAACACACGCAGTTTCGTCACTTTCTGCAGCTCCCCCTCCTCAGTCGCAAACGCGCTACACAACTCCTCCATCTTCTGCAGATTCTTCAGCGTAAAATGCACAATCCGTCCGGCCATCTCACTCCCATGAATCCCCGCCAAATGCGCATACTCCTCCCCCGCATTAGCCGCCAGCTGTCCCCCATTTCGACCCGTCGCGCCAGAGCAGAGGGCTCGGGCTTCGAATATCGTGATGTTGGTGGCTGGGTGAGCTTCCAGAAGGGTTTTGCAGACTGCGAGGCCGGTGATGCCAGAGCCAATGATTGCAATGTCTGTTTGCCTGGGGAGCGTGGGGGATTTGGTGTGAGATAAAGGGTGAGGGGGTTCTTGCCAGTACGAGGGAGTGGGATTTGAGGCGGGGAGACCGGGGTCAGTGGTTAGGAGATAGGAGATGTTGTCCTTGGGGTCAGATTGCATTGTAGGAGGCTCTGCTGATTGTGTTACGGTGGTAGTTCAACTGCATCTGTTCTGCTGCGAGGGATTATTGATAAGGGCAACTGAATGCGGGGTCACAAGGTGAGGAGACACCGAGACAATACTATCCGATTTATCTGTCTAATCATATCTAATCTATAGGATCAACAAGATAACCAAAGCCGTTAACCGGAATAGATAAGGGAGCACATCCTTACTGGGTCGGAGGTTGAGTCTGATGCTCAGTCCGAACCTCAGTCTCGGTCTGAGCCTCAGCCTGAGTCTGAACCTGAGCCTGAGCGTGAACCTGTCGAAGCAGAGTCGGCGGAACCGGTTCATGCTCCCACCACTGCTGCTTGAAGAAAGCCTCGTCAAATCGCGAATCAACAGCCGGACGTGTCCTTCGTCTTCCGGCAAACGGCACATCGCCATACATATCGTAAAAACACCCCTGAATACTCATATCCTCCGCGAAGAAGAGGTACCCCAGCTTCTCCGCGCAGTCGCGACCATCCGTCTCCCTGCCCCGCCAGCAAAACTTCAGCCTCTTGTCCTTCTGGAAGCGGATGGGTGACTCCTGGAAGAGCATCATGCCGCGGTAGACGCCCATGGCGAACATGCCCCAGACGCAGCTTTCTCCGCGATCGACGAGAAGGCGCATCTTGAGTTTGCTGGCTTTGCGCGACCAGTTGTGTTTCATGGTTGGGCTGGAGATCTCGTAGCTGCCACAGACGACCTCGAGGAACTTGTCCTGGTTGTGGCGGGCCCAGGAGCGCTGCATGGTGAACGAGGCTGCGTGGAGTCGACCGATGGTACTGGGAGCCGGTTGAGATTGCTGAGCGGGTTCCTCTGGCGGCGGGGAAGTGTGTGGTGTCTCAGCCGGTTGACGGACAGGAGAGGATGGATGCACTTCAGTAGTGACCTCGTCCTGGTCCTGATCTTGCTCCTCCTGGACCTGGTCTGGCTCCTCCCGATCTTGATCGCAGTCCATCTGCATGGTCTCGTCATTCACGACCTGCGACTCCGGCTCGGGAGAAAGAGGAAGCAGAACCAATCGGGCCGACTCAGGCTCCTTCGCATTGTCATGCTGAAGATAATTCCAGTCCGCGACGAAAGTCTCAACAGGCCACGGCACCATGGGCGGTCCTACCTCCCGCACGGCCTTGAAGTCGCACTTGTCGTCGGGGAAATCCGCAACGGCCATTCCCCTGAAGCAGCCGGACACAAGACCGTTTCCACCCAGGATGATTTCTCCGGTTGTGATACCCTCGTTATCATACGCGACCTCGGGCTCGTTCTCGCAGACACCTCGCCACGCAAAGGAGTACGAGTTCATGGTGTTATCCCGCGGCCCAGGGTCGATGAGCATCAGGCCCTTCCACACGCCAATGTCGAAGCAGCCCCAGAGACGGTCGTAGTCCCAGATGAGGGTCATCCGACATTCCTGGTGGGGGAGTTCGCTGATCTCGAGCCGGTACGTTCCCTGGAAGAGCTGCATCGCAATGACGTCTGCTTCGGAGATCGGCAGGGTGTGCAGGTAGTCGTTGTGTTTGAAGGGGATTGGGGCGGGAGGGAATCGCCGGTTGGGATTTGCATGAGGACCATTGAGAGGGGTGATCGTCGTGAGACGATGGAACATGCCCGGCGAAAATTCCTCATCAGTGAGAGAGTTGCTCTGGTTCGCCTGCTGGAGCTCCATGATCTGTGCAAGACCCTGTTGACTACTCTCACCAGTCTGAGTGGTTTCAGAGGACCGCTTCTTCTTCTTGTTCTTCTTCTTCTTTTTGCGTGGTTCTTGGGTCTCAGGGAGTTGGCTACCCGGGCCTGGTGCTTCGCCTTCGCCATGAAGCTCGTGCAGCTCAGAGATCTCATGTGTGTCCACAGGGTCGGACATGAAGTCGACCTTTCTTTTGTTCATGGTGAGAGGAAATTAATGAATGATGGAATGAGATAATGAGTGACAATGTGGAAAAGAGCGAATGAATGAAAGCAGGGACGATGAAGAAGACAAAAAGAAGGAAGTGAAACTTACTCTGTCCAGAAAAATCAGTTGCTTATATGCCAAAACAACTCCCCAGCCATTGCTGAAGTTCCTGAAGATTGCCCTCAGTTTGAATGCTTGCTCCATAATTTCAAGGCAAAGGGCAACTGATGTATCACATCTGTCGTTGATTAGTACCCACTACCCACCGCCTGTCAAACTCCCCTGAACACATTCCCAGTGGACCTCACATGGACTTTTGACATCTCGCTGAAGACAGGTAAGTTGTGATACGTGATCCGGCTGCTAGGACGGGAAGAACTGACGAACCTGGACTCTTTACATAAAAAAGTACCTACACAAAGGACGCCAGACGGTGCGGCACAGCTGCATAGTGATTTCTCATTTGAGTCTGTAGCTCTAGTTTCAATCGTCAAGCTATACAGTCTCAAGCCATCTAACCATTTCATGAACCGTTACTTATAATGAGTTAGATGTTGGTTGCGAGCAGAAAGAAGACAAGTATCATCACGGAAACAGAAATGGCGAAGACCATTACAAGCAGGGTCCTGTGCTTATAAATTGTCGAGTGAAGCAAGCAAGCTCCCAAGATTTTTTTTTTGCTTCTTCGTCTTGACAAATTATGCTGGAAGAAGAAAAAAAGCAACGTGCGGATATGAGACACGGGGGCACAGAATATGACAGGTGGAATTGGAGTTGCCTGGCGCCCGCGACTGCAGCCGAACTTCCTAAGTGGAAGAGAGTTCAAAATATCTTATCTAAAGACCTAAAGGAAAAATATGGCATATATATCCTCATTTAAGATTATCGACAAGCCTCCAACTCTATGGTTGTTGGTGGAAGTTGAATCTGGGCTTGGGAAATGTCCTACGGCCGACATCCAGAAATAACGACGCAATATGAACACTTCTCCCATTGTATCTGCATAAACATCGTACATCCCTGTAATAGAATCCTTCAGCAATGTGGCTTGATGATTATTCGGAGTACCTATCAACACAAACATCCCACTCATCGCGTCTTCTCGGCTGTTACCACGGCACCTCCTTGCCATCGTACTGATTCAATCCCTCATTCTCCTCCCATCCCGGCACATGAATATTTAGAGCCTTTCCGTTCTGAGACGGGGTTGCCTTCTGCACGATATTGAGGACTGCCTCTGCCCCGGTCGCAGGGGGGAGATCGGCTCGTGACCCTCCCATTTCTGTTTGGAGCCACTGTAGGGATCAGCACCTCCCCTGAAGAAAAAGAAGAAATTATGGTAAACGGAGTAAAAGAGACTTACACCGGGACTCACAGCGAGAAAGGTGAATCCCTCGCTTGCGTAATCCTGCGCGTACTGCACCGTCAACATGGTCAATGCTGCTTTGGTGATTTTGTAAGCTGGTGCTGGCGCGAGTTTGTAGACTGGTGCGAGAGTCATTGAGCCGAGGGTTGTCGAACTATCACATTGATTAGACGGCAAGCAGAAGCAAGAGAATAAAGTGTCGACGCACATATTAACAACGAGCTTCCTCTGTCCCTCGCGGAGTAGAGGGAGGAATGCCCGGGTAACATTATGGGTGCCAGTGACGTTTGTATGGAAGGTCTCAGTCAAATCATCCCTACCATATCAGTTAGCTATTGCTCAAGGATCCTAAGAGACGCTAGAAGGACATGCATATTCGCAATTAGACCGTTTGTGTGCGGCATCACACCCGCATTATTGATGAGTACGTCCAGCCCTTTCCCCTGCAGTCTACCCTGCACTACCCTGGCGGCATCCTGCACGCTTTCTGCGTCGTTAACATCGCATCTGACCCACTGGATCCGATCGGACTGTTGGCTGAGTTCGTGTAGGTTTGGGTGTTCTGAGCGGGATGTTGCGAAGATGGTTCCTACAGAGGAACTGGGGAGGCTGGCGAGGTGGCGTACCAGGGCGAGGCCCAGGCCGCGGGAGGTGCCGGTTATGAGGTATGTTGACATTGTTGATGAGGTAGATGATAGATTTTGATGATCGATGGACGTTGTTGGAGTTGTAGATGAAGCAGATGACATCCTGCTTCAAGGACTTATAAATAATCGGCTAGAAGGATGATTAATGTTCGATCAAAGCACGACTTCACGGTGGAACACGGAATTTACGGAGATAGCAGTCAAATGTCCTATTGACTCAGGGCTGTATGAGAGTTGATTATCAAGCATAATTCAGATATCATAATCATTCATGGCTCTCGTCATATAAATCAATCATCGACATCACACTTCAGTCTTGGGACGCTCAGTAGAACAATCCCTGACCTCTCTATCATCCTGCCGAGTCTTCTCCCTAACCGTCATAAACACAATCCACGACGCCCATATCACCAATGCAATCGAACACCCAATCATCGCCCACATCCCCCGCGTAAACCGTGGCGCCAGGTCCGCCGAGTAGAATATGATACTCCACCACGCATTGACCGCATTATTCCCCATGTTCATACTCGCAATGACCACCGACCGCTGCCGCGCATCCTGCGATCGCATCGCATCGTTGCACCATGCGAAGAACGTAGCTTGGCATGCATAGACGGCACCGGCCCAGTAATATGCCCCGAACACGGTCGGGGTTGAGTTGAACCTCGTCAGGATAAGGACGGAGGTCACGACCCCGGTAATGCCAATAAAGTAAGCAACCAAGTAGCGTTTACCGTGCAGGACGTCAGTCAATGTAGCCCAGAAGAGGGTTGAGATGATCCCGACGGCCGGAACGCCTGTTGGGTAGTTGTTCAGCTGCGCGACGGAGTACTTGATCGTAGGATGAGATTTCATGTACAGTGCCAGAAGCGAGTTAGACGAGAAGGACTCCGTCTCGCCGGCGATCATCCAGAGGATGACAAAGGCCCACCAGTACCACGTGGTGAACGTGCGTTTGATGAAAGCCCGATTCAAGGGGGCACGGTCGGCATTGGTCGCAGGCAATCTGGAAATGGCCAAGGCACGCTCCGACTCGGTGAGATATGGAGCGCGAGTGGTGGATGGCGTGTCAGGGAAGAGGAGAAGGCCATAGATGGCAATGGGAAGGGTGATCAGCCCATCAATCTATCACAGTTAGCAGTGGAGCAATTTGGAAGAAGACAAACTGACAATGAATAACCACCGCCATCCCGACAGTCCTCTGGCCCCATCCAACGACGAATGAATACCCGTCTGGATGAAACCACCAAACATCGTCCCAGCCAGACCAGAAGCCGTAAAGATACCGCTACGTTTGCCCAGCTCCGGCTCCGTGTACCAGGATCCAAGGATATAGTGCGTCCCTACAAAGGTGCTGGACTCGGCTAGACCGAGAAAAAAGCGGATGGCCATGATCCCCTGCGGACTGTGCACCGCGGCCGTGGTCATAGTCAGACCGCCCCACAGGAGGATCATGGCGGGGAAAAAGATGCGCGGGCGGAAGTACGTCAGAGCCAGGTTGCTGGGGACTTGGCCGAGGATGTAGCCCACGGTGAAGATGGTGTTGATAACATTGAGCTGGTTGCCATGGAAGCTGAGCTCTTCCTTCATGCCTGATACGTATGCATTACTGAGGTTTGAGCGATCGAGATAGTTGAAGAAATAGGTGACACAGCAGAAAGTGAGGATGAAGAAATCAATCTTGAACCGGAGTTTGCTTTCCGGGTCGTGAAACCCAGGAAGGAGCCGCATCATGCTGGATGGGAGGCATGATGAGGAGGGGAGGATGGTCATCTCCTTCTGAGATGAGATACCCCTCTTGATGCTCGGACTCGACGACGATCAACTTGACCGCATGCTGATGAGAAGAGCCTTTTTGATTCGACAAAAATTGGTCCCCTGCCAAGACATGTCGCGTGACTTCTCCGCATGGATGCCTGAGCATTGAGGTGTCTGCGCGGGTTGCAGCACAACACCAGAAACACTTCGTTCGGTTCTTGGAAATTATTAGAAATTTATCACTTCATACGACTCCGTAATGATTATTGCCAGATACATTTTTCAAGTCTTTTAAATAAGCTCATCCCTTGATGAGACCATGATCGACCCGCCGATCACTACGACATACCACCCCAGGGGCCAAGGTCTTGGCAGAGCTGAGCACTGCCACCTCCCAGAGAAAACTCTGAATAATCCTTGATTCCATCAGAATTGCCTCAATGATTAAACAACAGTATGGCTTGGGGGCTACTCTGCGTACAAAATTCAATGCGACGTCCGATGATCTCCACTCTTTCGCTATATTTGGACGATGGAGCTCTTCTCCGGACTTAGACGGCTCCTGAGCCGGAGGAGTCGCACAGGGAGTCGAGGAGTGTCCGGGGAGAGGGAAAAAGCATTTCGGGGTCGGGCTCAGGAACCAGAGAAGTTACACAGGCGTGATTGCCTGGAAGATTATTCCGATACCGAATCAGCACAGTTCAGCTTCTTCACCACCCGGCTGGATTCGGTGATTCATGCATCCAGCATCAACTCTTTGGCGTTGATCTATGGACCTCTCCACGAGTTACTTGACAGTGGAGAGCATGATGGTATCTGGTGGCTCGACGTCACGGATCCTTCGGATGGAGACATCGAGCTTCTTTCCCGACTGTTTGACATTCATCCGTTGACAACGGAGGATATCAAGATCCGGGAAACCCGGGAAAAGATCGAACTCTTTGGCCCGTATTATTTCCTCTCACTACGGCCGCCCCAGCAGGCGGAAGACACGCCTGGCTCGCGGACGTCAGGATGCAACGTCTATGCTATTGTATTCCGTGAGGGAGTTCTCAGCTTCACCTTTGGCAGCAGTCCTCATACCAGTCACGTCCGGAGTCGGATCAAGGACCATCAAAGCCATCTCTTTTTGACAAGTGACTGGATTTCTTACGCTCTGATGTATGCCACCTTTCCCTGCTTTTGGAAAAATTTGACTGAAAAATGCAGCGACGACATCGTCGACGGCTTCGCTCCACTCATCAACCAAGTTGAAGCCAGCGTGGAGACGATGGAAGACAGTGTCTCCATCACCCGACCGGATGATATCGGACTTGCACTGAAGCAGATCTATAAATCGCGCAGACAAGTGCTCCAGATCCGGCAACTCCTCAACGACAAAACCGACGTCATCCGGTGTTTTGCCCGGCACTGCGACACACTGGGTTCCACGACCGAAGTGGTCTCCTACCTCAGCGATATCCAAGACCACGTCTTGACCATGGTCTCCAACCTGGCGCACTCGGAGCAGAGACTGTCCCGGTCGCAGGATAAGTACCTGAGTCAGCTGTCGTTCGACTCGACCCGGATGCGCAATCAGATAGTGGCTACGCTCAGCCGTCTGACGGTGATTGCGTCCTGTATCGTGCCTATGCAGATCATCACCGGTCTGTTTGGGATGAATGTCATGGTGCCGGGCAAGAACAGCGAGGGGCTAGCGTGGTGGTTTGGGATTTTGGGTGTTATTCTCGCGTTGATTGGTTTGTCTTTGGCGGTTGCGCGGCGCAGTCGATTTCTGTGACTTTCACAGGGTTGTCGTCATCCTACGAGCAGATGCATTAAAAGAGGACTAAAGAGACAAGCCTTCGATATTCTGCCTCTGACCCACTTGGTCGATTGATCAACATGTCAGCACCAGCGGATTTATCGGAATTACCGGTAACCGGCCGTTATCCCCTTGGAATACAACCAACAAGCTTTATAAAGCCTGCTCTTTCCTTGTACCCAAGCGTCCCATTGTCATCACAAGGCAGTATCAGTAAATCACATAGTTTGCTTCGCGGCAGTAAATCAAACGACTAACTGCAACATGGACTTCATTACTACCCAGCACCACGACACCTACCCCTACATCGCCCACTCCACCCACCACAACCACAAAGTCCTCATCACCGGCGCCTCCCGCGGCATCGGCCTCGCAACCGCGCACTCCTTTGCGCGAGCTGGCGCCCCATCCATCGCCATCGCCTCCCGAGGCCCCCTCGACACCGTCGAGACCGCCCTCCTATCCACCGCCAAAGCAGCGGGCCACCCGCCACCAACAATCCTCAAACTGACCCTCGACGTCGCGGATGAGACCAGCGTGGCGGCCGCTGCAGCGGAAGTCGCCGCTGAGTTCGGCCACCTCGATATCCTGATTAACAATGCCGGGACGTCGGAGACGTGGGTTCACATCGCGGAAAGCGACCCGGAGGACTGGTGGGGGTCGTGGGAGGTGAATGTGAAGGGGGTGTACCTGACCACGCGGGCGTTCATGCCGCTGCTGCGGAGGGGGACGCAGAAGACGATCGTGAATGTGAGTTCTATCGGGGCGCTGCATGTTCGGCCGGGGGCTTCGGCGTATCAGACGGGGAAGTTTGCTGTGCTGCGGTTGACGGAGTTCGTGATGGCCGAGTATGCGGGTGAGGGGATGTTGGCGTATGCGATTCACCCTGGTGGTGTGCCGACGGAGCTGGCGCTGGGGATTAAGGCGTTGCATGGGCTTCTGCCGGATACGGCGGAGCTTGCTGGGGATGCGATGAGTTGGTTGACGCAGGAGAGGAGGGAGTGGTTGGGTGGGAGGTATATGAGTGTTACGTGGGATATGGAGGAGTTGGTGCAGAGGAGGGAGGAGATTGTCCGGGAGGATAAATTGAAGATGCGGTTGGTTGTGTAGCTGTCTTAGCATACATTGAAGAAGCGTCGAGTCACAGTGATAGTCGAGTCCAACACTTCCGGCCGATTATGCACGCACCTCCAATCCAATCGACCTCTGCTGCTCCCTGATCGAATCCATCAACACGTTTATATCCTTCTCGGTATCCTCCCACTCCTTCTCAACAACCATCTTCGCGCGCTCGCTGCGTGGCACAAACACTGCCCCAAAAGGATCCGGCACAGACACGAACCCTGAGTTGAACGCCATATCATCAATAGCCTTCGGCCTCCCATCCACATCCATTGCATTTCGAATCTCAAACCCCCACAGAATCCGCGCCATAAGGATGAACAACGAGTTCCGGGCAATGTGTCGCCCAGTGCAGACACGTCTCCCGTACCCAAAGAAGTTGGTAAAGCGCCCTTCAGGCTCCGAATCCAGCCAGCGCTCGGGATGAAACTCCGTCGGGTTCTCAAAGTGCTCCTCATGCATACTCATGGACCAATGTAGCGGGACGATGGTCGCTCCTTTGGGGATCCGGTAGCCTAAATAAGTGTCTTCTTTTGCGGAAGCGTGAGGTACACCGCCAGGAACGATGCTTCGCCAGCGCAGGGTTTCTTCTATCAGAGCTTGGATGTAGGGCAGGTTTTCCTTGTCTGACAGCGTAGGTAGTCGATCCGGTCCAACAACATCATCGAGCTCTTTCTGCGCTTTGGCAATAAAGGAAGGATAGGCCAGTGCAGCTAGAACGAAAACACGCATGACGGTCGCGGTAGTCTCGTACCCTGCATCCGTGAGAATACCCACATCATACGCGAACTCGAGCTTATTCATTTCTTGCGCCTGCTTGGACCTGGCAAGCTCCTTGGTCCAGTTCCAGGACTTGCTTTTGAGCCCGATATCCATGTTTTTGAGGTGCAGCGCGGCCTCAAGCTGGAACAGTTCCTCTGCGGTGCGTTTCCACGGCGCGAGACACGCAGGCAAGCGATTCAACAAAGGAATGGCATCGACAATCCATGTCCCCACGCGCGCGGCATAAGTAAAATTATGCACGATGTGCCGAAGATCCTGAATGTCCTGCTCGTCGCCGGTTGGCAGCCGGATCCCGTATGCGAGACTATACACCACGCTGGTAGAGAACCGCTCGAAATGCTTACAGAAGTCATTCGAGGAAAGCAGATCATGCAGAAGCTGTTTACTTTCCAGATCCTGCAGGGGGAAATATGTCGGCGACGCACGCGGACTCAACACTGGGGCTTCCATGCGCTGATGCAGCCGGTACCGCTCATCATACTGCCGCAGCAGCAAATGCATGCCCTTTGTCACGTTCTCGCTTGCCATGACCATCCGCGGTCGGTCGCTGTAGACGCTGCCCCGTTTGTCGAGCAGTTCACGGGCTATTTTTGCGTCTGCGATGAGGATCATGGTTTGCCGGCCAAATTGGGCGCTCATGAGCGGTCCGTACTTCTTGCTCCATTGGTCATACACTCGCCAGGGGTGATCTTGAGGGGCTTGATGAATGTTGCCAATCAGTGGGAGGCCGCGTGGACCTGGAGGGAGTTTTCGGCCGCGATGATATTCGAACAGGAGACGAAGGATTAGAAGAACTGCGATCCCTGATAGTACATTCAAAGACATGTTTAACTCGATACTCTGCTGATGAAGGGGGTGGTCAGAATCAATCTCAAAGTTCTCACACGTCCAACAGGTCGGTCTCGAGGGACCTTGGAGACAGGAGCCGTCTTTTATGTCTTCACCCGGAGAGAATATGGTCACAACCTACCTAGTGGATAATTGACCCCGCTCTATTGTCCTCAGTTCAGTCAATCGCCTCACAATTGCACTAGTCTATAGGATACGCAGACCTACACACCATGCCCAACAGTAGCCAATCTCTTCCCCAGCCCGTGTCGCATATAGGTGGAGAATGACTTTAACCGAATGCAATGCTATTTCGCAGCTGCAGCACGGGAGGGGTCAACGTTGACACTATATATAATCCCTGCCAAACAGTTAGCCTCCTGCTGTATCACGCCTATCCTCCCCGTGTGATTGGATATAAATGTGCGATATGGCTGTGGGTGATTGCACTGTGCTGCAGCGACTGTTGCTGTAAGAGACCTTCTGCATTGGCATGCCTGTCTAGCTTGAGTTGTGTCAAAATCGTCGTGGCCAGGTCGACGGTCGGCATATCTGCTAAGTCTCAATGGTGATGAGGTCGTCGCTGAAGGCAACTTAACCCGTGCTGCTATGATGATCAGGCGTCCAGCCCTTGCATTCGTACGACTATTGTCATAACAGAGGAATCATGGTTAGAACGACCACTTTGACTCGGATCCTAAGATTGAAGACATCGTACTTACTTTGGGAGGACGGTTTCACTTTTCCAGTACAGAATTCTCCGTCAGCACTCTTCAAAGAGGGGGTTAATGTAAGTCATGAAATCTGGAGTAGGGAATGCTGGCACCTCTATAGTACCCTCCATGATAAAATAGCATGTGAGCAATGATTCATTTGGTTGCCTGGAGATAATTCAGCCCGATTGGAATACTAAGATGTTGTTTCTCTGGTGTCAAGCTGGCCTTTAGGCTCAAGCTATCTGCTCTCTGGTAGTAGTATTGGTGGGATATCTGTGCCGACCACACAGGGCCTAAAGATGGCCACGAGACTTCCTGAACATGGAGTGAGTTGTAGTTCTGCATGTGTCTTTTTCTCGAGTAACTTCATTTGTGATCGATGTCAGAGCGGAAGCACCTGGTTGAAAGGTCAACCTAAACGTAAACAGTTTGCGGTTGATGTCTGTAGGATGAGGAGAAGAAGTGGATTTGAAAGCCCTGATGTCAACAGATAATAAGCTTACTAGTTTGGCTAATGCTTAAGCTACAGTTCAATGGGGACATGCTCTTTGCATAAAAGCTGGTGCATATACATCCATTTAATTTGCTCTCTTTTTATCATGCTGGTTCACTTTGCCTGAAATGCTTCGAAAAGGCATATTGGCAAAAACTGTCTTGACCTTCAAGAAAGTTAGCGAGCTCCATCAATAGGATCCATGATGAACATACGACACCACATATGTCGATCATTGGCCATTTAGGTGCAGCTAAGATGAGCTTCGATGCCGATGAATTCAATGGAATTTCGAAAGGCATGGGATTAAGTGTTGAAAGCTCCCTTACAGTCGATTCAATGTCTTCTTATCATTTCTCCCTATTCTTTTCCTAGAATACCCTCGCAGGATGGGTCCCGATTGCATTTCTATAATCATCTATGTATTCATAGTTCTGTATTCCTAACAATCCGTCAAATGTAATCAACTGTCTCTCACTGATGACCTCTTGGCTTCAGCTCAATGAAGCCTTTTGTAGAAGCCCTGCATTCCCCTTGAAATCCGAGGCTGATGGCCAATGCGGATGCTCGAATATAAACGGGTAATCAAACCACTTACCAAATCGACTTCGAATGGTAGAAGCATGATGATCTGTCGCTTGGAGGCAAGGAGACACAGGTCCTCATCTCTGAGCGCTTTCCAGATTCTTCGGTCCGAATGACCTCCAATGGTAGACTAATCCCAATTGGCCTCTCAAACTGAATGTCAGAATGACCCTTCACTATCTATATCGGCTGTGCTCATAGATCTTTCGAAATGGAGGTAGAGGAGACTTCCTATATTCACTATGTTCTATAGGAGAGTACTACAGGCATTCACACCAGTCCTTAGGTATCTAAAATAAGGCTCGACACATAGCAGCAGGAGACCTCCATCTCTATTTTATTTGTATGCACTATAAGCATTCACATTTTTCTACCAAAGGTTGTGGTGAATATCTCTATGAGGTTGTATAGGAGGGGAAATTGCATCACTGCGCCACAGAAAAAACTTCTACCTCTCAACATCTTCTATGACAGCTTCATTACACATCGAACGAAGCTTGGATCATCTCAATAGCATCTATTGTACCTCTCAAAGCTTTTTTTACTATCATTACTTGAATCCTATCAGCTATGGATCGCTTAAACAGCCCATATGCTCCTTTCAATAATCCCCACAGGGTCGAGCTCATCTCAGAGATTTCCATGACACTGGCTAAATTGGGAAAGATTGCCAGTACAAAGGACCTTAGCACTGTCTATGTGTATTGGGAGAATCCGCCAAGGCCAACAAAGGTTCAGAATTGTCACAGTTGGTGTTGGTAATAGATACTAACACTTTCTGTCATAGATACTCCACAGCACATGTCCAACCCTTTCCTCATGACGGAACACGCGAGCAATACGAGGTCTGGCGTGAGGCATTCAATATTGCCAGAGAGAGACCGTCACGTCTAACCCGAATCTACCAAAGCGTTTTCAACAAACAAACTGATGAAGCCATCGAGATGGAGCGCATCAAGGGCAAGGGGAAGCAAAAGCAGCCAGATCCCTCCGCTGAGTCGAGCAAAGACGCAGCAGTATCTTTCTTCCACTGGTGCTTATGGCTCACGGACATGGTCCCCAGAACTGTGTGCTAATCTTGATCCGCAGTATGCCTTGAGTCAACTGCCTTCGGGCACGCGTCCACGACCCCCGGCACCAGTGCCATTCTCATTTCTCCCGGAATGGCCGGGAGTCAAAGACCTGTATCCACTGCTTCCGGAATAACAGAAGTGCACCAAGGCGAGTGCCTCCTCTTTGCGGATTTCGACACAGTATGCCTGTTGCTGCAGATTGCTAATTATCTAAGCAGATTCTGGCCAGCAAGCACCACCAGGTGTGTGGCCCTGTTCACCCCCTGTCCGCTCCGCGTCAAGGAGCTTCAAGAGTGTGAAGAATGCTCGGGAGGCCGCGGCCGCACCTATGGTTGAAGTCGATGTTACACCTCCCGCTGTCGTTGCTACTGCCACTCCTCCTGCGGCCAGCACTCCGCCTGCAGCCCTAGTAACGCCTCCCATGCCGGCAACTCCTGCTGGCACTGTGGCTCCATCGTCTTCGTCTATGCCTGGTTCTTCCGCGCTTCGGCGCTTCTTTTCTCGTTTCTTTTAGGCACGTAGGCCTGTTGGGTGGGAGGGTGCGTTCTTGCACCCGCCTGTGTTGCTTCCTGTACTGTAGTACAGAGAAACTGGACTCCTTAGTGGCTAAGTATGTCCCACATGATCCTTACATTTTTGATGCCTCACAGTGGTTTACTGAGAAAGGCAGAACAGCTGCAGAATGTCAGCCATCATCCGGTCCTCATTGTCATATGTAGCTGACACTGTTTTCTGTGCAGGGATAAACAATGACAAAAATCCATCATGCATCATGCATCATGTCCCCGCTTTCTCAAGTACAACTTAAGTCTGTCGTCCCAGGCCTGGCGCAAAGATTGGACGACTTGAGTATTGACTACGCCATTATTAGGGGGTGCTATGCTGGAAATGTGGTGCGTTCAGAAGGGTCTTTGGGACAGCGTGAGAAACCCCTCAATATCTCCTAATAATCATAGGTTTTATATACTAATTTCCTCGGTAAAACCGAGATTAGGCCAATCGTCGCGGCCTCGAACTGCCGAAGACCCTCGGCAAGAGCCGAGGGTCGTTGTTTGTGTTCTTTGAGGTTCTCTTTGGTGAATTCTCGATTGACAAAGTACATATGACCAACCAACCCCTGCATACCTATGAGTTGAGCCCTAATATCTCGGTTTTTCAGATGTTGAATGTCGATAATGCCGGGTCGACGGCGCTCACAAGAGTGCGAAGAAGGAGGCGAAGACCGGGGGGCTGCTGTCTGTCTACTGGTGAATCCACTATGAAAGCCCTCATGGATCATCTCGACAACGCAGCAGGGAAAGGATGCACCAAGATTGTGACATCCGCTTTGCCAGAATGACACATGATATAAACCTTGTTATTCAGGTGGACGAACGCAGAATAACCTCTGGCAATGTCTGACCCCGAAGACAACTTTCCCAAGGGCGTTGGCTATGCTGTTTGGGCTTCTCTGTGGCTCGCTGATTTGGAGATGATAAGACACCTGGTTCGTGAAGCGAAGGTGGATACGAAAGAACAAATGCAGCCAATACCCTCTACGACGCGAAGAAGATGCTAAATCAGATCAAATTCTGTAAGTTAACATTGAATATGTCAGATACGTTTCATAATCAGCTGGCTGACTCCTGGGTTGTTTCTAAGGGGCCGCTCGTTGGAAGCCTAAAATCGTTTAACAATGCAACTTATTAATACTTATCCTTCCGAATTCACAGCAGTTACCCAGTTCGGCCGCACAATACCAGCATATGAAAATTTTTCTTCCTCTTCTCTTCTCTCTCTTCTCTTCTCCCTTCCTTTCTCTTCCCAGATCTACAGCCTGCCCACCCGATGTTGGCCCAAGCACCCGCCTCATCGCAGTTTGTGGCATCACCGATGACAAAGACCAAGCTAGTCCAATGGAGGATGGTTGGTTCTTCTCGGACTTTTATCTGTTTCATTACCTCTTTTCTTATCTCCATGGGCCAACGACATCTCAGATCTGGATGACTAGTGAAAAGCCTGAAGACCTTGTGCGGAAGTACAGAGAATACGCGCATGGAGATCCAAAAAAAGAGCGAAGAGTTGTCCTAGACGAGAACATGCTGCCAGGATCAAACAAAGTAGGAGCTTAAACTCAAGAATATAGTATCACTGAAGAAGCAAGCTTATTCAATATGAGTACGGCAGTCCAAGGTCTCAATGCATCCATGCATGCACCAAAAGGAGCATCTGGCTCTGGTGGGAGACACCCCAATCACAGCAATGGCCCCCCAGCAGCCGAACCCCCCCAAGAGCACCGCCCCCAGCCTTCAACCAAGATGTCGCGGCCGTCATGCCCTGTGCGAACCAGTACATATCGGTAACCTCCTTTCATCAGGGACCGAAATCGAACGGGTGCCGGTTGCTGGCAAGAGGGATGCGCCTTAGAGAACGAAAGGTCAAATGGTTGAGGGTGGCACTGGAGCGGAGTGTCTCGAATCGCCCTACAGCTATGAAGGAGCTAGTCGATTTCTTGGACGAAGACACAGGCAAGGATGTTCCAGAATCGTCACGTTCCAGTCATCATTCATTGCAATGATCTACGACTCTATGACCAGCTGAGATAAGGACCTAAAGCACTTGGCTAAATGCAGATTCACATTTATGGGAAATGAGCTAGCCTTGCAGATTGCCAAGTTTGGCAAGTTTGGCAATTCTGGCAATAATGGCCCATAAGAGGTTTAAAGATATCGTCGTTGAAGAGGGCGAAATATTTGACGCCATGATACACTACCGCGCATTGAAGGCTCCATGATGAAAACATTGGAACATGGCATGAACCCAATTGGTACTGGTGAGGTTGGAATCATTTGGTCAAAAGTATGTTATGAAATCTCCCAATGAGAGAATCTTCTAATTTTACCTAGGATGAATACGACCGGGCCCGAGCAGTTCTGAAAGAGCTTGCCATTATCTTTCCTCTACCTAATATCATGGAACCTGACGAAACCATGCATGAAAGAGCACAGTTGCTCACCCAGCTGCAGGTAGTAATGTCTAACCCTAAAGACAACTTTCCTAAGGGTGTTAACTCTGCTGTTTAGGCTTCTCTGTGGCTCACTGATTTAGAAATGATAAGACACCTAGTTCATCAAGCAGAGGAAGGTGGATATAGAAGAATATTTACAGCTAATACCCTCTGCAATGCAAAGAAGATGCTGAATCAGATCAAATTCTGTAAGTCAATATTGAATATATCAGATACATTTCATAATTAGCTGGCTGACTCCTGGGTTGTTTCTAAGGAGCCACTCATCAGAAGCCTAAAATCGAAGATCTTCCTTTGAGACGACGGCGACCACTCCTGATCCAGCCGGTGCCAAGAGCGCCAAAAAGTCCAAGAGAACAAGCCTACATGAAGAAGCCTCGGCCCCCAGTAAACCTGAGCCCACAGGACCCAAGGACCCAGTAAGCAAGAAAGGAGTAACCCCGCTCAAGGACCCCAAGGACTATCCCGGGACCACCGCAAAGGACAGCCATACTGCACGCGCCCCTGAATTGTCTAAGGTGGCTTGCCTTGCGGCTGTTGTTGACGCGAACCCTTGCCTTCACATCAGTATCAAGATCTGAGCCTCCCAGTTTAACTCCATGACGCGGGCGCCCAAAGCTGTCAGTCTAACGACTAGGGGAATCTAGCAACCCACAGAAAAGACCAGGGGACCCCCTGGGCACGCCCTAAGGGAAGAAGAAGGCTAGAAGGAGTTAAAAGGTCGCGATGCAGTAAGCTATGCCTTCCCACCAGAATCTATTGCAACTGCCTTAGCACTAACTATATAGTATTAGTGTAAGGCGACAAAGCCTGCATTCTTACACAATGCATCATGGACATCTGCGACTCATGCCAAAGCTGTCAGGTTTCTGATTGCGTCTGTCAGCTTGCGATATTGGCATATGGAGTATATTTGGAAGATGTTGGAATAAGATACCACTATGATTATGGATATGAAGCCCAGACTGACGAGTACATCGTCCGAACGCCTTTTTAGCCTAGTGCTATTATATTTTCTATACCAAACAAGGCCAAGAAGAAGGAGGAGAAGGCGAAGAAGAAGGGAGAAGGACAAGCCGACGAGCTCAAATTGAGTATATAGAGTATATCTTTCTTATGTATCTAATTGTATCAACCGATGATGAAGATGGTTGACATCAGATAAAACTATGACCAGCTTTCCTTATGTAATAGCTGGCCTTTCAAAGTACCTTTATATCACCTTTGCTCAGCTCCATGCATTCTATTCCAAAAACACGAGTAGTTAGAGTATTAAGTCGACCATTTCCTAGACATAATGATTGTAGCGCTGATGGCACTATAGCCCTGCTTTCTTAAGGACGTGATGACATTTATGCTATTGAAATAAAGTACCGAAGTAAATGCTAGATTGTGCTGCTATTGAGTAGAAGCAAATGCTGGCAGAAAATCGCGAAATCATACATGCATCTTCCTCAACACAGCAACATTCTAGTAAATGCTGTACTTATCCTGGATTGTCTTATTGTTGCCTGCCAAGAATGACATCTTCTGTGCCACACTTCTATACTTGGATGTGCCTGGATGCGGATCACTGCCTCTTTTGGCGAACCACTGACATCATCGTCAAGTCATTGCTGTCTTACAAGGCTACAGCCCTATTTCATATGTAGAGAGTACCTTAATAATTGGCTGGATGATGATTATCAGACGGAGAAGATCAGCAGCTCCAAATTAGGCTGCAATTAACTTTCTAATCATACTAGAAATAGTCACAAGCTTCTATACCCAGACGGGAGCTCTGAGATCACGACTATCATATCCATCGAATCACATATCGCATTGGGACCATGGTCTTGCTCTTTCGCGGTGACAGTCACATGTATGAAGATCGAGGGAGCTGATCGACTAGTTAACTAAAGAATGAGCTAATTATATCATCAATGGAGCTGGGCTAGCAACGCAACCCAATTGATCTTCATCCTGGTCAGTCAACAGCTTCGAGTAGAATGAGATCCATGCTCCTACTTACATCAAATAGGCTCAAAATAGAGTAATTAGTGTCGATCTCTGACAGGTGATCCACTGACGATGATGTGCATTCTGTGAATCTGTTGTCGTTGACTCTCCGCACGATGACCGCCAGATGACGGCATCGCTCATCGCCACACTCCAGGGATACCACAACTCTCCCCGGCTTGACGTCAACCCCCAAAGTTGATTGTGAGGCATGCTCTATATAAGGATTCATGGGTCGTCTTGAATCTTTTTGAACCATACAATTCATAACAAACCTACACGAATCAATTCGAATACAAAACTTCAAGACTTCTGCAAAATGTCGAATATGATGCACAAGGTGAAGGAGGCCTTGACTGGCCACCATGGTGACTCCCACACCACGAACCATGGCCCCCATGATTCCAAGATCGCCAACAAGCTCGATCCTCGGGTCGATAGCGACCGTGGTATGTTCACCGCTATGGAATTGTCACAAGACACAGACTAACCTCTACCACTTTAGACAACCGCGCTCGCCACGAGGCCATGGGAGGTACTGCTGGTCCTCACTCCTCTGACACTGCCAACAAGCTCGATCCCCGTGTAGACAGTGATAGAGGTATGCTTTCCCTGACCTCCGAGTCGGCTGAGACTGACTTTGCAGACAACCGTGGAACCACTACTGGCACCTATGGTAGCGGCAATACCTATGGCACCAGCAACACTTACGGCAACACAAGCACGAATGCTGGTCCTCACGACTCCAACATTGCCAACAAGCTTGATCCCCGAGTTGACAGTGACAGAGGTGAGCACTCTCATCTTGATTCTACGATCTCGGCCTAACACGTTGTAGACAACCGCGCACGCCACGAAGCTATGGGAGGCACTACCGGCCCTCACAAGTCCGACTTTGCCAACAAGCTAGACCCTCGTGTCGACAGTGACAGAGACAACCGTGGTACCACCACCAGCGGCTACGGCACAGGCACTACCACCGGCAACACCTACGGCAGCACCAGCTCCAACGTCGGCCCTCACGACTCGAACATTGCCAACAAGCTCGACCCACGGGTTGACTCTGACGTGGATAACCGCGCCAGGCACTCCGCCATGGGCGGCACCGCTGGTCCCTACCGCTCCGACATGGCGAACAAGCTCGATCCCCGCATCGACAGTGACAGAGATAACCGTGGTATGGGCACTGGCACCTACGGCACCGGAACCGGAGCGACAGGCGGCACTTACGGCACCACTTCCTCCAACGTCGGACCTCACGACTCCAACATCGGCAACAAGCTCGACCCTCGTGTGGATAGTGACATGGACAACCGTGCTCATCACCAGGCTATGGCTGGAAGCAGTTACACTGGTACTGGTGTCGGTACTGGCGCCGGAACTACAGCTGGTCCACACAGTTCCAACGTTGCGAACAAGCTCGACCCTCGTGTCGATTCGGACTTGGACAACAGTGCCACTATGGGGACCCAGCGTGGTTTCTAAATCATGACATGTATTGCGTGAGATTGTTACTTGATAATGCTTAATCCTTGCGGTGGAATGACTTTGATACCATGAAATTGCACGATTGATGATTTTTATGACTTCAGCTTTGCATTATTGACTCGATAGTCTGCTACAATACTACTTTCTATTCATCTTCATAAGACATCATTTGGTAGAAAAGACTTTGATGAGCGTTTTAATCTTACTGGGTAGATGCTTCGCATTCGCAACATAGGTAAGTATAATTGCTGCCGATTAGAAAAAGGGGAAACGACTTGCATTATACTGCCCATGTTTTGTGGATCACGAAACTTCCGGCAAAAATGAGCTAGATTGCTGTACCTCAATGAGGAGTGTTCAGTCACATGTCTTGCTGCGAGATGAGTACAAATCCATTCCATCAAATATCTGTGCCCACCTGCCAGTCAAGCATCTGCCATAGCATTCATTCTCATCTATGCTGCCACTTGCGAGCTATATCATGGCTATTGTCTTCCAGATGATATCCACATTGGAAAGGATACAAGGCTTGAAGATATTCATAGATTCCGTTACTTATTGTTTGAGGAAATACGCTACTGATCGAATCAACCTGAGATACCTCTGCTTGAAGGAGTGAGTTGACCCCGAAGCTGATTATGCTTCGACGTGTCTTAAGTTCTAGCTGACCTTCATTGTCACGATACAGCATGACATTAAGCCTTTTCAATCGAGCGGAGTCCGGCATCTTGGGGATGAACATGAAGATAGGAAAATTTTAAGTGGTGTGCGTGACAAATGGTGCCATCTACAGTTGCAGATTTGGTACATAACTGACCGACGCTGAGGGAGCAGAGGGTTTAGGAGCATCCCGAACTCGTGAAAGGAGCCATTACACTGAAAGACATTATCCACAGAGGTGAATCCTATGCCCTCGTATTATGCATACCATTGCAGTGCTAATCCTCAGTACTGAGTAGCAACAACACAGAGATATTCCATGGCTATCGACACTACCTCCTCCCCAACCCAACCCTCATAAACCCCCTCAACTATACGCCGCGATGGCCTTATCAAACGCATCCGCAATCTGCTTATTGATCATCGGCGCAAGCGCAGCATACAGCGGCGCCAGCTTCGCCGCAACCGCATCCCCCAGCTGCGCCGACAAATCCTTCTCCTGCTGCAGATTCGCCTTGACCAGGAACGCCAACGATCCGATCCCCAGCAACCCCGTATCAAACTTTGGTTTCTTCGCGACGATATTGTTCAGCGTCGAGAAGATCTGCGGCTCGAGGTTGATGAATGCTGATGCGACGGTGAGGGATTCGGCGTTTGTGAAGTTGGACGCGGCCTGTGTGGTTGAGATCGCGTCCTTGAGGTCGTTGGCTAAGTTGATCGACTCGCATTCGATCTTCAGCGCTGTGATGGTACCTAGGATGCCGCCGTCGTAGGAGGTGACGGTGTTGTTGAGGACGACCATCTGGCTGGCGATGGTGTTGACTGCGTCGACGACGGCTGTGGCATCGCGTTTGGTGATTGTCGCAGTAGGAATGGCGCTGGCCAAGGCCGTGGCCGCGAGGAGGGAGAAGAGGAAACGCATTTGCATTAGTCAGATAGATAAGTCGATGATCTACTGCGTGTGTATGTTGAAGTCAAGTCCATCAGGGGAATTTATACCCCTTCCCACCTTGTTGATTCCCCGGTCTTCATGATCCTGCAAGATGGCTCAGTGCCCAACTGCATAGGATCCATCAATTCTTCCCCCAATACCATAACAGGATAACCTGGGTATATTGTACCCCGCAAAAAGGAAGCGAGATGCGAAATTGCAGACAGGGGTTCGAACGAATCATGCTACCTCGTGGCTGACGATTCGATGTAACCCCACATGTGAACGGGCGATCCTCCCGAGGCTGGCTGTGAAACATTAGGCCTAGAAGAGGAAGCTGTGCGATCTCATCAACCGTTGGTTTGTTAAGATTTGTCCGTAGCCTTGGTAGGTGATTCTCTTGACCTCGGATGGGTCTATTACTCTATAGCGAGAATGTGCAAACCTCGTTTCTAAACAAACACTTGATTGAACTATGAATAGGGATCCACAAATCAATTGAATTGAATGTCTCCGGACTTCCTCCAGTAATAAGGCTGAATATTGACCTTCCCTCTCGATGAAGGTAGGACAAGCGAATATCGTCGGAAGACCTACTCTACTGATGGTCAGATCCGGAATGATGAACTGAAGTCGTAGTTGAAAACCCTCTAACCGTGATATCGACTCGCCGCTCCGTGTGAACCGTGCAGTTATCCAAATAACGGTTTCACTTAGATCAAGATTCCGGAATGAATGGCGGTCTCAAGGGTGGAGTGTTCTTGATTAGGCCTATGTAAACCTCTCAAGCGGGCGCGACTGGCTGGGGCAAGTTGCCATAGTCTAGTTGATCCGCGGCCTGTCGTGATGTAAGGGTAAGCTGTCAGCGAAGAGCAGGTTGTAGGTACCATGGTAAATGGATTGAAGAGTCAGAGTTTGATAATGGTCTATCATGACAAGATTTAATGAATGCCTAACAACTGCACGGATAATTACAAGCAGAATAACCTCATCTTAGCTTCGGCTGTCCATCGACGGACAGGTTACTAGACTCTAGCACCACGGTGAGGTGTGAGCTTGTTGCTGAAGGCCAGAGGCTGAGAACCTCAGGCACCGGATTTGATTCCAGATTTGCAGACCCACTTTTTGATAAGGGTGTTAACGCCTACTAACCAGTAGGGTTCCTGTACAGGACAAGACCTTGTTGGAATATATAATAATCTATTCCTCAATGAGACCTTGTTCGAGCGTATCAGTGGTCGCGATGACGGGGTTAGCCTTGGGCTGGTTGCTCGCGATATTGGTGATAGAGGACGGAGGAGATGACTGGTCAGGAACACTCGGGGATTACACCACAGGCCTGGGGAAATAGTCAAGTCCCTCATCCAAGTCTCCATCCGACTCATCATCCTCCAGGTCCCTCGGTTCTGCGCCACCCCGTAAGGCAAGCACCCGATTTAGGATCCACTGCATTTCAAGGATCCGCATATCTGGGAGGGGATAATTCTCCGGATCATGGGTCTCAAGCTTGATCAGGTCACCAGAGAGGAGTGGTTTATCGTCTCGGACATTATGCAGACCAACTTCATACACTCTTGGGTGCAGATCTGATGGAAGTTGCGGAGTAACGCTGAAGTCAACACCACCTGCATGTTCATGTCGCTTCAGCCACCAAACCTTAAGTGTGAGCCACTTGCCATATTCATCTTTGTCGACAGGCTCAAGGGCAAAATACTAGGATACCATGTGGTTAGTGCTAAGGCAGTTGCAATAGATTCTGGCGGGAAGGCATAGCTTGCTGCTTCCATGATGTCTTCACCTATTCTAGGCTTCTTTGCCCCTTCTGGCGTGCCCAGAGGTTCCCCTGGTCTTTTCCGCGACTTACCAGAACTTCCTGGTGTTTCGACCGACAGGGGTTGGCCCCGGCGTCTTGGAGTTGAACTGGGAGGCTCAGATGTCGAATCGCCCGGGCTCGGCCCAGGGGCAGAGGACGAGGGTGGTGCATCCTTGATTGTTGTCTGCAAAGCAGATGGAGCTCTTGATTCAGCATCGTTGTCCTTTTGTTGCCCTGAATAGAACACGCTGTTAGCCGTACATAATGATAGAGACTGGATGATTGCTGACATCTTTGACCTATTCTGCACTCCACCTCAACATGCCATAGCAGGGCATAAAGTGCAAGAGGCCTATGGAGATACTCAACCCAATCTTTTAGTTTCTTAATATCAGCGAGCCACAAGCACGCATAACAAGTTTTAAGCATATTTATGGTTTTGGTGTGGGCTGTCGACAACTTCCCGAGTCCTTCGGCGATCATCTCGATCAGCTTGACCCGCTCAGGATTCTCGAAAGGAGCACCTGGATAACTCAGCTTGACGCTGTCAGGATCCTCGGAAGAGGCACCTGGATGGCTTGAGCTGGCCATACTGATGATAGTGATGATATCAGAGCAATCGAGACTAAAAGATTCAATGCGATTGAAGCTTTTAATTCTGCTTTGATTGACGTTGATCCAGCTGTTACAGGATGCTCAGAGAGTAGAAAATTTTTCCATGATAACAAGACGGCGAGAGATGGGTCAGAGTGGTCAGATAGGTTCTGGACCAGACCATACTGAGATGATTTGAGGACGAAGGGAAGGCGTCATTCTGGGAAGTATGGTAGTGTCAACCATATTACCACTAGGCCAAAAAGGCGTCCGGACTACCATCCTAACTTAGTAGCAATAGTAGTGTAATAATATGTTCAATAGGTGGTAAGATGAAGAAAATCTTGTGGAGATGATAGGATCTACAACATTGGTGATGAACGCTGACATCTGTACAACCAATGAGGTGAATGCCTGAGTTGCCAAGCATTGCCCATCTCCAGGTAGTCTAACCACTTTTGGCGCGGAGGCCCCACATTTCCCTGGTAGGGCTGGTGCATACCATTCCTATTCACACCTAATAAGGATGGCTTAGAAGGATAAGCAAAGTAAAATTCACAGAATCAACTATTTCTGGACTGTATAATGTAGAGTAGCCTGTCAAAAGTCGTTCTTACAGAGCCTAAGGAATCTTGATTAAGCCACTGGGTAATGGCTGCTAATTTCTACTAACTGCCTCTTCTGCAAAAAGATGAAGGTATCCAAGAAGCTTCCACTCCATTGCGCAGGTGATTTGTAGTGCTCACTTGGAAGCCATCCATCTTAAATTGAAAGCCAGTAGCTACTGAATTTGAGTTGTACATTGATTTAAGTAGAGGTACTTTATTTATTTTCTTTATTAATAGCGTAAGTGAGGAACCACAAATTGAATTCTATATAAAAAGGAATGGCTATATACAAGAAAAGCTCATCTTAGCTTCACCTCCTCATAAGAGCCACGTTACTAGACTCCAGCACCACGGTGAGGTGTGAGCTTGTCGCTGGAGGCCTGGAGGTCATCGGAGATGACGACCAGGCACCTACTTGCGCAGGACTTTTGTTTGTAAATTAGTGTAGATGACGGCACTATCCAGTGCCGTCAAAGGTACCGAGGACGCTATCCAGTGCCGTCATATTAAAGAATCTCTCACTGAGCATTCTTTCAATCGTCGAGATCCATTTCATCAGCCCATTCCAGGCGATTGGAATCCTGACAAGCCGGCTGCGTTGGCAACTCTGCTGAGGGCTGGGGGCGCTGCTCTTGGGGAGCCTGCTCCTGGCGTCCCTGCTGCTCTTGCTGCGGCTGCGGCTGCTGTTCAAGCCGCTGTGCCAGCCGCCGTGCCTCGGGATGTTCCCGCGAGTTAGGTCCCTCCATATGAGGGCGCTGCTGCCGCGGGCCCAGGGGATGGCGCCGAGCATGGACCGGAGGGCGGCTACTTCCAGTAGCGAGGACCCTGGTCTGAGGGCGGGTACTTTCAGTAGCGAGGACCCTTGTCTGATTCAAATCCATCAGATTGAACTGTTTGTAATGATTGGGAGAATTAAACGCACCATTGAGAGAAGAAGACCGCCGGAAATACGGCAGTCCTCCAGGTTGTGTCCCCATCTTCGACAAGCCGGGCAGTACTTCGCCTATTATCAAAAGCCAAGAGTGAGAATATTCTTACGGAAGATGCCGCTCCATGGACATACCTTCTTCTTCTTCTTCATCACCTTGCCCGGGCCCCGATCAGGTGGACGCCGACCACCATTGCCGCGATCGGGGCGTCTCCCACCAGAGCCAGAGGCGGCAATGGGGGCACGCATGGATGCATCGAGACCTTGGACCGCCGTACTCATATTGAATAAGCTTTGCTTGTTCAGCGTTACTGTATTCTTGAGATTTGGCGATGGGAAGAGAAAGGAAAGGAGAAGAAAAGAGAGAGAAGAGAAGAGGAAGAAAAATTTTCTTTTACAACTGCCAGTGTTGCTCAGTGGTCATTCACCATCACCACATCTTCCCAAAAGGGAATGGTGAGATCACAGTGGAGGTGCCTCCCATATCATAGACCTCCTATATCATAGACTATTGCTCCAATTACTTACTCCTCTATCTATCTTCTAAGATGACTTACTTCACTGCAGTACCTAATGGCAAACCAATAAGGAAAGAATGTGTACGCTTTTTGGAGCCTGCCACAACCAAGTGAGCAATTTCTACAGCTTAGCTCGTCCCAACAGTTGGCCATACACGCCTACCCCCGCGAGGCAATCATTATATCTAGAACTACTACAAGGAGTTTCCTTATGGCTGTATGCAAAGTGCAATAACAGTCTTCACTGCAGAGGCTGTTTGTGCTCGGGTTGGCACTCTTACCTTCGAAGGGCACGAGCCTGGAGATTGCTACTCTGGTTTCAGGAAACACAGAGTAAGTACCAACCAGGTATACCCATATTACTTCATTTAAGCTAATGTTTCTATGGTAGAATGCCGCCAGCAACCAGGAGAAAAGTCACTGCGGTTTCAGCCTTTCCTCTATTCTCTCTACATTACGCCATTCTCATGTCTCTTCGACCACTGCCATTCGCAAACCATTCGCTCCGGCCAGTCCTGTTTGGAGAACTCCCAACCTGGGCGGTGACAGCAATCATCGCCCCTACTATAGTGGCAAGAGACCAGGTCCAGATCAAGGTACGTCTGATATTTAATCCTCGGATATGGATGTGCCTCTGCTGACGATGGACATTGCAATCAAGGTGGCGTAATGCAAGCTGTGCCCTGGCCCAAAACCATTGCCCGATACTACGAACTATGTGACTCTACTGGTCAAACCATGAAAGCTGGAGATTGACACTTGCGGCCATTCTTCTCCAGTGCAGCCGACTGCTTGAAATACGCGAGGAAGGGTTTCGAAGTACGAGTTCACAAGATTGAACTGGCTGTTGTCAATTACAGTATCGACATGATGAAGTACCCTGTCGCAGAACAAGCATGGGAAATTGTCATACTAGAACAGATCCACATTGTTATCCTCCATACAGACGGCTACTCCTACCGGAACAAGGCAACGTGTATCTTTTCTGCGTCAGAGCTGCATGAGGACCTGACCATACTTATGATGGGATATCACCGCCCAGGGGAACCGGTCCCCCACGCAGCGACCTCGCAAGGAGGCCCCGAATGCGTGGGACTCCTGACGTCGACGATAGGCCCGAGTTATGCCTATTCCAAGCTCTCTGTGAGCCGGTACGTCTCGATAACTTCCCTTTTCCGTTTATACGATAATATTTGTGCGGACTAGGCAGCGGGCATGGCCGGCAATGCCCTTGATTTGTCGGCGAGAAATTAAGTGGTACACGGACTTTTGCAACCCCAACCTTAACTAGACGGCTGCTATGCATGGAGACATGACTGACGCTTTGTTGGACCTAATAAATGCGTTCGACAACATTGACTAGGCGCACTGTTCTCATCACGGGATTACTGGTAGTAAGAAGACGCAGAAGGTACGTTGACGGGTCGTGCTGAGTACATTTTGAGGCTGCTTTGTTAACGTTTAGTAGACTGCGCAGTAGGACCAGATCCTGGTCAGACGCCAGTCTGAGCTTGGTCACATCCGCTAGGGCCAATTTGAATCCAGCTATTAGAACTGGCTGACGATGGCAAGTCCCTCATTACCAAGTTTATTAGTGCCAATTTCATGAGTATCGCAAGAGCGTCTCTATAGGAAAGGTTCCGCACTTTCCTGCTGACCTTCGTGCGGCCCCAATAACTGCAAGCTCTTGGACTGTGGTAAGGAACAGATCAATCTCTCCGCCACCATCCTGCTGACACTCCAGCAACTGCTGCTGATGTATTCAAGCCGCCTTTGGTTACAAGTGACGGGCAGCATGACCATGACGGTGAGCATGACCATCGAAATGAACATAGAGCACAGACGCCGAGGGCTGAGACTGAGAGCGAACCCGAAGCTTGGACGACCGGCCCCGCAGGAAAAGAAGAATTAGATATCAAGTGTCCGGTCCAAACTAGCAAGTCTCAATGATCTTTTGCGGGCATGACATTGTCTTCCAGACTGATGATCCAAACTTATTTTAGTAAGAACAGGTCCACATCTTTGTCCACTAGCCTATAGTCATGTGGCTCACCAAAATGTTCCTTGATGCGCTTAGCATCAAGTACGTCACAGTCAGGGTGATGATGGGAGAGAATGCCCGCCGCGAGGCCGCCGAGCGCTTTATAGATGGCAACTGATTGCGACGTGCTCCTAACCTCATATCAGTGTGGGGCCCATGGGCTTAATCTGCGCTCGCAGTGCAGCCGTGTTGTCTGAATGGAGCCGCCATTGAATATAAACACGCTGTTCCAGGTCGTCGGGCAGGCGCATAGACTGGGCCAGCAGCACCTGCAAAAAGCCTGGATCTTGTTCCAGGAGCACTCAATCTCAAGATGGATTGAGTGCAACAATGTGATCAAGGCGCTCCCACAGTTGGCCGCCCAGCTTCATGACTTGCTGAAACCACTGGTGCTGGCTGCCCGAACTGCTACACGCCCAGCAGATACGGGGGATACAAATGAGTCTACAGAAGAGTCGGACGCCAACGATGCGGAGGCCCAGGTCATCCAGCAGCATGCAGAGGACTGTCTGCGCCGCATGCTGGGCCAGCGCGCCAGTCGGCTGGGGGTAAGCGATCTCGATGACCTCGGCCTCCTGCAGAGGGACGTTGACCGAACGAAGGCGCGCATGACTCGGAAAGGTAGACCGTTGCGCAAGCGCCAGCAAGAGGCATCGCCAAGTGAGGGGCCCGCCCGCCGGAAGCGGGCAAAGAAGCCCACTACTGCAGAGGTAAAGTACTCCCCTCCAACCTCCCCTTTGGGGTTTTCGGTCAGAGCTGATATTGGCTAGAAATCGACTCCGGTCGAATATCCTGGCACGACTAGGAGCTTGTTGCTAATCTATGAACGGTACCTGGGATGGCTCTGGTAATCTGTACGTTACTTCTGAGCACTTACTGAGCCTTATTAGCTGCGGCACATTGCTGACTGAACTAGCACGGTGCTGCAAGCCGGTGGTCTTTTGGCCATCACGAACGCCGGTCCCCCTTTAAAAAACATCCCGGTTGAACCCATCGATGTCGACGAGCCTGATAACGATGATGACGAAGAACCTGAGCCCGCCCCTGTCAGACGCACTCCCCGCAAGAAACCGATGGTTGTTGTCTCCCCGTCGATTGCTCCTAGCCCCGCCGCCCTCTTCCATCAAAGAAGATCCTTGAGCTGCACAGGATACTAAAGCGGGTTCTCACCTTGAGTGGGGCTGCTGACGTCGACGATGACGATTATCGGCCAGATTTAGGCTTCGACCTTGTTCGCTCATTGGGCTCTCTACTAGGAGGAGTCAGAGGATGAGCATGCTGTACGAGGAGCCAGAAATGTCAGACAAGTACCCAAATTCGGGGAGAACCTACCACTTCGCAGCTCACACCCTGGCGATCCCCGCAATGCAAGCACTTAGTCCCAGCCAACATGATCAGGGGAAGGTGCGCAGTCCAGCTCGGGAAGAACAAGATAAAGGTGGCCTTCTCCTACGCGTCTGTCACTCCAATGTTCATTAGACCCCGATTTCTCGAAGACGGGCGTCAACAGTTGAACTCTATTTGATCTTCTGTTCCAATTGGTGCAAAAGCCGCCGAGAGGTGCTGCACATTGAATCTCGTGGTTGGTAGTGTTGATATATCATCTCTAAGCATAAGCAAGGGTATTATGCGCTAGGCTAGCTCTTTGGGTCTGTGGTAATAGCTAGCCAGAACCTAGGCACTGTACTTCTCTTGAAGTGTTAAGGTTAAGGGAGATCACTGAGGAGGTGATTATTAAGAAGTTGGGTATGATACCTGCGCAAGTGGATTGTGGATGTGGCCGCCACCGAGAATAAGGATCGCCTGATCCTTAAAGCCTGCATTATCCTCAGACTGGCTTCCAAAAGGCGCCGTAAGCCCTGCGTCTTTTGCTTCTGCCATAAGCGGAAACGTGTGCTTCAAGCAATCCAGGTCCTCCTTTCAAGGAGGCTCGCCGCGTCAAGCTGATCACCCAGATCGTCGAACCACTAGGCATATTAATGAATCGCTTCATACATGACTTGATTCTAACAAAGAGAAAATGGCTACAAACTACGGAGTGGAATGGTCTGGGATACAGCGTCTAACTCGCACTATACAAATACCAGATCATGTCTCCTCGATCTCCATACGAAATGATAGCGTAGGAAGGTTTCTGCCATCGACAATGATACCTAAGGGGTAAGACACTAGAATACAGATCATTGACACAAGGTTTGCCGATCCTCTTAAGTTGTTTCAATGTTCTACTATATGAGTGAAGAGAAACAAGGCTCTATCGGGCGTGCTCGTGTATTCCTCGTCGCAGGCACACAAGCAAATTCTCAATTCTCAGGACTATTCGCCTATCTAGCTACATCATGGATAGTCTTCTTCATCCTCATTCTCCTCGATTTGCCGCTGGCTTTGCTGGAGGCGGACATCCAGCAGCTCCAAGTAGAGCTGCCGGGCCACCTCCCGTAGCTGCTCATTCTCTGCTTGTAATTGCTGCTGTTGCTGTTGCTGCTGCGAGCGCCGCTCGCGGCGGCGGTCCCGGGCATTCGGGCCCTCCTTCCGAGGCCGCCGCTGGGGGGGTCGGTTCCCCTGCGCGGTGGAGTTCTATTGAGGAGACATTAGCTCATATAGCGCAGTAGAAGTGTTATCGGTCCTTACCTGGGCGTTTCTGGGCCCGGCACGTGAGGGGCAATCCCCCTCCCTGTGCCCGCGCCGCTGGCAGAGCTTGCACCGTACCTCCTATATTGTGACACCATCGTTAGCACATCTATAGCTGAGAGTGAAGTATCGGATATACCTCAGTGCGAGCTGCTTTCTTGCCACCATAAGGAGGACGGCGATTGTCGTCACCACCCCGGTTGGGATTTCTCCCACCAGAACCGGACGAAGCTGATGGTTGGTGGTGAATGGCAGTGGTAGAAGACATACTGTAGGAAGAATGGCTGAATGACGATGTAAGGGAGAAATGAAAGGATGGTGGCTATTTGGAGCAGGAAAAGTGGGAGAAACACAAAGCACTTTGTCGCAAACAGATATTTGTTTTAATATCGCCTCACCATGCCTTTTTGGGAAGATGTGCTCAATGATGGTGAATGTCCACTGAGCAAGGCCAGCAGGCAAAGAGAATTTTTTCCTCCTGTTCTCTTCTCTCTTATTTCTTTACTTTTCCTTTCTCTCCCCATAGACAACATTATGATATTGTTACGCTACAAAAGCACATAACTACTTAAAACAATGAACTCAGTTATTCCCATCCGGTCCTCGTGCCCCGACCCATGCAGCAAAAGATGCATCCGACTCTAGCCGCAAGGCTCCTGTTCTGTGTAATAGCAGTCGCAGTCCCTAGGTAGGGACAACCTAGCAATCAGCAATCAGAGTGTATGTACATCCATCAAGGGCAACCCCAACACAGCACCATACTCACTTCACCTCACTGGAAAAGCCAGAGGCTTGCAACATCTACCGGCAGATGATCAAAGGGAGAGGACTGTTCTGGCCTCAGGGATACTGTTCTCAGAGCGATAAGCCAAGTTTCAATGCTGCGGTATATGTGGAAACTAACTGTTTACAATAGGCTCGCGCTCTTGACGCTGAAACACTCCCCTGCGATGTTTATTCCCCCCAGGTGTCGCTTCGGCCGTTCCCATCAGCTGCGTCCTGCCCGTACGGTACGCCCATTACCTTGCTCGCTGGCGTGTCCCCTCCCGCCAACCCAACGGTCGTCCACCTCGTTGAAAGGTGAATTACGCTACACGCCGCCTATAGCAACAGTGAAAGCAACGGGAGCAGCGGGAGCAGCAGAGCCACTGCCGTCTGCAAGAGTGAACAAGTATTTGCTGGAAGAAATCGCCAGTATCAAGTTGGAGTCGGGTTACAGGATTCCGTAGCTCCTGTTCTCCGCGGGGCTGAAGATCTGCTTGCCACTATCCTCCACCACTGAACAGGTGGCCGAGCTCAAGTAGATAGAATCTATTTTTATAAATAGGTATCTGGTTGCCCTGGGGGAAGGTCTAGGTCTCTAGTCTAGCAATAAGCTCCCATCTCACCGTGGTGCTTCCGACTGCGAACCGGCGAAGATAAGATGAGCTTGCTATTGTGTATATCCTTTCAATAGTTTGCAGTAGATCAATTTCCATTTAATAGTGATTCTTTAGTTAATCCTTACTATGAATTATGAGTCTGGTTAGCCTGTTTTAATGTGCATTGCAGATACATCTATATAACTAACTCAACACTTCATTGTAGAGTACAGTCGAGCTTTGGCGGGCACAGTATCATGATACGAATCAGTTTTAAGCATTCAGTCACTGGGCAGGTATCCAGGTACGCGTGCAGCATAGAGTTTCAATCTCCAAACCGAGTAGTTCTATCGCGTAATCTCAATGTTCCAGGAAAAGCAAAACGGATCAGAGAGGGGTTTGATACCCCTCTCTGAACCGCCCAGGCCCTGCCCGTTTCGTTGACAGTAAAGGACAGTCCTAAAGGTAGAAATATCCTTCACCAGGAAACGACCAGGGTCTGTCTCGAACCCGGGCCAGCAGTGCAGTTGGGCTAGCAGTTTAGCCCACTGCACCACCGGGTCCGGGTCGGTTGACAGTATGATATAATGGAGGCCCATCTGTTGTCAAGTCGGTTGCCTAAAAGGGAAGTGAATGGTCAGATGCCTGGGGGTTAAGGCATCGTTGTGAGGCAGAGACGGGGAATTCTTTTGGCTTGCAGAAGATGTTTAGATCTTGTCAACTCCAACGCTGGACTGAGAATTCAGCGTCGAATCTTCGCCACGAGGTCAATGCGAGGAGATTGTGCAGAAGTATTGTACCGGAACTTGTATGATATCTTCGTCTTCAGCGGCATGTGTATACACTTTATCTTATGTTGTTCATCATCTACCCGGTGATTTATCCCCCTTACAGACACGATGAAGCACCCACACAAGAAAATGGCGAAAGCATCCAGAAGTTTCGACGATTAAGTGTTCAATTGCATTAGGTAAATTGAGCTCCTAGCCTGTCTACAAAACGAATGCCAGGCTGACCTGATGGCGCGATAGTGGACTCGAATTGATCAACGAGCCTTGGCTTGAAGCATTCCACCGATAAGCACGGCTAAGCAACAAACCCTGCCTGAGGTTACATTGCATATCCATATCTCAAATGATCGTGTCCGGGAAACCTCATGAGATACTAAGTGGCTAATTGCCAGTGCAGGTCGCAGGATTGTGTTACCGACGGAGTCCGTCCCTTGCCTCGAATGCAACAACACAGCTGGATGGCACGACCAGCTGAGCATTGATAAAGAGGAGGCCATCCATCTCCTCATCTGGAAATCAACGCATATATCATCACAAGTCAAGATGTGTACGTTCATCCAGCCATTGCCTATCTTTACTGACAGTACTAGCTCCACCAGGTGACACCATTATCAGCAACGCAATGGCCTCACCTCTGACCAACGGCAAAGACGACCTCGAAAAGCACGACTACGAGATTACAGCTACATCTACGGAAACAGACAACTATCCTGCTCCCACAGAAGAAGAAAAAACATCGCTGCGCAGAGTCCCCGCGACTCTCCCTTTGGTTTCGTTTTCGCTGTGTATTGTCGAGTTCGCGGAGCGTGCATCCTACTATGGCGCCAAGAATATCTTTGCCAATTTCATCGAGTTTCCTCTTCCAAAGGGTATACTCCCCGTATTACTTTGAAGGACAGACGGTAACCAAAGACAGGTGGGAATGGAGCCGGTGCTCCCCCGAGGGGCACACAGGAAACGGCCGGTGCTTTGGGAATGGGTTTGCAGGCTAGCTCAGGGCTAGTCCTTCTGTTCGCCTTCCTGGCCTATGTCCTGCCTATTCTCGGTGGATGGTAAGTTCTATTTTTCATTCTTGGTCGACCGTTCTGACGGTATAGGTGGGCCGACGTCTACGTGGGCCGCTACAAGGCAATCTGCGTCGGTGTAGCAATCTGCGGCATCGCACATATAATCCAGATCATCGGCGCCATACCATCCGTCCTCCAAAAAGGCCCAGCGCACGCCGCCCCTCCGTTTATAATCGGCCTCCTCCTTCTGGCGCTCGGTGCCGGGATCTTCAAACCGAACATCGCACCCACAATCCTCGACCAGAACCGCCACCAGTCGCAGTACACGAAGGTTCTGAAGTCCGGAGAAAAGGTCATTGTTGATCCAGAGTTGACCACCACGCGGACGATGCTGATATTCTACGCGTTTGTGAATGTCGGGGCGTTCTATATGCTTCCCACTGCGTATGCAGAAAAGTATGTCGGGTTTTGGCTGTCGTGGGTGCTGGCGGGAGCGATATATTTTCTGCTCCCGATTGTGCTGGCCTTGGTCTATAAGAAGACGTACAAACAGCCTCCGAGCGGCAGTTCGGATCTTGCTAAAGCTGTGAAGATCATCTCAACAGCCCTCCGACGCAACAAGTACCGCGTCTGGAAGAAAAGTTTCTTTGACGCCGCTAAGCCTAGTGTGCTCGCCGCGGACGGGATCCAGGTAGACTGGAACGATAAGCTGGTTGACGATGTACGGCGGACCTTAGGTGAGTTCTCCAACTCTTTCTAGAACTACTCTAACCATACATAGTGGCCACCGAAGTCTTCTTCTACTTCCCCATCTGGAACATCAACGACGGGGGCATCGGCTCCATCTCCACCAACCAAGGTGCCTCGATGACCACCAACGGCGCCCCCAACGATCTCCTTAACAACTTCAACGCCCTGACAATCATCGTCACGGTCCCCCTCCTCAGCCACGTCGTCTACCCCACTCTCGCGCGGTACAGGATCCCCTTCGGCCCAGCAAGCCGGATCGCATTCGGATTCGTCCTCGCGACCATCTCCAGCGTCATCGCAGCGATAGTCCAGTGGCGCATTTACGAGACCTCCCCGTGCGGCTACCAAGCCTCGGCCTGCGACGGCGTTAGTCCACTGAGCATCTGGTGGCAGATCCCGAACACGGTGCTGGGGGCTCTCTCCGAGTGTTTCTGCAATGTGACGGCGTATGAGCTGGCGTATTCGCGGTCGCCGCCGAGTATGCGCGGCCTAGTGATGGCTGTGTTTCTGTTTACAACTGCGTTGTCTAGTGCGCTGGGGGAGATATTGATTCCGGCGACCAAGGACCCGTGGCTGATTTGGATCTGGGCGGCGCCGGGAATTGCATTGGCCGTGCAGACGGTGGTCTTCTGGTGGCGGTTCAGATATTTGAATGATGAGGAGTTTATGACGGATGAGAAGGATTATCAGTAGTGATATGACATGCATAGCTCATTGATTACGAGGGTGAAGCTAAATAATGAAGGAACTTTCTCAAATAACTCGTCCTCTCGCTGCAGAACACCAGACTCTCTTCTCTTACTATAAACAAGTCACCATCCGCGTCCAAATATCCATAGTAAATGGAACCCTTGAGAAATAAGATCCACCTAACAATCATGAATTCCTCCCATCATGCTCATAAACCTTCAACGCCTTGATATCAATCCCTTGAATCGCGCGTACCTACACAATCAGCCGAGCCAGATACCCAAGGGACATACATACATTGATCGCCGTAGGCTGGTCAGCACCAGGAAGAGCGCATTGAGCATACACGCTCGACCCACAGGTCCGACAGAAGTAATGCGGGTAGTTGCGCGATGCGAAGCGGTATTCCTGCCTCCATTAGCCCGCCTTACAGGCCGCCAAGAACGGAGGGTATACCGTTACTGCGTCCTTGTCCATCTCAAAGATGATCTTTGAGGTGGGGACGTAGGTGAGCAGGTAGCCGTTGATGTGGCAGATGGAGCCTATGTCTGTCAGCCGGAGCGGTGATGAGAAGACCGGGAACTCTACAGTTGCATGAGACGATATCTGTTTCTTCGATTGGAGGCAATGTGGAGAAGGAGAGTTTGACGTTGCCGCAGTGGCAGCTTGCTGTGTAGGATTTTTGATCTGACATTGTGGGCGTTATCTGTTCGTTATGTCTTCATGCGGCGCTGGTAGATACGACTATTTATCAGGACCTCACCTCTCAACAGCTTTATGTCTAGTCGTTGAGCCTCGGTGTTGGAAACGCCCAGAGTCAACGGTTTCTTCGGATTGTCTCAGCCAGCTTGTCATACGAGTCTATCCTCGGGTGTACTGCACGAATACGAGGTGGTGACTCAGATGACAATTCTAATAGGACAATTATACTTGATTGCCTATCCAGTGTATGTGGCCAGTTCACCAGCCTAGATATCGCATTATGCAGATATGGCTTGTCCTCGGCCAGCAGGCGTCCGTTGTAAGTTGGCCGGATTTGATGACCAGTATTTCCTCTTGAAGACTGTGCCACCACGTTCACTTGCCTCGATCCTCACTGCCTTCTGTTACCTTTGGATGTAGACGAACACAAAGCGAACCTGAATGTAGCCGGGTACTTGGAGAGAGACTGATCCCAAGATCATGCAGTTGTGTCGAACCCCCTTCGTCCAATTCAGTCCCATCGCTGAGGAGATATTCCTGCATTTGTGGACACCAGTACTCTTGTATGAACTGCATGAGCGGTATGTTGAGGCTCTGGTACTGCTTCACGAAACTCGCCACAAGTTGATTGCACTTCGCAGTGAGTTCTGCTTGCTCCTCACAGATTCTCTCTGCTTCATATGGGTCAAATGGCTGTAATATAAAGCCCCTGTCGAAGAAAAACCCTTCCCTGCAACACGTATGTGTAAGCTCCAGGTCTGTGAATGTCGCTAGTCGTATGAGGGTCTTTGCAGCCTCAAGTGTCATGGGAGCTACCCTAAGGAGCCTAGGCAAAGCAACCCATAGTCTTTCTATTAGCGACGGCCAGAACAACTCTCTAATGGCGACAGATAATGGCGTGCATCCGCTTTCTGGCGAACAGGAACAATTGCAGGCATCGTGCAAATCTGTTGTAAAGGCTTCTTTCAGAAAAATAATTGTCTCCAGGTCCGGAGTAGACGATAGTCGGGTGTCTGAACCCTCAGGACGACGAGGCAGCAATACTTGCTCGATGACACGATAGGCTATGGCGTGGACCGCGGGTATCGATGTGCCAGGTAGACAATTTGTTATTTTCGCACCCTTCGACAAGAGCCAACCTACCCGTTGACAGTCCTCGCGTGTTGACGAGTTAAAACCTGCAATCATTAAGGGGCTGTATCCAGCGGAATCGAGGGTATCAACGTCAACGAAACCAGCATCATACAGCCGATCCATCAGTTGTCGGTCCAATTGTCGTTCATGGAATATGGTGCCATACTCATGTCCTACATCTCCTCTGTGCAAGCCTCGCGGGTCCATACTTGTATTTACTGGAATGCCTGCGTCGCGAAGGGCGTCAAAAATCACTGGAGCGTTCGCGTCTGGGAGCACATCTTGGGAGAGACGCAGCGTGTAGCTTATGTGCTTGGGCAATGCTAGCAATGCCAGCTCACGTAATGATTGGCGTCGTCGTATCAACTCATTCACCAGGGTATCTATGACCTCCGGAGTCGATAGATAAATGGCCAGGCCGATATGATTCGGCTGGAGCGAGGCGCCTGCGCGGAGGAAGACCAGTAATGAGGCTGGACAGTTAGAGGGTATCACCCAGCTAAGCGGATTGGAATAACCATGCGTATACTTGTTTCCTTTGCCGTCTTTAGTCATATCTGCACCTGCATCCAGAAGAATTTTGATACCAGCAGGCCACCCAGTAGCAAGCTGTAATGCCGTATATTCACCAATAATGTGATCACCACAGAGCTGGCCAGAGCCCACTAGGGTCACCAATTCACGCTCTGTCTCCTGAAAGATTACTAGAGCAGGATAGGACAGACAGACAGCTTACGAGGTTAGCGCTCCCTCAAAACAAGACATTCCTCTACACTTACCTCCAGGGTGATGAAGAATTATATATCGAATTAGCGGTCTGTTCCACAGCTTCAGCGCGTTGTCTGTAATGTAGCATCCAGCATTGGCCATATCAGAGATCAGGGCATGCACCAGTGGCTTCGGCTGGAGGTTTCTCAACATGCAGTCCAGAGCCGTCATATTCATATCAGTCAGCATGTCCGTCGGTACGCCCTCTCGGATCAGGTAGTTGATAACTTGGCGCAGCTTGCTATAGTCGCTTTCCCAACGTACGTCGGCTGTCCTTCCACTGGATACCAACTGGGTTTCGCTGGGTAAGTGCGATGTAAGCTGCCGATTCTGGAGTACGTACATGTAGCATGGTTTCTCCTTTCCCGGTTACATCTGTGGGTCTAGCCTTCCCTGATCCATATAACAATTTCAGCGCTGGCAAAAGTTTGGCGGTCACAAATATGTCTGTCTTTTTGAAGTCTCGAAAGCACCTGTAGCAAATCATAGGGCTTATGGCGCAGCCCCCAGCTCCTTTGGTGATGGCGAGCGACACAGTCAAACTGAACTGTAATACTTTGTTGCAAATCTGAAATCTCTTGTTGAGAATCAGGCGATCCCTTGATTTTCCACATTGCGAATCCTGCAGAAATTTGCGCTTGCTTCCCATAACGTGGGCAGATGATGTATGCCTTCCACAATTGTTGCTGTTCGAACCATTGGATGCTTTTATAAGATGTTGGCTATCTTCATGCAGGGAACGCAATAGGCTTGGCGCAACCATGTAGCGCTGCTTGTGAACATCTCTCAACAGTGATTCCTGTGACAAAATGTAAGAGCAGGTAGCAAAATAATGTGATGCGCAACTTGAACTGACCAGGCTATCAAGCCGAGCCGTATGCTCTGCCAGCTGATCCCGAATGTCCAAGCTCAGTGCAGTGTGCGTTGCAACATCGTCAAGCAATCGGGTCCCTTGATGTACCTGCAGTCTGTTCAAGAAGTCAGAGTCCTGGTGCCACATAACCAAACAGTATTTGAACCCACATATTTAACGCCGTGTCAATGTTCCCTTGCAGGCTATCAATCATGCTTCTCATCTCCATTAATGTCTGCTTCTCAAAAGTGTACAACATCTTTCGCTTAATTTCTCGTGCTGTCTCTGTCGCCAGTCGCTTCGTCGGTGGGGTGGGAAGTTTGGCCCTTAGCTTCTCGAGCTTCTCCATCATGATCTTGCTACTGTCCAATAGATCAACAGCTTGAGTTTTGAAGGCAGGATCAACGGAGCTGGTTTTGTGAAGGACATGGTCAAGATGCCTCAGTCCGTTCGCCAATGCGGTCGCTTTGTTGCGAAGGTCCTCCATATCCCCCCCATACCCCTTCCAAGCGCTACAAAAAGAAAATATTCCCTGCGTCACTTGAAGACCGAGAGAAATAATGCCAGCCGCGCTGGCTGTAACTGATAGGGGGTCGGACATTGCGGTTCAAGGTCGATGAGGAAGGGAAAGTGAACATTGTGGGATTCGTGAGGCAAGACAGGGATTTTATCCAACAATGACAAGGCTGAAAAGTGGCTGTGGCCGTAAGCGCTTTGACAGGGAATAAATAGCCTGTCAGAATAGATTGTCAGTCATGGCGCAGTCTCCATCGCACCACTTTGTCAGATCTGAACCGAATAGTACAAGGACGATAGTTTTGTATCAATACAGTCGCAGGTTTTGTTGACTTTATCTAAGCACCATGATCTATTGCTTATGCCTTTCCTGCCTGATGGGATTCACGACATTCAATGAGAAGGGAAACAAGAGTTGTTGATGGTTAGGATTTCGACGGGCGATAGACACGCAAACAGCAACCGCGAGTCACATGGTTGCGCATCCTGGCTAGGGCAGCACTGCTACAAACAGTTCAGGCCTTCATGATTTAAAATAGTAGGTAGTGATCAATTTTCAGACTACTTTCCTAGAGAATGGCGTGATCATGTTGAATCGAATGGCCCATGTATTTCTAGGTTTACAAATCAAGAGATCATATATCCTTCCGAGCATGCTCACTATACTTCTTCCTCAACGTGCCCCCAGCCTACCCATGTTAGTATATGCTCACACAACGAAGATAGATACTCACCTTCATCAAAACCAGAGGAATCGGTATGAACACAATGGACAAAAACGCCAGCGTGGAACTCGCCCACCCAACCCCAAGGTTCTTGTACATCGCCGACGCAAACAAGGGAAATCCAGCACCAAACGCAGACCGGAAGAGATCATTCCCCGCAAGCACAGACGCCGCATAAGCCGGATAGGCGTCAGGGAGATAATTCAACACGGGGTTGAATAGTAGGAACGCACCGACTGAGAAGAATCCCGAGCCGATGATAGGCATGATCCAGTGGATATCCGGCCGGGCACTCCAGCCGAACCAGAACAGACAGATTGGGATGAAGCAGCCGCCGACGATGGCAGGTGGGAGACGAGCTTCAGGTGGTACGTTGCCGTTTTCGTCGAATTGGGGTTCGAGGTATTTGTACATCCACCAGTAGTAGGGCGGGATGGTCAGAAGAGCGGCAATGAGGATACCGAGGAAAGCGAGGCCTTGTTGGCCCAGGTTGAAGTGGTAGATTCCCTCGAAGACGATGGGGAAGGATTCGAACCAGACGTAGAGAAGACCGTAGATGAGGGCAATATATAGATTCAAGAGGAAGACCATCGGCTCCGTGAAGTTGAGAGTAAACGGTCTGACCAAGGTAATCATGAGGATTTCTCGTCCCATGAGTCCTTCACTTTCGATCTCCGGTTCGCACTTCAGGTTCTGTCGTCCGGTGAGTTTGCGCAGTCGTCGCGCACGTCGATAGAGGATATTAGCTGATGATGTCTCGGGGAGTAAGAATAGCAACATGAGAAGCGAAAATCCCGACAACCACATCAATTCCCAGATAGTCCATCGCCAGCCCTTTGCCTGTGCTGCGAATCCTCCGACCAATGGTCCCAGGACAGGACCGCATATAGCACTGATGCCCCAGATGCCGATTGCATAGGCTCGCTTTGCTGGCTTGAACATGTCGGCAATCGTAGCACCGCCCTGCTCATATTAGCTCGCTGTCTCTCTAGATTACAAGGTCCCATACCGTAGCTAGAGCAGGCGATCCAAAGAATCCAGTTAAAAATCGAAACGCAAGCAGAGTCCCTAGATTTCCCGCCAAAGCCGTCGGGACCTGTAACGCAACGAATACAGCTAAGGTGAAGATGTAGACAGGATTCCGTCCTATCTGAGGAATTTCACTCATGGGTGACCAAAGCAGCGGACCTAGCCCGTATCCCGCGACGAACAATGTCAAACCCAGCGTTGCTGCCACTTGGCTGATCCCAAAATCTTTGGTCACAGTGACAATTCCAGGCGTATAAATAGCACTCCCAATGTAAACACTGAAAGTCAAGAGACAGATTTCGAATGTGACAAAGACCTTCTTCGCCACTGACCAGTTCTGAGGATTCTACTGTGTCATCAGTATCAATGCTAACGATGCATGGGATGGGCTGCATACCTCTGGATCTTTCTCATCCCACCAGTCGATCACACTGACATCCTTTCCATGCTCAGGGTTGATTCGCACACCCGTGAGGCCTTGGAATCTATGTCCACGATGCTCCCATGCCGTGGACGGAATCCTCGATATCGATTCTGTGCGGGTAAACACATCCTCCTCTGGAATGCTATCTCCATCCACGCGACCAATATAGGCCATCCGACCCGATTTCTCAAGGTTGATGTATCGCTGCCATAGGGACGGGTCCTTTTCCTCCGTGTACTTGAAGAATCGCCTGTTGGTGAGAATCCGGACGGCGTGGCCAACGACCGAATCTTGGATGAGTGTGGACATACTGCCAAATTCCCCAACAACCGTTGTGCATAATGGTCGTTGTTCTAGCGCATTTTGTCATATATATGGTGGTATAAATATCATCGCGATCACCACAAGTCGATGACGTAGCAAGAGGCGACACTCCGGATCCTTGCCTGTTGCAACGACAAGGGACGGAGCAACATTAGTAATATGAACATCGGGGCTCGGAGGACAATCTGGCCAGGACAATCTCCTTTCAGATCTAAGTCATGTCTTATCCTCCCCGTTCCAGGGTCCAGAAGGTTTCGTCGTGATGATGATATGTGATCGGTGGGGCGATTGACCAAGCATAATTCACCCAAGAATCCCCGGATCAAAAGAGCCAACTTGTTGGTATTAGGGAACTGTGAGTCTGATAACCGCTCATATAAAAGAAATGTCTAGTTGCGTCAAAATGCCGCGATCTTCCATGGAACGTCTTCATCGAAGATAAACCAGAGAAGTGGTGGAAAAGGACCGAGAAGAAGGAATAAGACCAAGTCAAGACTGATCCGTGAAAAAGCTGTCCCCTGGAGCGTCTAGATACTCGGAAAGATCACCGAAGCTCCCGTCGGGGAGAATTTGTGAGAGGTCGCCGATATGATACTCTGGTGACCCAGATGGTGGCGTGAGAGATGGCAGAAGCGGTATTGCCCCATCATTCTGTAAATAGAACGATGCACTATCGAAGGATGTCAGCCCATCTTGGCTATTCAGGATTGGCTCCGGCTCGTCTTGACTGCTCCCAGATCTGACGGTACTTCCAATACCAGAGTCAGGCGTGCTCGACAATCCGACCTGCAACAATGATGGCGCTGTTGTGTGACGCACTCGCGCGGCTTCTCGATCGTCGCGCATTCTGCGCAAAATCTGATCAAAGACCTCAGCATGAGTCGACCGCAGGACTCGTTCCAGTTCCTCCTGCAGAGTATCACTAATTTCTTCTGGAATCACATGCTGTATGGCAGTTCGGACAGCCACAGGCGCAGCAGTTAGGAAAGCCTCTCGGACGAGATTGACTTCGTATGAAACGAGAGGGTCAAGATAGGGGCTCTCAGGCAACGGATCGTCAGGAAACAAGATCTTGTAAATGGCGTTCCAGTTCTCTCGATCACTCTGGTGAATGTTTCTTCTGCTCAATTTCCTCAATTGCTCGGTTGTTGCGCAGATCAAGTTGGCTTTGGGTCCCACCGGACAGTCTGCATCACGAACGTGGGTGTCCCGTTCATGTTCTGTCTTGAATATTTCCGAGCACCTCGGGCAGTATATGGGCATACGGTGCTTGCGACTGATATGCTGCTTCACCCGGGATGAGTTCTCGTGATCTGAGGGACAAGCAAACCGTAAGGCTCGGTCTTCTGATTTCGATGCTTTGAATCGCTTGGATGGCTCTTGACTGCCATCACCATCACCGTCATAAGGGTCACTATGATCGTCTTCAGCGGAAATCTCTTCCGCCTTTCTATTCCTCCCCGAAGAGGTCCCGTCTCTCCCTTGGAGATTTATTTCTTGTACTCCTGCATTACTAGTTGCGTTCGACGTCGGCTGTTCCGTGGCTGCTAGTGGTAACGGCCTCGGTGCTAGCAATGGTTTGTTGGGGCCAGCCTGTTTGTGCTGAGAGAGCTCATGATTATAATATCCAGTTGGAAGCGGGACTCCTGAGGCATAGAGAGCTGGGTGAGTGTTATACGCTCCGAATATGCTGAGGGACTTTTTGAAGATGGCACTCTGAGTATAGCCCCCGCATTCCCTTTTCGATTCGATACAATTATTGCATATGGGCTTCTCTGCTCCGCACCTGATGCGGCGTTGTCGACAAGCTATATTTCAACTGGTCAATGCCTGTTAGTCCTCACCATCACCATTGTGTTTTGAACGTACTGAGACAACCTATTCTGGTGCGTTTCCTGGGGACGCCGGACCGGGAGGAACAGGCAGAAACGTGGCCTGATGATGTGCCATGAGCCTGGTATGCGTTGCAACGCTGAAGGACCTGTGAATCTACAAGCGAGTATAGCTTCTGCTTGTAAATGTGCTCCAGCCGCTGAATGGTTTCTTCATCCCACCTGCGCCCAGTATAGAGATGGGCATCCTGATCGTCGAACAATGACTCCTCGTCCGCATGCATTTCCGTATCGCCTGAGTCTGTGCTTTCACTTCCCAATGGTGAAACATGGCCTTTGCTCATTGATGGGAAGGCAATTCTCTGGGATGGGGAGACACTGGCATTTGAGGAGACCTGTGAATTATAGCCAGGCTCTGATGATGTACTTGGCTCATGAAGCTGATTCGTCAACTTTGAGACAGCTTCGTTTGGCATAAGCGGTGACAGCTGCTGGATGTGGCCCGTGGTCTCATGCCTCGTGCACTTGTGCGTTCTGAGATCGTCGAAGGAATAGAAGATGCGCCGAGCGGACTCGTCACACAAATCGCATAGGTATGTCTGGCTGCTGGAGATACCCTTAGAAGTATCCAAATGCGCATCAAACTCATGTTTGCCGTGGCTGTCGTGAGGGAACGCGGGCCGTGAGCTGGACCCGATATCATATAATTCATCTTCCTGGCCATGAATTGTGGGTTCTGGGGACTCGCCCCCATCCCGCCCTAATTCCGAGTCGACGCTATCGTAAGATTGGATGGATTCAGGTGAGGAGGTAAACGTTACAGCCGGTAAGGGATCTACCGGTATAGGAGCTGGCAAGGGGAAGGTGAATAGACTGGGCCCGTCCTCATTTCCAGGGGTAATGCCACGCTCAGAAGATTGCTCCATGCTCAGAGTGGACCTTTGCTAGTGGATGACTCTTGCAATGAACTGGTGGTGAGATTCACTGAGTTGGAGACGGTCGTTGGAGCGTGATATCCAGTTGAACTTTGCCCTTATTGTCAAGCAATATTGCGTTGAGAAACTGAAGAGTCGAATGATGTCCAAGATCTGATCAATAAAGTTGACAGACTTTCGTCGAGTTTTTTGCAGGTGATACTCAACTTTTTATGGCAGAGGTCAGCACAAGTGTGTTGAAGCCAGTCAGTGGCACCTGCAGCACAGCCTTGCTCACGCATGCAGGGTCCTTATTGGCCATCCTAGCGCACTTCATCAATTGAATTTACATAGGTATGAGTACCTACTTTTGTATAAGTAATCAGCCACCTGCTTGTCATTGGACAATCACTGTGAACTATGTGAGACTCTCTATGTTAGAATGAGCTCCAACACGAATGTGCTGAGCACTTGAATTATATTAAACCATACCATACATTCATCCTGGATCATTCCTGTGCTGAGAGTGATATTCAGCGATCTGTGCAGAGCATAATGTTCTCAAGATCACCGAGGTCACGGATTCCACTCTCGAATATATTGTCATTCAAGTTGCGCCCATAGTCTTGACAGATAGAACCATGGTCATTAACTCCCTCAGTCCGTTGCATCAAACTTGAAATAACTATAGACAACGGAATGCTACCCTCATTAGTACATTCAATGCCACGATATCCCGCAGCCATTTATCAAGGAACATACCACAGCCGGCCTGATGCCCACTTGCACGGCCCTTTTCCTCCCAGTCTTGCGATCAAAGTTGCACTACGCGGCGAGGATGGCCTTCTTACCGTCCAGGCGACGCCGATAGCCCTCGGGATCAAAATCGAAGACCTCATCGATCAATTACTCCTCCTTTATGGTCGAGGAAACCGCACACAGGCAACGAGTCAGCGCCTCCTGGATATTTTCCTTATGCGTCGGACGGCGATTTGCAATGTCGTACTCTCTATGGTTGGTGACACTTACCCTTATGATATGCTATTCTCATTAGCTTAGACAGACATCCCTACACCCCTGGTTCACTCCATCGAGCATCGCTCAATCAATGAGCCTCTCAGCGCTGCAATCTATAACCCATCCATTCTTCGACATGCAAGCTGTATCTCCCTGCTTGAGCCCTACACCATCCTCCCTGATCGTATAGCCGACGAGGAAACAGGGAAAACAGTGTGCCAAGCGCTCATGCTCGACCACGATTTAAGCCTCCGGCACGCGCTGATCTGGACATTTGTTGCTGTCATGATCTCAATTATATTTGGGATTGTTGGGGGATTCGCGGCCTCCCCTTGGGATCTCAACCTTGCCTTGTCGGTCAGTGGTGGGATGCTGACTGTCTTTGGTGTGATTCAGTCTATTTTGTTGTCGTGCAATGATATGTGATCTATTTGTCTAGACTTGATTCAAAGGTGATATGTCGTAGATAGACTTATCGTCGTATTATTATAATATATACTTCACTACCACATCAACAGACACAAAACATTACCTACAACACCGTCCCCAATCAACCATCGATGATCAACGAACGACCAACGATCAATCATGCAGACTGAGGCGCAACCTGCTCCGCAGTCTCCACATGCGAATCCTTGGCCTTCTCCTGCTGGATCTCGCGGAATGTAATGGTCGGAGTCCAATGCTTGCTCAGCCGGGCGCTGCTGACCTCCGCATACAGCTCATCCACCTGCTCGAGGGTAAGGCCCTTGGTCTCGTAGATCATAAAGTACACAAACGAGATACACAGGAAGCAGCAGCCGCCCCAGATGAAGAAGATCTTGGACTGGAGGTTTGCGTTGCCCGGGCCGTAGTCGACGAGGTAGGGGGTGGAGTAGGCGATGGCCCAGTTGAGCAGCCAGTTGGTGGCGGTGGTCATGGAGAGCGACTTGGCGCGGACCTTGAGGGGGAAGATCTCGCCGGTGACGACCCAGGCGCTGGGGCCCCAGGTGGCGGCGAAGAAGAAGATGTAGATGCAGATGAAGGCGATGGCGGCCTTTTGGGCGGGCTCGTTGTGGACGATGATCTTGCCGACGGCGTCCTGGCCGGTGGTGGTGGTGCCGAGGATGGCGACGAGGAACTGCGAGACGCACATGCCGACGGCGCCCCAGAAGAGGACGGGGCGGCGGCCCCATTTCTCGATGGCCCAGAGGCCCGGGAAGGTGGAGCCGACATTGACGCAGTTGGTGATGAGGCTGATGGTGAAGGAGTTGCTGAAGCCGGAGTTCTTGAAGAACTGGGTGCCGTAGTAGAAGATGAAGTTGATGCCGGAGAGCTGCTGCAGGGCTTGCAGGCCGCAGCCGGTCAGGAGCCGCTTGAGCAGGTTGCCCTTGAAGCAGTCGAGGTAGCTGGATTTGCCGAGGCTGAGCTCGTACTCGTGGTTGGCCTGGATCTCGGCCAGTTCCTCGCGGACGGCCGCGTCGTCGGCGGGCAGGCGACGGAGACGGCCCAGGGCTCTGGCGGCGCCTTGGATGTCGCCCTTCTTGACCATGTAGCGGGGTGTATCGGGGAGGATCAGCATACCGCCGATGAGGATGATGGCCCAGGCGAACTGGACGGCGATGGGGATGCGGTAGCTGCCCGTGTCGTTGCGGTCCTTGGTGGAGTTGTTGACGATCGAGGCCAGGAGCAGACCGATGGTGATGGACAGCTGGTAGGCACCGACGATGGAGCCACGGATCCAGCGGGGGGCGGTTTCGGATTGGTAAAGGGGGACTGTCTCTTAGCCAGGATCCTGTAGTACAGTAGGGGAGCACATACTCAAAGCAGAGATCAAACCAACACCGAGACCGGCAAAGAAGCGACCAGCAAGGAAGATGGGGATTGCCGTGGCGGCAGTCTGCAAGATGACTCCCAGGATGAACACATGGGTCGAAGCAATCAGACCCCAGCGACGACCGATCATGTCACCCATGGGAGCAGCACCCAGAGCACCGAAGAATGTACCAGCAGAGAGGATGGAGACGATCGCAGCAGACTGAGAGGAGGTAACGTTGAGGTGTCCGGTACTGTCCCGGTAGCCGGTGGAGAATAGATCTTGCCAGTAGGGCATGGCAAGAATGCCGCTGATTGTTCCTGTGTCATATCTAGATCAGTTAGACGACGATCTACGCAAGAAATAGAGGTAGAAGGTAGGCCTACCCGAAGAGAACACCTCCAAAGGCGACGAAAAGACCGATGACAATGGCCGGCCAGGATTTTCCCGGCGTGCCTTCTGGCTTCTTGAGCATGAATCCCATCGTGCGATTATGATAATGGAAGAGAAGAGGAAGGGGAGTTGTTGACCGGACGAGAGATGATGCTGGGATGTCGGGGAGAGGAGGGCCTTTTATGTGCCAGAGGATCTCATCACGAGGGGGTCAGCACATGTTACACTGCTCTTCCGCTAGGCGTCCAGGATGAGTCCAGCAGACCAATCGACGCTCCCCGCAAAAAGCCTAACGCCCTCTTCCCTGCAAGTCCCATTCGCTCAGCAAGTTATAGTCGACTCTAACAGCTTGGCAGAAGTCTAAACCCTGCCACCTTGGAGGGGATGAGAAAGTTGTAGACTCGATGATGGCGCCATCCCAGTCCCTGCCTATCATCGCAAGGCCTAGATCCAGCCAAGGGAGCATTACCGATGCCATGGAAGAGACTTGACTCATCCAGTCGCCCGGTGAGCGACTTCCCCAGATCGATCGGGTGAGAGTTCATGTGTTTTGACCGTTGTGGGTAACGTGTATCCCCATGGGGGAGGGCGGGACAGCCTGTGAGGGGAACAGGTTTCGGCTTCCCCCAGTTTCTGCGACGCCGGCCCGGGGACAGTGTCTGACTGGGCGAAATAGACTTTCCTCCGGAGAAATCGCCATAGTCAAACCTCCATCCCGAGAACGTGATTGGTTCAGCTGGAATATTTCCGCCGAGGATTCTCCCATTGGAAAGCCTCTCGTATCTGGGCGCCACTGGCTGAACTCTACTGTCATCTGCCCTCGCCAAGTCGGTCACACTCCGAGCTTTTTCTTCGGTATCCCCTTTTAGTCCTGAGATATTCACCGAAAATCTTCCTTCACAGTCTCTCTGAAGTCTGGATGGTGAAAAATCCTCCGACTGCGGGGCCCCGCAAACACCATCAACTCCTACAAATACTGACAGATCTTGACAATAGTATAGGGCACAATATCAGAAGTCCATTGAGTCTTTTCTTTCTCCTGCCAACCTATTGATTGTGTCGGCTCCGACCTTCGTAATCGGCAGGACAAAGTTCAGGCCATAGAGTAGTTGGTGAACTTAATTCAGCCTCTGATCCCCACATCGACCATGGATCAATAAGGTCAGTAATTAGATTCAGGGAGAGTGAGGCAAGATTTGGCGACATGGACACTGAGCGAACGGTGGCTCGGTCCCAGAGACAAGGGACAGTGGAAATATAGTATATTCACCCATAGGAGGGTCATCCATTCTGCTGGACGTATGAGCCATTGAAGTGGATGCGAAGGAGTATTTATATACTTTGATCCAAGAATTGGATACACAATCAAGTGACCAATTGTAGAGATGTCGTTCCTATTATGACCAGACTCCCAATGACTTGCTCTGGAACGCATAAAGTTGTCTGAGACTGAGTACTGCATACCTTTAGAAGCCGCTGTTGATTACCCAACACCTAGCATACTTTCAGTTCAGTCTGTCTAGATTAACCAAGGAAGCCGAATTCTCAAGGCAGGTTGTATCGTAGTCTCTGTACAGCACTATCCTGTCTGTAGGTTGCATACCGTCATCAATCATATACCCAACCCAGCTGTTAGGCTGAGAAGGCATCTGAAACAACGACCTGAATCTCTGCTTTTCCTCATCGCCGAGGTAAGCCCTTGATTGGTGCAGTTGCCAGTTCTATCCTTCATATATGGTTCTTGTGCCTAGAAGCTTTCAAGTCAACGCGCTGCCGACATTGGCGCTGACGGCCACAAACTTGTCTT